TGTTTTTTCTTGGACAAAGTCATTACTTGTTCTCAGAAACACTGGTTGACAATAACAAAATCAATACAAATTCAAAATAAATATTTGTTTACGTTATTAACGTATGCGCAATCAGAGATAATGTCTGCGTTGGACCGACTGCTCACGCTGAGCTAACAAAAAAGTATTTTTTTGGCGTCAGCTCTACGTCAACTTTCCGCTGACGCCCAGATAAGGCGCTTGTCCTAAGAAACCAGACCTTAATAGATAGTCCAGAAAAGAAGAATTTCCCAGGAATATTTTTTTTACTATTAAGTTACACGGAGTTAGAAATAATTCTAATGCAAAAAAAATGTTAAACAAAGCTCCAAAAACTTTTAATCTCCCTGGTCATATTTTTAATAATAAGTTTTATAGAATTATAATTTTTAGAAAATAAATGATAATCTGCTTTAAATGATTATTGAAAATGCTGATGAGTGATAAAAATTTAAAATTTCATAATTTCATTGAAAAGAAAAAAAAGTAATGATTTTGCCCTTTTAAAATTATTAAAGATTAGTGCAATGATAATAATGAAAGGAATCATTAAGTATAAGGCATAAGTTGGAATTCTGAATATAATAGTTTACAATGGCGACGATAATAATAATAGAATATAATGATAATAATGAAAGAATACAATGATAATAATGAAAGAATACAATGATAATAATGAAGGAAATCATTAAGTATAAGGCATAAGCTGGAATTCTGAATATAATAGTTTACAATGGCGACGATAATAATGATAGAATATAATGATAATAATGAAAGAAGTCATTAAGTATAAGGCATAAGTTGGAATTCTAAATATAATAGCTTAAATAGGTGGACGATAATAATGACAGAATATAATGATAATAATGAAAAAATACAATGATTATAATGAAAGAAATCATTAAGTATAAGGCATAAGTTGGAATTCTGAATGGAATCTAATAGTTTCTAATTTCGGGCGGCTAATGCTTAGTTTTAAAATTGCATCGAATTCTTACTCTTACTCATCGAAGTTTGCAACTTTTCTTAATTGACCTGCTATCAAGGAATTATTTGTCAAAGCAAGCTGACACTACAAATGAGGATACATTGGGAAGTTTGAAGAAGATTGAGTGCTAATGAAAATATATTGAGAAATTTTTTTTTATATCGATCTAAATTGTATAGCATAAGACGTTGAAACGAAAAGACTGGAATACAAAATAAAATAAAAAATAATGCATTCATTATTAATTTACGTCACTTTTCTAAAGCTTATCTCTTATAACTTTAAAGTTTTACCCTCCTAAAAAAACTTGACTTTAAAGAATATTATTCTTATGAATATCTTTATTAGCTTAAAAATTCACTGATTGATTTAGTTTTTTACCATCTTTTGTGTTTATGTCATTCACCAAAATATGAAGTCTAATTTAAGATTTTATTCAACACAAACTATTCTTATTCAACACACATACCAAAAAAAATATTGTAAAATTGTCACAGCAGTACTTATATTACGCTTCGAATTAAAATATTCAAAAATTCAAAATAAAATTACAAAAAATAAGATTAAAAAACATATAAACTTATTTTTGTTTAACACTTAATTCGTAGGAATATTCCTTTACTTTTTGTAAATGCTGATTATCATTATCAGCATTTTTAATAAACTTTTTTTGGAAAAATAAGTAAAAAATATTTTCAAAATCTCAAAAACATTTCCTTTACGTACCACCACCGAAATGATACTCTTCTTTGTTTATATTCCAAAAACATTCTTTAAAAAGTATTTCCGACACAAGAAGGGAACGTTTTGTTTTGTAGTATTAAAAGTGTCCATATTTTATAAAATATAAATTTTTTTACAAGCCTCGATTAATTTTTAAAAAATTAAAAACAAAGAAAGAAATGTCTTAAAAAAACCTTGCATAATAACATAAGGAAAGGTTAAAGAATACATTTCAATAAATACTTAATTTTCTATTTTTTTAATGGTGAAATAACACATTTTTCTTTTTCTAAATCTTTTCATTCTCAAATTTATAAAGAAAAATAAATACTATATATTAGAATAAAAGAGCGAAAGTTTAAACATTTGAAGAAGAAAAAAAAGAATTCACATTGCGCAATGTTTGTGGATCATTCACCCTTAATTTAGGATCAAAATAGTTTCCATATCAACTAAAAAAGAATCACAGCAATAAATCGAGCAAATAATGAAGCACCACCATGAAAAAATATAGATTACTTCCTACATTTTTATATACATTTTTTAAAATTTATGTACTAATGCAGAAGATTTCCTTAGGGAAATTCCTATGCTCACTCATTTCGAAAATTGGACACTTCCGCAGGAAAGAATATGAATTATTTCCACTTCGCATCTGAAATTTGCTTTAAAAAAGAATTCTGTCTGTGTCCATTTAAAATTTTGTAATCCAGTGTTGAACTGCGGAAACATCTAATTCCACATTTTTTCGGAATATTGCATTAAGCTACCTTTACGCATAACTCATTTGAACAAACCAATTTTGCCTTAGCAAGCATATTTATAAATTATCGTTACAAATTAAAAAAGCAAATTCTTTTGGCGAAAAGATTCTAAAAATATCGCTTCTTAGAATCGTTTTCAATTTTTAAATCAATTGTTGTTGAGGAATAGTTAGAAATTGTAACAAAATAGTTATTTGCAAAACGAATTTAGTTCCTAAGTGTGGCCTGCAGAGCCGGAAACGAAAGTGATGCTGCGCCAAGACGACTTGGGACAGTAATAATTTATAAATATTTTATTATAAATCAAATTTTCCAACATGTAAATATTTAGCTCAAGCAAAGTGTTTTATGAAGACTGAAATGTGGTTACAATAGTGAATGCAAAGAATTGGTTTCAAGTTGGTTCTAACCAGCACCTTTAATATTTATTGCGTGTTTCGTCATGTCCCTGAAAGTATTTAATTGAATTAAAATAATTTTGCAGATAAATATAAAACTCGTTTATTCGTAGATCATGTATAAAATATTATTTTTAATATATGTTTTAATAACTCGGGCGAAACAGTTTTGAGTGGTAAAATATGTTTTTTTTAATCACTTCAAACTATGAGATTTTAAATGAAAAATATAGAATTTGTGCAAAATTGGTTGAATTTTTCATGAGAAATAAAAATTTAAAATTAAGACTTCTTTGAAATTTTGGAACACAGAAACTGTCTGGCTAGTTCTACTTAAATTTTAGATTTTGCCACTTAAAAATAGTTCATGCAGAGTATGTTTTTCTAAGTTAGAATATCGTCTTCTCTAATTAAATTGCATTTTTAAGGCCCTTCTTTAAAATTATTAATGTAGCACATTAGTACGTAATAATCTGCTCAATAGTCATTAAGTTATTCTATTTTTCATTTTACGCACTGTACGGTTATTATCTATATATATTTCTCTTACACGGCACCAAAAAAAAACCTCATTACAACCTCATTACAACTCCCCGAATGGCAACGTTAGAAAATCGACCAATGATTGCTGCTAAAAATGTCACATGGCAAATGTCACATGAGGTGGCTCAACATATAGCGCTTTTAAAAACGGAAACAATAACCAGAGTGAGCATTATCAGGTTGTTCAATTCAGATTCATGCCCTAAAAACATGATAATATTTAATTTAAACTCAATTAGGAATTAATTAGGCTGGCCTTCTCCATGACTATAAATAAGTCACAAGGTCAGACTTTTGAGAAAATCAGTTTAGTATTGACTAAACAAGTTTTTAGTCATGGACAACTTTATGTTGGCCTGTCAAGAGTTAAGTCATTTGACAGCCTTTCAGTAATTGCTCCAAGATGCCAAATCTATAATTGTGTTTTCAAAGAAATTCTAAATGCTTAGTGTTAATTTCTTAGAGCTTTGCAGAAAAAAATGTTTTTTGGAAAAAATTTAATTGAAACTTCTATTGGCAGTAGGCAAGGGGAACTGCCAAAATCAAAACTCCCCGATTAGAAATGCAGCATGGCGACCTCCACGTGGTATTTCTCGGGTAATGCTAACAGCCATGCATTTTAATTTATTGTATGTAAAACATCCTTATTTTGTTCTAAAATGTTATGTACTTTATCACAAATGTTAATTAATATAGAAATTGATTTCAATAATGCTGATCACCAAAAAATATTTCATTTGGCGATAAAACAAATTTTTGTGTTCTTGAAAATGAAAGACTTTTTGAGGGTTATTATCTCACAAGGAAAAGTTAGGGTTTAAAGTTTATATTTTTAAATAATAAAATTTTTTTCTAAAACTTTCAGAATTTCTAGCATTAACTAATTTATTATACACATTTAGTTGAATTTAGGTGAGTAACTGCAATATTTGATAATTTATTTTGCTAATATGTTTCTCATTTAGCTAATGTTTTGATTTTTTCACCATGTACAATCTAAATAGCTAATATACTTTTTTAAAAGCCAATAAGAACATTGATAGAATTCTTCTACATAAGTACAATACTATGTCTTTGATGATAAAATACTATGTCTTTGATGATAATATACTATGTCTTTGTGCTAGAACATTGTGTTCATTGGCGAGCGAGCGCAGCGAGCCATGGTTCACGGCGTGAACCGCATAGGATTGCGTAGCAATTCTCGGGGGTTGGTGAGCAGGTGGCTGAGCCTCCTAGTATTAATTACTAGACAACTCAATAAATGTAAAAACTCGTTCATGCAATTAGTTATTATATTAACCAGCATTATAAGAACCTTGTTGTAATAATGATACAGAAGTTTATCATAATAACTTTTCAGGCTTTGGAGTTTTAAGAGGCACACACATAAATTTTTCCTTTAATTATTAAAGATCATGTAATTGATGTAATGAAATCTTTAAAAGTGCACTGCTGGAAATCTATAACATATATTTTTGCGAATTAATATATCATTTGTAGAATGTTAAATTAAAAAAAATATTTCAAAAGTTTCCCATAGTTTTAAGATTTAACATTTATTCTCTAACATTTATCCCCCCCCCCCAAAAAAAAGGTAATAAAAGAACATGGAAATATACGTTTTATGCTAATTAAATTCTCTTTTATGAAGAACATGATTTAATATTTATATTCAGGCTTTGCAAATTAGTTTCTATGACTAAAAAAATTATTAACTGCGTACTTTTATATTCAAGTATTTTCCTCTAATGAAAGCGATGCATGCGAATTTCCCAAACACCTGTAACTTTTTGGTGTTATTTTATTTCATTTTTCTTCAGTCAAACTGTCATTGCATTGTTTCTCTTTGTTAAAAAGAAATCACGTGACCGCAACGTCATTTAGTCTCTTAGCAACCCTAATTTTTTCAGGGCATTCTTCAATGCCTAGCAATATTTGCTTTTACAACACCAAATCTCATGGTCAATAACTGGATTACCCATACGTGGGAATTCAGGTAAAATTTTCTTATTTTCACTTTATTTTAACTTTATTTTTAATACTTTTATAATTATTTAAATACAATTATGTGCTGACTATCTCTATCTGAGAATGTTTTTTATTTGTATACTTTTATAACAATTTTGTACCTCGTTATGAAGCGTAAACAATTTCGTTATTATTAAAGATTACTTTATTGATGTGAACAACGGAAAATTTAAAATACGTGTGTGCTTTTAAAATCTTGTATTTTTCAAATAAACATTTTACAAATAATTGAACTTATCATTAAAATAATTTTTATTTAATTAAAATAAATTTATTTTTCTGTAAATGTAAGCAAGGAAAATATGTGTTTTATCGATTTTCATGCAAATAGCGTTTGTTGTGGAGGGAGTAGTAAAAAGATTGCATATAAAATGCTTACGTTCAAATTAGACTTTAAAAAAAACATATAGGATAGGTACAGATTGGTAATCAAAAAGAAACATTTAAAAAAATGACATTTAAAAAAATTCAGTAAGGTAGAGTTGAATATTAAAATATATTTAATAAAAATTCTTATTTTTATCTAATATTCGTAATTTTTAATATTTTTATTAGAAAATTTTAACTTCCACTTTTGTATTTTCATTTCTTGTGTATCATTGAAATTAAATTTTAATTTCATCTAAAACTATATTTTATGTAAAAAAACTAAACCCATATATGTAAACAAATATGTTTGCAATGAGTATATTGAAATTGAACAGCTCAGTGGAAAGTTATAATTCTCATTAAAATTAAACTAAATGTTTCAAAAGTTAAAGGCATAAGTTTAAACAAATACTTATGCATAGATTATTGAAATTCAAGGTCTTACATGGAAAATAATTATTATATTTAAAATTACTGTGCAAAAGTTGAAGACATTAATTTTAAGAAATATTTTTGCATAGATTATTGAAATTGAAGAGCTTACACAGAAAGTAATTATTTTTTTGAAAATTAAATTTCATGTTTCAAAAGTTGGAAACATCTATTCAAATAAATACTTTTTCATATATCATTGAAATTGCAGAGTTTACTGAAAATAATTATTTTATTTAAATTTAAACTAATCTGCAAAAGTTAAAGACATAAATTTAAACATATATTTTGCTCAGAGAATTGAAAGTGAAGAGCATGGTGGAAAAAAGGTACTATCAAATTTCAAATAAAGCGAAACTTTCGTTTTAAGGGTTTATATGTTTAGATATAAACCCTTAAAACGAAATTCTTTTTTCTATCAGTCATTAAACAAGATGATTTTTAATGAGAAAATATGCTAAACAGGTTTTGGTGAATTTTCTAGAAATGATGCCCCTAAAAATTTTATTGAATCTTATATCATTATAAGTTCTTTAACTGCGTTGAACAAATAATAGTTTAGTTTAAAAACCTGCTGTTTTTTGCATACAACCAAAAGCACTAAATGGAACCGTATCGAGTCAAATCAGCTTTGATTTACTTTCGAAAATTTGAACATGATGGAAATTTTTGATTTATTGAAGAAAAAAAATTAATGTTCATATCAAAATTGAGGGAATTTTTTATTTTATTTCACTCAGTTTTTCCAGAAGTGCATAATTAACATGTTCTGCATCAAGGATTCATTTCATTCTATTTCATTTAAATTTAGTTTAATTTAATTTTCTATTTATTTCAATTAATTTTAATTAATTCTATAAAGAGAACTAGATATTAACATTTCATATATATAATAAACACATAAAAAGTATTTTTTAGGGAGTTTAGTTAACATTATAATGATACTTCCGAAAAGATTATGTTGCGCCATTACGAATGATACATTAAGTAGATTTGAATTACGTTCTTATTAACTTTTTTAACAACAAGAAGATACTTATTAATAAATTTAATTTGGGAATTTATGAATCAAAAGGCTTACTTTTAATTAAAAAGTAGATCAGAAGTTTGTACTATTAAATAAAGATAATAGTAATTCTACAATAGTACTATGAAGCAAATAATAATAGGCAAGCAAAGCAATTGATAAAAATCTGAAATGGTTATAATTGTAAACACTTAATTGGTATATGTGTAATTGTATATAATCCGACTCCATAGCTTTGATAATGGAGAAAGAGTCTATATTTAATTTTGACCTTGCATCTTACTGGCATACATAAATGTCATTAAAATTAAAATGTTATTTTCATAGCATTAAATTTACAGTATGTTTTACTTTCCATAAAAGAGATTCATACATTTTATGATATAACGTCAATGGTCAAAACAAAATTATTTTTAAGTATGGAAAATTCAAAATGAAGAATAAAACAAAGAAAAATTAAAGACGTATGAAAAAGGGGGAAATAATAAGTAAAAAAATAACAAACAACAGTTAAAAAAAAAAGAAAAAAAAAGGTGAAATTTTATTTAGAAAACCGGAAAAAAAAGATATAATCTTTTCATCAGCCCACACGATTACTTTCTTCGTGCTTTCTTGTATATATATAACNGTATATATATATATATATATATACATACATATCTGATGTCCTTCCTTTTATTAAGTTTGATTTTGAGTAAACCCAGAGCGGATTTATGCCTGCTTTCCAATAAAACTTCGTTATTTATTCTTTTTTCCGGCCTTGAAATAGTTAAATTTATGTTATACAAGCTAATCACAATTTTTTCCTCTAAACGTTCAATGGGTTGTGTAATAATGAAATTACATAAATGTTTTTTTTTAATTTTCGTAAAATTTTGAAATTTTCTCATCTTTTAAAATTTTAAGCTAACAATTTTTAATTTAAAAACAAGTTTCCCATTTTTTTTCGACAAAGGAATTCAAAATCCTTCAGATTTTTTAGAGGAACTCTGAGATTGTAAATAAAACTTATTGTAACTTGTTAATATATTAATCGATGAAAGATTGGAAAATATTTAATGTAAAGAAAGAAGTTTGACCAATAAACTAGATTTTATGACAGACAGTTGAAATTGTTTCCAGTCAAGTTCTTAATTTATCTTTGAAGCTGAAAATGAATGAAATAAACTCAATTTTGGTTTTCGAAAGAAAAAAAATTCTGCTATGAACGTTGAGAATAGTTATAAAAGAAAATTTTCTGTTCGTAAATTTAGTAATTTTATTTTGAATTGAAAAATTAAATTAAAAATACTAATGTTATTTTTCATTAATGCTTATACTTTTAATAATTCCTTCAATGTATTGATGGATTATTTTTAATTTTTCTACTTTTATTAATAAGCATTTTTAATAAATAAATTTGAAAAATTTACCGAATTATAAAATTAATTATGGATAATTGGTTAGATAAAAATATAATTGCAGATTTAAAAATAATTACTGAATTATTGTTCCCAAAACCCCTGTGACCTTTCCATGGAACCCTAGGGTTCCTTGGAACACCTTTTAAGAACCGCTGATATAAAAGCTGGATGAAAATTTTTCTTCATTTATGTTTTCTTCATGTTCACACACATTATTTGCTTTACGGTAAGTAAAGGGAATTTCTGGAATTGTAGGAAATTATGTACTCACATGTGTTATTTCTACGTTCACGTATAATGGTATATTACTTCACGTATAATACTTAAGTATAATCACGTATAATAATTTAAAGTGAATGGAGATAACACAATGAATTTCTAATTTCATTGCGTTTCTAGAAATGATCTTCAGTTATTTTAAATCAAATTATGTGTATTTATGATTAAGAAATAACATCTTAAAATATCATATTTTTGATGTTATGAAGAATATTTATAATAATTTCATCACTATGCAGTTTATTAAACATTTTATCGAGAGTAAAAAAAATAATTAAATTTAAAATTTCAAAATCATGTGCTTCATTATTCCATCAGATAACAATCAAGCTATAATATTTTCAATTTATTAATTGCTTGTTTTTACATGCATTAGTAGATAAGTAGAATATTTCTGAATAAATTCATTTATTCCTGTCCAAATTTTTTTTTCCGTGAAAACATTCTACCAAACCAAATGTAGGTTGAAATTAGAAAAAAAATTAAATAAATTAAATTAAAAAAAAAAGTTTAGAGGAACTCTTTATTGCAGCGGTTGTCAGATAGTGTTCTGTGGAACCCTAAGGTTCCGAAGAAGGGTCACTGAGGATTCGAGAGTTTGGGACTTTTTTTACCAGTTATTATTTTCGAAACATGAAAGTAAATTTATATCCGACCCATTATTTATTGAATATTTTCGTTATTTTTATGAAATTATTTAATTAAAATTTTTGTGAAGAAAGAAATGCAAAATGAAAAAAATTGTGATAACAATATATTGAATGAATAATGAAAAGGACATATTTATGAAAAAAAGTGCATTAATGCTTTGTATGGAACAAAAATAACCAAATTCAGCAATGAAGAAATATGTCTGTCTAATAACCATTCTTAACGCTTATGTCAGTTTTTTCTTGGCTTTATTTAAATGAAAACCAAGTTTTAGCTCATGTCTATTCAGTTCATAAGCAAACTAAAATCAAATTAGATGACTATATGCCGCTCTAGACCTGTAAATTTAAAAGTCTGATATTACGTGAAGATGAAAAATTTCATTTTTTTATTCATTTATAAGGTATTTTCAAACTAATTAATGAAATTTCAATCATTAAATATTTTCATTTATTGAATAAGTCTCAAGGTTGCGTCAAAAGATTATCGATCACTTACATTTCCAAAGGCGAAAAAATTGGAAACCATTGCTTTATAGAGACGATACCAAATTTCCTCTGGTCTTTTTGGTACGAGTGGCTCCATGAATGTTTTGCTTCTTAGTTAAGCAACAAATAATTACTAATAATTAGTGAATGCAAAGACTAAACTCTTTAAAGATTCTTAGATTTTAAAATAACATCATAAAAAAGCTTAGAAAGTACCCTTCATATAAACCCTAGCAGCAAAATAACTTCGGAACTCATTGGGCCAATATTCACCAATCTTGGCTGAACAAGGTTTTAAAGGGCAATTATTTTGCCAATATTGGACCGATATAGAAATGTCCATTAATGGGAGAATTCCAGATATTGATTAAAAAATAATTTTGTTTTTCGCACATTCTCGCGTGTAGCGTCCAATCGTACATGAGATTTCCCTCATGTTTACAATCTGCGGAAAATTTTTTATATCAGACAAAATACGAGAGTGTGCCTAATAGTCCATCATGCTAATAGCCAAATATAAATATATTACATTTGCTTTTATGAGCACATGAGTTTTTTTCTTTGTCTATGGTATCGTTCCTACGAAGAAAAGCAGAATATCTTACTATTTAGGATATCCGAAAACCAAATCCTTTTTCATTATACAGTTTCTAAATGAGAAAAAAAAACACAGTACAAATGATAGTTTTAATTTTATTGATAAGCGTGTTTTTTTTTAAAAAATATTTTCGCCAAAACTACAATCGTATTGTTTATTTTTGTGTGCTACTGTCAAGAATGATATTTTTTGTTCTGCTTTAACCTAAGTAAAATCATATAGGACGAAATACATCTACAGTAGTTTACATGTATCCAGTTTAAGAGTTCACATTTTTCAGAGTTTCTGTCTGGAATTGAGTCAGAACAAAACAAGCAATTGTTTGTTAATAATCTAACATAAAAACATATTACAACGACATAACAGCTCCCTATATTTGCAACAATTGAAATAAGTGCTAAAAACTGGCAAACAAAATTTTTTGAAAAAGTCTGGTAAGTATCAAATTAAAGATCAAGATTGAAAATTGTGAATGTACAGACGATTTTATTTTATTCTAGCTGAATACCTGTTCAATAAAAAAATCTTTAAATCTAGCACTACTGTAGCATTCACTAAACTGAAAACAAATATACAAACGCAACCAATAAAACTAAAATACATGATTCTAATATTTATTTATTTATATTTGTTTTTTGTCCTTGCCGGTAGCTTTACCTTATTAGATTAAGCCAAAAATGTTTTTAGAAGTGGATCCCATCAAAATAAAGATAAACTGTATTCAGCATCTTTTGGAATGGTGTTATTGTTCGGGGTCAACTCAGGATAGTAAATATTTAACGGAATCAGGCAAATTTACCCCTTTTGAAGGGCCGTAGAAGCCTATTTCAATTGTATTGATATTAGAACTGCAAAGTAATGATGCAGTTTTAACAGGTCTCAAATCTGTCAGTGTTATACATTTTACCTATATAAATATATTTGGTACCTATTAAACTGTCCTAATTACCATTATACCAGTAGTGCATATTACCAAAATTTTTGAAGCATATATCATTGGCGTCAGTAATAGTATGTATGGAGAATTTTTATGTTGCAACAAGACAAATTAGTAGTATATCTCCGTTAATTTTACTTTATAGTACATAGTTTTTCTTTTATTTAATTTAATTAGTAGCTATTACAAAAATAAAGTTAGCATTGGTGTCAAATTAGTATAGCCATTTTTTTTTCTTAAGATTTTCTGGGTTCGAATCCAGAACAAGGCATTCATGTTCTTTCATTCTCTGTACTATATGTCCTTACTGTGGCAGCAACGTTGGCCCGCATTATGCTGCCCCTGAGTGGCCAACAAATCTGCCCTACTGATATCTGCATGACGAGTGTCATGGGCATTCTAAAATAAACTTTTCTCTAGAACGAATTATAATATTTTCCCGTTAATTTTGCTTTTAAGAATACAGTTTTTTTTTTGGTTCATTCAGAACCTATTATCAAAACTAATTCAGATCAAAGGCGTCATAAACAGCTTAGCGAATTTTTACACTTCTCTTAAAAGAATTAAAACCATTTCTTTATTGATTTTGCTTTTTAGTACATAGCTAATTTTTTTACTTCGAATAGGGCCTATTACGAAAACTAATTAAGATTCATTGGTCAATATATGTTATGTGATTTTTTAAGCTTCTTCTAAATTACTTAGCAACAATTCGTCCTTTATTTTGTTTTATATTAGATAGCTTATTTGCTTATTTCAAATAGAACATATAGCTGTCGGACTAACCATGGGAGGTTTTCCTTGTCTTCTTAACCATGTAATGCAAATGTGGATTAGTTCCACCGAAAAGTCCCCCACGAAGGCTAGTTTGTCCCGATGCTTGATTCAGAAGTTTCCTTGCCTTCTGGGTTGGATTCAAAATTACTAGGCTGTGGAGATGAAAAGTGATAGTCGTAAACCCGGAATTCGGCTATTCAATACCGACTATAAAATAAAAAAAATTACCACATGCTATCGAAATTAATCATGCATTATTAGTGACAATAATAGTATGGTGATATTTTATGACTCTCCTGAACGAGTTAGTATTTTCAATTTAATTAAATTATTTTGACTTTAAATTATTTAGTTTTAAGAAACATCTTTTTAAAGCATATCTATAAACAAAATAAACACGTGCCTTCTAAAAGCTTCAGAAATACTAATTTGCTGATGTAATCCGCCTATGCCATCACGTTCAGGTTGATCTGGGAATTTATCTGACATAGCAAATAAAAACAATTAGGTATTAAGGAACGAGCAATAAACTCCTTTTTTTAATGATAACTATAAGTTAGAAAACCACACTGATGTTATTTTTACTATGTAAGAAAAAAAAAGCGATAAAAAAACAGATTTTTTTTCATTAATAACTGATTTTAAACCAATTAGAGAATTCAATTTTTTCAAATTTCTCACCCGAATGATCTGTTTGAAATTTTCAAAGAATTTTTTGAATTGGGAGCTAGAATTACTACTTCCACCCACTGTCCATGTTTAATAAGCGGTCCTGGAGTAAAAGTTCAGTAAATTGCATTATTATTCCCGATTGAACTGCCATTTCTTTTATTTAAACAATAAATTTATTAAATTAAAATAAAGAAAATCAAAAAACATACTTAAAGGCAAAAAAAACGTTTGGCAATTTTCCAAAATCGCGTCAACGCCAGCCAATACATATCATCCCGTTTCTCACAAGCAGTGATGTCATTTTTGACCAATAGCTGATCTTTGAAATTTAATCGATCGAAAAAATTTCGGCAACATTCGGAGCAGTTTGTTTTTCACAAAACATATATGGAGTGAAAAAAACATGTTATTCAACAAGTTTTTTGCCTTACTAGAATGCAACTTAGCTATTTTATTTGTGATAAGTACCAATAGTTTCTTTGCCTTTTTAGAATATTTTTTGAAATCGCACAATCTAACATCTAAGAACATTACCAATTCATTCATTATTTAGAGAAGGATGAAATATTTTCTCTTGCTATTTTAATTTATTTCTAAAATAAATATTTCAATAGCTGCCATCACATTTCAGTTTTAAGGTCCACCGAATTGGTTCAAGGTATTATTTTGAGTCATGACATTTTATTTCTACTGAATAAGGCTGCGATGACCTGGCTGGTAGGACGTTGGGCCCATGTCCAAGAGATCGTGAGTTCAATCTCCGCCAACCGAAAACTCCCCGTATTATAAAAGGTGACTGGTGCATGTTAAATCTGTCGGGTCAAAAAGTCATCCGTGTTCCCATAACAGCTCTGGGGTACCGTTCTCTGGTTCAGGACAAAATTACAATCTGTGGATGAAGAACTGAATGTAAGAATGGGTTCACCCTATAAACGGGCAGTGACGTGTGTCTGGCTGAAATCGTATTCTTTTCTGTAGACGTCGTCACAGTAAAACAAGAGACACGCCCTCTGCTTTAAACTCGCTTGGTTTCACCAAGCAGGCTTGCTGGTCATGAGTTTGGCATTAGAAACATCAACATATTTCTACTAAATACCAATGCTAATAAATCTGGAGGAAATATCCTTGTAAAATGGATCTTTATTCTATATCCTTTATACACAGGAAGTTTATTTAAAACTAAAAAATAAAAATATATTTCTCTATTATTTGCAGTGAAGGAAAAATCTTCAACTAATATGGAATTTTCTCCTTCTTTATCAAGAGCTTCAGTCAAATCAGTGTCTTCCAATTATTCTGTAGAGGAGTTGCAAGGTGAGTGAATTAGAACGAAATTTAATATACAAGAAATATTAAAATACAAGGTATATAAGAAATATAAAAATTCTAATGGAAATACGGTAAGGAATGAACAATTTTTATAATTTGCCGTATATCTTATTGGTGTTAAAAATTTTAAGTCGAACTAAGCCGAATTCTGTTTAAAATTTGGTGAGAATGTAGTGCATTATTTTTAAAATATAACCTAACAAAATTTATCAATCGTTTTTAGATATAAAATCTACTTTCATAATCTTCTACATAGCTATAAGTATTATGAAATTCTGATTTTAGATACAGAAATTTGATCTTGCATCAAAATTTAAAAGGAATTAACTATTACTCATTTCAAATTCGCTACAACCTTTATTAAGTGTTAAGTTGAACGTTATATGTAATTGTACAATTGCAAGCGATGGATCAGACAATCAGTTTAGATACACACGCGTGACACCGCTTGAAGGTATCCAACTAAGACTGATCCATAAATTGATTCAGCGTAATTATAAACGCAAGGTTTAAAGCTGTAATGTTAATATGCCATGAACAACTATGTGATTGGACTCAATCATTTGATAAGTTGCAAGTACCCAATTGTGTAAATACTTTTTGAACTTGCCTGCACGATGCCATGATTAAACTTGAACAAAAATGTGACTCTATGTAATGTTTTACTATTAGATTGCAGAATTTTTTTTTACAATATTTATGGTTCAAGTTACCGATATTATTTGATCAATATTGAACAGTTTTTACTGTTTTGAGGCAGGTTGACTATTTAATCATACAATTGATGTCGAGCAAAAATTTAGTTTCGCAATAATGCAAGAAAGGGATATTTTAGTGAAATATATTGTAAATATTTATCTTTGACTGAAATAGCTTTGTACCGCTGTATTACTCGTATGTATTAAAAAACCAGAAAAAAAATATAATTTAATGTTCTTCCTAAAGTGAAGTTGCCCTATATATTATGATACTTACTTACTTACTTCTCGGCTCTACAGTCTATGAAGGACCTTGGCCTCCTTTTCCACACAGCTCCACTTTTTCCGGTCCTTGGTCTTTTCCTCCAATTTTTGATTTTTTTTTCCAGATCTCTTTCTACCTTATCAAGCCATCTTTTCCTAAGCTGTCCGATCGTTTTCCTTCCCACTAGTTTTCCTTTATAGATTTTCTTTATATAGTTTACTCTAAATTACTACTAATTCTCCGAAAATCCCTACCTTTTATTGGTCCATATATTTTCCTGATAACCTTTCTTTCAACAGTAATAAAGATTTTTTCTTCATTCTGAATGGTTGTCCAAGTTTCTGCTGCATATATGTCAATGGGTCTAATTATTGTTTTATATAATTGTAGTTTAAATTTTCGTGAGAGCAGAGAAGATTTCAACAACTTAAGCATTGAAAAGTAATATCTGTTTCCAGCAGCCAGTCTAGCTTTTATCTCTGGATTTAATTCTTCCTTTTTTTTCCAGTGATAATTGAGCCAAGATATTTGAATTCTGTCCTCCTTTCAAAACCAAGTTCAGTATTTACGGCACTCACGATTGTTTCGTTTTCTCTGTCCACAACAACGCATTTAGTTTTTTCCCTGTAAACCAAAAGTCAGACTGTTTTTGCTCACTTTTTTAAATCTATATACGTTTTTATTAGACATTTTTCTGTTCTAGAGATTAAGTCCAGTTCATCTGCAAATGCAAAAATTTGTAATGATCGGTTTATAATTGTTTTCCCTCGACTAGAATAAATCTTTCTAATAATGTGTCCTAAACAAAAATTAAAGAGTGTTATCGATAGACTCCTTGTCTTAATCCTGTTTTAATTCCAAAATTTGATATTTTTCGTCACGCTTTCCTTACCAATGATTAAACTTTCTCAATATTAATAGAATTTTTTTTCATTCCTTCTTCACAAAATAAAAATTTGTGACCTCTGATTTTATTTATTTTTACTTTTATTTTGAAAAGGAATCTAATAATGTATGTTAAAATGGATCAATACTGTAAAAATTATATATAAATGTCAAGAAATTCAATAATTTTTTTGAAAAAAAGATAAAGGGTCACCCTTGATTTTTAATTAGTTAGTGTAATGATAGAAAAGATAAGCGGAGTTTTGATAAATGTCCATTGGTAATGGAGCTTTTATAAATATCCATTCATTTCAAGGTAATGTTCCAGCTTTAATGTCTTACTCTATCATTGCGTTGTGTATTTATAATAAAGTAAACTGTGAGTAGAGGTTAAGGTTCCAAAATTTCGTAATTCCTTAAGTCCCAGACAAACTGGTATTCCTCGTTCCGTAGTTTGGTTGTCTTCAAACGGTCATCGGGTATAAAGCCCCGGTCTTAAGCATTTTGTATCTTGTTTGTCAAAACTTTGCGTCTAAACTTGTTTTGTCTGAAATTTGTCTGTTTAAGCAAATGCGCAAATTTGTCTGAACTTATATAGTTTTAAATTCATTCATTGCAGAAAAAATAGGTGAGCTGAGAAAACAGCACAGCCAAAATGTGGGTGAATTTCTCAAAGTTCAAACTATACAAAGAGAACGGATGATACAGTGTTTGGAAGAAAAACTAGCCGCTCGACGAGATAAAAGAGAAAGAAAAGTAGAACAGATACCACCTGTTTCGATTTAGTACTGACTGATTGTTCAGATTTTGTATTATATTTCACCAATGATTAGACATGAATTGTGATACATGCTTTAAGGTTGTTATACGTAGTGTTTGGTTACTTTTTTTAAGTAAGCTCACGAGACTGAAACTTGGTGTGTTCATCAAAGTAACTATCATACTAACAGTCTGCTTATTATACCTTTTAGAACAGATGATTTCTGGATGCAAAGTATATTCAGTTAATCAAAGTTTCATATATGTAACAAGTGCCGTGTGTAAAATCAGCATAAAAATGTTTCGCCAAATAAAGTCATGCATGAAGATTTAATGAAAATATATGATAAGTGGAAATTATATAAGGCATTTCTACTGTTTATGGTTGCCATATTGGCAAACTTTGAAAGCGTTTAACCAACACCTCCTAGAATAAGGAAGGCCTCAGCACGGATCAAATTAGTAGTCCGATGTGACGAAGTTAACTGCGCAGTTGATGAAAAATAAGAAAGATGTCATTACGTTTGGGGTACTAAGCTGCGCAGTGGTTGAAAATACGAAATAAGTCATTACGTTTGGACTACTAAAGGATATTTATGGTAACCCGTGCAGAGGCCTACTCTTTTCTAGGAGGTGTTGGTTTAACTCGGTTAAAAGATTCAAGCAGTTCAAAGAATTTTCGTTAAAAGTCTTGGTGTCACTTACATTTACTCCATTTTTTTAAATTTTTTAGAAGTGTAAATTTTTTTTAATAATTGAAAACTGGCTGTTACAAACGTAACATATTGTGTTACGCCTGCAACATCTTGTTTTTAATTTTAAGCAAATCAAACTTATTAAAAATTGGAATAATGCGAAGAACAAACTTATTCTCATAAAAATTATTATGACTGCTCAAAGTTTTCAACTGAGTTATATGCTTTTAATTCAGCAAATTAGACATTTGTGAATAGTGACATTACACTATAGAATGTGCAAGATGTTTTCTAAGTACCCCTCTTACCATGTCTCGTATTTTTGTAATGCTTATTGAAAACTGATTGATACTGATGATCCCCACTAGGATTGAATATTTTCTAAAAAATCAAGAAGAAAATCATCATATGTGATGAAATTTACATAGTGTCAGATAATAGTATATTTAACATTTTGAATCAGCTAGTGACAATTGTTGTTTTCTCCCGCCAAGATTGTCAATTTTATTAACGATTTAGATCAGTACAAAGAATTCGGTAATGGCCAGATTAAAAAAAAAACTGTCTTTGAGGGTTTTAGTAAGACCTTCACAATCAATCGTCAGATTTTAATCTTTTTTTTTCACATACAAGAAGTTTTATCTATATCTGTTGGATTTATTTTTTAAAAAAAATATTTGTAATTAGTGAAATTTGACTAAAATCAGACAAATAAACTGGCATTAATGGTTTTAGTTTGAACTTCAAGGTGATTTCTGATATTTTCATTTTCTTATCATAAATACATGAGCTTTTGATTACTTATAATAGTCATAATATTGATTGCCATAATATTGATTGCCTTCGTACTGATTCATCTGATTTTCATTAAAAAAAATTCCTTCCTTCTTAAAAAAATCCATAATGACCAAGATTTATTCATTTTGATAAAGATTTTAAAAATATATGTGTTAAGAGAGGTAACTAGAGAACATACTTCATAACTGGTTTGTCATTTCCTTTTTAAAATTATGCTCAATACATATTTGACTGTACTTTAATTGATAATTTGTTGTTAGTATTTAGCATCTGTGCTTTCATTTAAAATTTTATAAAGTTTAAATTTGAATTTTGTTTAATTTGCGCGATTGTATATGATGCAAATTATTCAGTTTTACTTTATACTTTACGCACAATTGTAATGTATTTTGATCAAATATCAAATTGTAAATACAATTGATAATGATAATCTTTTTAAATTCTAATTAATTCCGCATTAAAAAGGCAATGAGTGACAAAATGGAAAACATCTTAAGATTTTAAAATATAAGATTTCAAAATTGAAATATGTCAAAAAAGATTAAGATTTAAAAGGTTAAGATATAGATTAGACAACGTGTTTGTTGAGAACCTAAAAGCTATTCCATGACTTTTTCTCATCAAGTATCAAGGAAAGAAAATCACAGCAATAAAAAAAAATCTGAAGAAGTTTTTTTAAGTGAACGTGTCTGAAATCTTCACAAGCTAGAAACTGAAAGTTTTAAGTATCAAGAAATATTTTTAAGCAATAGAAAATTAACTAAATGTTTATAATTATATCAACAGGGCTTATAAAATAAGTGCACCTATAAAGGATTAAAGGCGTATAGAGCTTTACATTTTAATTTTTTATTGGCAATAATAGGTGCATTTGTATTAAACATCAAAGATTACCTTAACAAATATTTAGTAATTAATAAAATTACAACGCACTTAATGATTAAACGTTTTCATATTTTTGGTCGAATATAACTTCATATTATCAAGATATTTATGAGCTTAAAATATTTTTGAGCTATTAAGTAACTTTATTCACTTTTCAACTATGAGTCGCATGTTTGTTTATTTTCCTTATTTATTATAAGGGCTTCATATTAAACACAAAGGTAAACATCTACACAAAAATTGATATCATAAATAAACGAATTTTACTGAGAGCGAAATAAAAAAAATGGAAAGACTTTTAAATATTTATATATTATAAGACTTTTAAATATTTATATATTTAATGTCTAGATTTTGTTCTACTTAAGTGGTTCGTGGAGCAAACTTGTAAACTAATTACTTTGTGCAGACGATATTTTAAGTTAGGAAATCAAATACAACCGTACTTTCTTCAACAAAGAAAAACTTGCTTTTTTTTTCAAAGGATTTAAATTTTTGTTTTACGAGGTATGGGGCTTTGGCAATAATCAGAAAAATATGGTCCCAAATAGTTAAGACAGCGGTCAAAAGTTGGACTCCTCAATGTTTATTTCGCTTTCTGCGCATTTGCTCATGTCATTTGAAATATTTCAGATAATTAAATAATTCTTGCTCACAATTATGGCACTCTTTTATCAAAAGATAATACTTATACAATTGTTTAATGTTTTTTATTATTTTATTTTAATAATCCATCTCTGGCCAAGAATCTGAGTTCAGCCATACCCATACGTCACACCCGTTTAAAGGGCGGACCAATTCATTCATCCACAGATCGCAATTTTTACTTCAACCAGAGAACGATCAATGTCCAATTCAGTACCCAAGAGGTATAATTTATGAGAACATGGAGAACTTTGTGACCCGACATATTTAACTTGCACCAGTCGCCACTTACAACACGGGGAGTCTTGTATCCAATGGAATATCCAATATTCAAATAAAATTCGTCAAATAGTTCTTAGGAAAAGAAAATTCAAACATACGGCAGTTCAGAGTGAGAAAAGGGAAATATATTAAGGGGCTGAAACTTTCGACCGCTCTTCAGTTTAAACTATTGGGACAATTGTTTTTGAGACTGCTGATACCCCTCATATTTTGAGAACCAAAAATTTAAATCCGTCTAAAAAAGGTTTGTTTATTCAGAGAAAGTACGTTTCTGAGTCTGATGTTGTAACTTGTCGTCAGCACAAGCTAATCTATTTAAAGTTAAATCCTCAATTTGATAACATTGCATCTCAGTATGTGAAAGTGAAAACTCAATCATTTGATTAAAGGCTATTAAGTTCTAATTTTAGTTTTGAGCACAGTACAAATATATTTTCATGGTGATCATCGTTATCTAACTTAAAAAATATTTCCATACTTGTTGAATAATTTTAAAAATTAATGCACTGATTGATTTTTCTATGCTTTTGCATTGCTATGACGTATACAATATCCTAATGAATATAAAAATGCTTTTTCGCTTTTCTTTTATATGAGTTATGTTACCAGAATAGTTGAGTTATTTATTCACGTAGTTTGAAAAATGATGGTTTGTCAATGCTAATTTTAGCTAGTACTAAATTTTAATTTTTTCAAAGTTGTATTTTTCTTAATTATTTTGTATTAATAATGTGTTAAATAAAAATGTTTTGATTTTGCTAAAAAATGTTTTTTTTTCTTTTCTTTTCCATTATTTAAGATAGTTACAAAAGTTAATTGTTAGTTTTTAAGTAAACAATTTTTACTTACAAAAACATTTATCAAAAAATTTAAATTGAAACTCATATAAGTAATGCATATAAGTAAAGCTCATATAAGTAAAGCATTTTGTATTCACCTTATTCCTGACGGAGGTTATCTCTATTATTAGCAGATGACAGTACAATAAGAGGTGTTTATAACTTGCTCTTGATCATACGAATGCATTAATTTACACTAGAGCCATTAAATTAGAGAATCCTTAATTTACTGAGCTATGACGTCATAGGAGAACTGCAAAACTTCCGGTTTGATTTGGTTATTTTTTTAGGATACTGGGTAAATTAATGCGAAAATACAAAATGTCTTAGCAAATTTAAAATGTTTTTATCCTCGCAGACACTTTAAACTCGTACTTTAAACTTATTCTCATTTTTAAGTACTCTAAATTTTCTCTGAGCCTTTGTAAATGAATACGATTTTTTTGGCAAGAAATTGAACTTTTTTTAAGGCATTTAATATTAAAAACAAAATTATCATTGCATTTGCTTAAAAATATTTTTTGTTGAATGAATAAATATTCATATTTCTACCTTTTTCTTGTGAGCAAACACGATACTTATTTTTCCATAAACTATTTTTTCTAACTTCAATTTTCCTAGAAATATGTTTAATTTATGAACTAATAATGTGCAATAGGATGTCCATGTGCGAAACTCTAAAAAAAAGTATTGCGTGAGCTTTCCTTATATAATCAGAGATACAATTTATTGATTTTTTTTAAAATCTTCAGAACATAACCTTGGTGATCTAGATTACATTTGATATTAAAAAAAGGATTTTATTCTATATCTCTTTTTGCTTAAAATAGAAAAACTTGCTTTTCGAGTACAATAAAAAAGAAACACTCTCCAAACATCACGAAAAGAATTTCAGATCTTTCAAAAACGAAGTTTTTTTTCCAATGACATATAATTTGACTTGCAGTAATATGCTACATTGATATCCTTATAATTCAATTTTATATTACAAGGAAATGTATTTGAATCAAAAATTATAACTATCCATTGAGGTTGTCAAGATGTAATTTTCACAATCTTCGTCAAGAATCATATTATTTTTTATGGTTGAGTTTTAATCATAAGAAACGATTACCAAAGCTTTGCGAATCTCTTCAAAGCTGCAGTTAAAATTTACAAGTTTAAGGAAATAATTATTTTCGCTCATTTAGTTTCCATTGATTTGTCTTATCATTCATAACTTAAAAAAATTTATAAAATGCAAATTTAAATTTAAAGAAAAATGCAAATTTATTTGGTTCACATCAAAAATCAATTTCATTGATTTTTATTCAACTGTTTTGTGATTTGCAAACAAGAGCACGCAAATACTCACATCATACTTCTACAATTCATTTCAGAAGAAAAACTTAACTTTTTACTTTTTAATTTATGAAAGAATTTTGTCACAGAAAATTGGCATAATTATAGCATCCTTAATCCAAAAATCTGAGAACATTTCTTTTTCCAATGCCCACCTGTGTTAACATCCGTCAATTCAGGCATTTACAGGGCGATTTTATTGGCCTCTCTTTCAGGGGCATCATATTAGGTGGGCCAACGTCGCTCCCAGTGAGGACAGATAGTACAGAGAAGGAAAGAGCATCCATGCCTTGCCCGGGATTCGAACCCAGAAACTTTCTGGTGCAAGGATAGTTCCATGCCCCCTACACAGGCCGGAAGGCACATCTGAGAGCAAAAATTAGCAGATTTATTTATTCGAATTTTCCGCGATCTTGCTGTTTTGCATGCTGAATGAAATCGCGTAATCAATCTGTTTAACCTATCTGATACCTGCATGTGACGCTATCGTAAGTAAATCGTAACATTTGCCGATTCGAAGGTCAATCAGGTTCGACATTCACGTGGTGTTGCTTACAAGTATTCAATTAAACTAGTAGGCTGCGCCCCCTTCTCGCTAACGCTCGCCAACCCCCGAAAATTGCTACGCAATCTTATATGGCTTGCTTCGCAAACCAAGCTCGCTTCGCTCGTTACTAACTTAGGTACATTGCAAATGCACAAAATTCTAAGAATACAAAGCACTCATTCAAATCCATATAACAACTTTTTTATAAAATAAATTACATCTTTTTAGTAAATACTAAGTAATTAAAATAAATTTGAATTCAAATAGATGACATGTAATTCGTTAAACCTATTAGAAATATGCTATAGTATAAAATCTTAAAGCGTAACAGCACGTCTGAGACTCATTTTTCCATGAATAACTAATAACAATAATAAAACAAATAAATTCGTGATATAAATCAAAAATCGTCAAATAAATTCGTAATACATAAATTCGTGAAAAAAAGCGCTTTCGACAATATACTAAAATAGGGATCTATCGACAAAGACTACTCACTTCTGCCTACCTTAATAGTATGAGATTGCCGCAGCTGATAGGGTGAATTTCGGAAGAGATGACATTTGATGAGAATGCTCTCTCTGGTTATTTCAGTTTCCGTTTTTAAAAGCGCTATATGTTGAGCCACCTCAGGTAGATTTGGCATGTGAAATTTTTAGCGGCAATCATTGGTCGATTTTCCAGCGTTGCCATTCAGGGAGTTGTAATGAGGCTTTTTTGTCGCCGTGTAAGAGAAATATATATATATATATATATATATATAGATGTGATTTAAATCACATAGTTAGACATAATCACTTTACTTCTTCTCGAGATACAAGTATTTGATGCCCATTGTAAGTATTCAATTGGAGCTCTGAGCTTGGTGGCAATATAAGTTTCAATTATTTCCTTGACCACTACAAGCAAATATCGCCAATTGGAATTTCATAATCTTTCAGACCCAGATAATCTAACAGTTGCAAAATTACAATAATTAAAATAAATGTTAAAATTTATTTTTTTAAAAACCAATCTTTTTAAGTGGAATAAAGAAAGAGAAATATCATTATTTTTGTCACAAGTAGGGCGAAAAACATTGGCGCATTACTTTCTCAGTAAAATTCAGTCACCACAAAAATACTTTCTTTTTTCAAAAGGTGAGGAGGCCTCCGTCTGTTGTTTAGGTGTGACAAAAATAAAATTAATCTTTAACTTTTTAAAATTATTTCCACTAGAAAAACTTAGGATGTTAAAACTTTTATTCTATCTTTTATTTCTTCAATTATTTACTACTCACAGGACGTTGTACCAACTGTTCTCAGTTGTTGTTTCATTAGTATTTACATAAAAGAAGTGCAGAATTATAGTCGTTCATTTCAATGAGTTAATTGAAAGAAATTTAAAGGAAGTCTTTGCGATCTCTTTCTGATGGAATATTTTCAATACTTTATAATTCTAATCATAAATGTAATTAGCTTACATCTCAATGTGTAAGATAATTATACTGTAACTTGAGAATTCGTTATGTTTTAATGTCTGTTGTCATAACTAACACGGATAAAAGTATCATGGTCACGGATTCAAAACTATTTTTTTTTTAAAAACCATCGTAATCTTTACTTATTTAGATAAATATCTTTATAAAAATATTAATTTTTCTAGGCTAGGTGATCCATGCTGAGCTCCCTGCATGTATTGAACACATTGTGAACCAAAAATATTCAAGAGTGAATAATGAATTAAGAGTCCAAACATGGCTTAGATTTAATCTAAGTTCACCATGAAAATAATTGTGTTTTCATATACAAGTAGAGAATTTTTTTGTCTTATGAATCTGGTTTAAAATTATAAAGCGTCGGAAGTCAAATATGTCTAAAACAGCCAACAATCTGATAAAAAGAAGATATTAACTTAACAGTATCGATACTTTAAACGTTAATTCGACCCAAATTTGTGGAATTCTTAATAAGGTGTTAAACTGAATCATATTCTATTCCAGTTGAACCATTATATTGTGTAACGAAATATCAGAATTACGATAATATGGTCATAGTATTAAATTATAATAAATAAAAACCATTTTCAGTTATTTAGTTTTGAGCATTTATCAATTTTTTTAGCCTTTAATTTTGAATAATTATTAAAATCAAAAGCGTAATAATAGTAGGAATAAATAATACAGAAAAATATCTAGAAATTAGGGATAAAGAAATGTGTTACATGTAAATAATGTCTTTATAATTTTTAGTATATTTATGGATACCAAAGAAATCTGGGTTTTCATGAGAGATTATACCTTGTGATTTTGTGACCAATGAATAGTCACCGAAAACAGAACGGTTTTGTGTCATTACCTTTTCATGCTATATTAAGTTACATAATTAATAGAACTGTTGTAAATCTCTTATAATATAATATGTGTATCTCGTATATTATTGTAAATCTGTGTATCTCTTATTGTAAATCTCTTTTTTGTGACCTTTTTTTCACGCATGGTGGCTAGCACCCGATAAAGAATTTGTCTGGTATACAACTAAAAGAAAAGAATCGGTGGAAAATGTACCACATTATTGTTCTAGGACTGTATGATAAAAAAAAACATACAAAAAGTTGTAAAACACATTTTCATAATCTATGATAGCGGACACATAAAAGTTTGCAAAATCTACACTTCGCTTTCAGTTTAAAATGCATTGTACGTTAGCAACGAAGCTAAAGCTAAGTTACCAACAATGTTGTTTATAATATTTGATTTAAATCAAATAAAGCAAAGTTACACAAAAAATATTGATAAAGCTCAAGAAAGTTTGCAGCAGTACTATTCTTTAAGATTTATTTCAATATTTTCCAACAGTTCTTTATAAAGCTTATTATCTGCAATGTTACCTTGAGTCTCCTCCTGATCCGAAAATATCAAACTTCTCGATAATGACAAAATTTTGAAGTACCCTTTGTGATTCAGATCTTTTTTAAATTCTTCCTCTTCATCAAATTTCGTTAGTTTTGTGTCGCTTTTCACTGGTTTCATAACATATTGTCCCATTAGAACTAAAACGTTGTTCCACAATTCCAACTGCACACATCTAGAAACACCTGGTAGCGAGTTCGAATTTATAGTTTGCATTCTTTTCTTTAAATATTCTTCGTAGTCTTTAATAGCAGAATCTTGAGCTTCACACGTTTCACTTCCAGTTATTTCCCTAACACACACTCTTATGTCTCTTATTATTATTTCACTTATCTCTTGGGAAACTAATCTGCAAAATTTCTCTAATCTTTTCTTTGAATCCTCGGCGTCGGGAGGTAAATCCTCAACAGTATCAGTTATAATATCTTCCACACCAGACGCTAGAGCCCACAGATTATTTGCCAAGATGCAAAGGTCTATAAAATCTTTTTCACCAAAAGTTCTTTGCTCACATTGTTGCTCGATTGCTTTGCGTTTAGCAGAATAATATTTTAGGCAAGTGATATACATAGCATCAGCAAAGAGCAAATCACATTTTGAGGATCGTGGATAAGATATAATTTTCCATAAATTTGTCAAATTTTTCCTCATGATTTCGAGCAAAATATCCACCGATTCATTCTGAAGTTTGCGACCATCTACGCTAGTATCTAATTTCGTTCGATCGTCAGCGTTTACTGCGTCTACCGTCATACTTTTAGTTAATTCCAGCCTCTCTTGAAAGCACATCGTGAAGAAGTTCTCTCCAAACCATTTCTGAAATTGACAAATTTGCAAATCTTCTTCCTCTTTCTGCGTTACACGCACTATATATTTCACGAATTGCTTTAGTTTTGAAAATATGCTAAGTCCTTTTTCAATATTAGTAAGTCTATCTTCTTTGGATTCTTCAGTACGTTCTATAAAAGTATTCACAAGGGTTTTCAATGGATCGCTGAGTAGATTGAGACTATCAAACGTAAATTTTGTATATGTTTCATCAGGATACACTCTTTTGATTACTTTATCAGCTGCTTTATGGAAATAAATTAAGTAATCCAAGAGCTCCATGGTATACTTAGCTTCATCATCTGGGAAGGCCTCTTTTATTTCTTCTCTTTTCAATTCTGTCCAATCTTGAGCTTCTGATTTCAACGATTTGAGAGGAGCTGAAGATATCAACAACATTTCCTGACAGGTATGAATGCACCTTAATGAAAATTCGAAATCATCCAAATGTCTTTTATTGTTTGCTAAGTCAAAAGTATGCAATGCATTGAGCATAGTAAAACATTTATCGTGCAAACTTTCTGCTTCTTTTCTATACATGTCTTCTAAAGTATTTTCTAATGACCCTTCAAAGCATTTTTGGTCAATACAATCACCGGTTTCATTTATAAGCCGAAATATTACTCTGAGAGGAATTGCAAAATTTTGAGAACGGGTGCGATTAAAAACTATGAACTTACAAACAGCGTCCTCACATTCACTGAGACCGCTGATTACACTGTGTAAAAAGATAAGAATCATACCTGGAGGCGGAATAATATCCTCCAAGCAATAAATGGGGTTTTCATCTTCCGTATGATTTTTTAACCCGTCATACAAACACTCCTTTATTAGTAGCATATGTCTTTTGAAAATATCCACATTGGTTTTGATTCCAGACACTCCAATTTTAATCTGCACACGTAATCTGCCTTTCTCAACTTTTCTTGTTCGCGATTTTATTACAACCCATTCATCAGTACCTTCCATGGACAGGTTCTTAAGCTCAATTTGAAATAGCCCGATAAATACCGACAGTTTTGTATCGCCACCAAAGCATGAATTTTTGCATGCTATGCACGGCCAGCAGAATTTAGTCTTCACGGTAGTATCAGATTCTATTATTCCCTCTTCATCATTATCCCATACTTCTATCATAAGTGTTTCCTTATTGGGGTCTTTTAATGAAAAATAAAACTCCTTATTCCACACTGGGTGATCGTCGTTATCCATCATTTCAGTATATTCGTAGTTGCGTGATGCCGATACAAGCCAGACCTTACAAAAAGGGTGCCCATATTTGGAAGACATGTTATGCTTTAAACCACATGCCTCTTTTATTTTAACATACAGCGCAAAATTAGGAGCTGGTAATGCTTTAGCTTTGTCAAGGCATTTTTTGATGAGACTAGATCCTATTGGTGAAAGTTCATGTAAATAGGAAATCAGTTCACTTTGATCAATCTCTTGTGGACTTGTGCCAAAATGATGGTATATAGAGTAAGCAGCCACAACAGTCAACATTTCCAAGGTCTTCTGTGACGATGTTGACGCAAGAAGATTATCTACTCTCGACAGACGGAATTGTGGAAAGTTAAAAGAGAGTTTTTTAGAAAAGTTATCTTCTAATTTACCATCTGATGGCCAAGAAAGTTTCCTATGTATTTTCTTACTTTTTTTGAGGTTGAATAAAATTGAACTGCTATGATCTTTACATGGACTATCTACGACAGAGGTGTCGTCATCTGAATCTGTATCGTGTGACCGGAATCCGATGCAAGAATCTAACTTGTCTCGTTGTTGGTTTGAGGACTTAGCTGCGGGATTAGTGTCATCGTCACGCTCCGATTTGGCCCCAACATCTTTGTCTTCTTCGACAGTTTTAGGTTTCGGCTCTGGTTTTTGCTTTCTGGTGACGGTTTCAGGTGTTGGATTTTCTGCAGCGCCTTTCTTTTGTTCCATCATCAGCTCGATGTTCTAAAATGCTTCATGACACACAAGAGTTTTTCTGTAAAAAAAAGGATGAATTATTGGCATGCAGTCAAAGCAGCTGAAGAAAAAATACTGATAATAATTGGAGAGTTTTGTTGATTAAACAATCAATTCCATTTCGTTGGTAATTATTTTCGAGTACCAAGATGAGATAAGCAAATTTAAATGTTCGTCACAATTGAAAATGTCTTATACTATCCAAATGATGTAGACTCAATTGCTTTGCTAAGTGAAAATAGCTTTTATCTAAGGGTTCAAAGACAAGGTATATGAATGAGTCCATTGACCCCAAATTTTTGTAGATATATTTTTGTAAAGATATATTTTGTATGCTAATAATTATTGTTGTAAAATTAACAGGAAAATTAGCTAAAATATATTGCCTGGAAACATTTTGTTTTATTTCAAATTTTGAAACATTTCCAAAAAGGCTCGCTAATCAAATATTTTCCTGTACTAAGAATTGTGAAAATATAATTGCGTTTTAAGAAAATCGATACTTTTTTGGTTGAAACATATTAATCAAGTAAGGAATATGCATTTGACATTCATATAATACTTTCATTTTCATTCGTATTTATCATTTACTCATTGCATTCATTGTACACATGGTGATTTTTTCGTACAATTTACACAACCTAAACTATTTAAGAGGTTAACCTTTCTTAAAATAACATTTTATTCTTTTCATGATAATCATGGTTAAAATTGCATCTTGTGTGATTCCTAAATTATATATAGTTTACCAATGACAAAATTTATTTAAACGAAATTAACTTTATTTTATTTTCAGTAATGGAATTTCATTTCCTACTCGTTTTACTCCCCAATCCCCACGATTGTATCACACTCAGTTTTAGTTCTTAGCGATAAACAGACTGTTGCATCAAAATTAGGAATTATTCGGGAAAATTGAGATAAAGCATATACCTAATCCTTTTGCTCAGTTGCCGTTTCAAATTCATTTATAAATTCTTATTTAATGTTAGTTACTATGCAAGCTCTTTCGATATTTTTCGAGAAAAAATATTACTGATCAAAGTGCGAAAAGTTAATTCATAATATTTCCTTAGAAATTTTAATAGTAATTTCGAATTCATTATTTTGATTGTTTTTGTTGTCCGGATTCGTAAAAGCACATCCTATACGGGATAAGACAGAGTTGGCGAAAATTCCAATTGGCGACGTAGGAGTGCTCTCGATAATCGCCAAACACCTGTGCTCTGATGTTTTCTGTTTTATTTTCGGTATAGTATCATTCACCAAGTTTAATATGGATGCGACACGTCTTAGCTTTAAGGAAACGGATCTTCCTAAAAATTTTGCGAATATCATTACTAAAAATGATGGGAAAATGAGGAATATTCGATGTTCAATTAATTCATACAATGTTTGGATTAATTCATACCAGTTTGGATTGATACATTTAGTATAAAAACCTACACATCATGGATTCATGGTAAACCTTACCAAATAAGACCAGAAAACTTCTTTGAAAGAATAAGAACACCCTTTATGCAATATGTGTAAATGAAATATATTTTTAAAATGGTGCATTATTTTTTTAATGCATTTTATTATTTTACTACGGGGAGACCACCATAAAAATGAAGTATCTACCGACTTTTATCTTGAAAGAATATAAAGGAATTAAATAAATTTTTCCTGAAGGTGATGTGCACATCACGGCAAAAAAAGTAATTTAGAAATTTTACAATAAATACTTCTAGTAATGGAATAAAGCATTTTGAACATAAACTTTTTACAAAGTTTCATTTTAAACTTGTTATAAGTTTAAGGTTTAACTCCAGGTTTTCAGTCTGAAGTTACAAAATAAAATAACTGTCACATAATAACTTTTAATTGTTTTTCAAATTTTTTTTTTTATTAAATTCTTATTAAATCAGATAAAATTAGATATCATTTATATAAAATTGGACATTTTTATAGATTCAGACTAGATTTCAGTTGGATAAATGACATTTAGAGTTTGAAATGTCACAAGGAATCAAAGAAAAATCCCTTCATTTACACTTTTTTTTTCTCTAGATCAGTTGCAAATATATTTTAGCGCTGACAAATTTTAAATTTTTAAAATTATTGATTATATCATGTTTGTAAAAGAACTATTACTTAACTAGGGAGATAATTTTTAGAATATTTATCGTTTTTGTAATAACTTATATGTTTTTATTAACTTCTTAAAAAATCTTCGTAAAAAAATTACTTTATTCTTTTATTAAGATTGATTTCAGCGACAACTAAAACAGGTTATATTAACTATATAAACTAAATTATGTAAATATATAAACTAAATTATAAACTAAATAAACTAAAAAATATGTTATTTAAACTAAAACAGGTTATATTATCATTTTTCTTACAACAATAGTTAAATAGAATTAGTTCTCTAAAATATGGCTCCAATAAAACATGCGAGAGCGGAGCAAGCAGGGAGTTTATTCAATACATGTAACTTATTGACTATTTTATACTAGTAAAACTGTAAATTTGAGCAGAATGGTTTAATAGTTTCTGAGAAATTAAATGTTAAAAAATATGAATTTTTTAAATTTTTATTTCTTAACTATTTGACCGATTCTGCTAAAATTTCGATTTTTGTTATATATAACTACATAATTTCATATATAACTACATAATTTCATATGAAACTTGCATACCCTTAATGGGAAATATCGATTAATACCTGTTGTAAAAATATTTTCTTTTATTATATTTTCATATTTGTTTATTTGTCAGAATAAAAATTTCAGGACTTGAATGGATGCTTGTTTTATGATTAATATCAGTATTATTATTTTGTTAAGTAATCCTGCAATGTTATAATCAATGTTATCGCTATATCAAAGAGACACTTAATTTTAAACAGTTTTAGTCAATAAATGTTTTACTAGTGATTAACTATCAAAATTATGTATGATGTTTTCTATGACTAACCAACCTATGCATATTATTTTCGCAAAGCTATGTTTTGTCATCAAATTCAATAAAATTATTTCATTCAAAATATATGCTTAACCCTACACTTGAATTTGTTTGAAAATAAAGAATAATAATTATTTTCGCAAAAAGACGCTCAAACCTCCGTCAATTTTTATTTTTATTTTTCATTTTATTTTTTCAAACGCATAAAAACATAAAAATTAAATAAAATGAAAAAAAAAATAGTTTAATTTCATTATTCCCTTCTAACCGAAAAATAACTTATTTTCACAGAATTGATCAGGTAATACAAGAAAAATACGGAGAAAAAAAAATCAGTTACTATTGTTTGGGAGACGTGGATTTCTGGCTCTTAGCGTATCCGCTTAACTACGTATACAATGTTACATGTTCAGCGTAAATATAAATAACAGAATCTTTTCAATAACGAACACAAAATCATATAAGAACTGAAATGTAAGAAATGAAGTGACTGAAGCTTCTAATCGCAGCAATACCGAAATATACCGAATACATCTTACTGATATGCCATTAGGCTTAAAACTAAGGAAGCTACACGTGCGGAAACAGCATGTTCCTCAACATTGAAACTAGCACAGACTTGTGGTAAATTTTGTTTGCCTTACTAAGACAAGCACATTTGCAGATGTGCAAAACAGTTTTCGACGCTTAATTAAGGAGAACATCAGAGCAAATTCAATTCAAAATAAGCTTTGCAAATATGTAAAGAGGCCCAGTGAAGGGTTAAGATTTCAAAGCTAATCATGAACATAACTGTTAATTTGATCTTATTTATTAATTAATTTACTTATTTTATTTCCAGCAGCAGCACTTGAAGTGTATATCATTTGCTGGGGGGTAAAAGCACTCCGCACTAACCCATAAGGAATAACAAAACGAAAAAACAAAAAAATATTTAAAAAAATAAAAACATTCGAAATACAAAAACAATTAGAACAAAGAAACGTTAAATAGAATATCAACAATAGAAATATAAACAGAGAATGGGGTGTAATGCAGTAGGCCTCTTTGTGGTGCAACCTGGGTAACGCCAAATCTGTTACAACTTGCAGCGTGCAGGCCGGTGTGGAGATTTTCTCTTTTTTACGAATGCTCCATTGGACTGCTGGTAGTTTAATTCAATCAAAGGAAGCTTGAGGCAGGCCCGTAGCCAGGGGGGGGGACCGTCGGGACAAATCCCCCCCCCGAAATTCTGGGATTTAGACTTTTTAGTCTTTCTTTGAGCCTCTCGGTAAAAAGAAAAACAAAAACTGTCGAATCAAACCTTTTATTAACTAACTTTATTAAGCATATTTCGGGATATTCTGGTTTGACCTAAAAAAGTAATCGAAAAATTTTCTTCAAATCCCCGTCGCATGTCTTTGTAAACTTTGTTTACAAATTGATTATAATTATTATGTAATATTAATTGAAAAATAAGTATTATGTAATATTTTTTAATTACTAGTTTAAGTTTTGCAAACAACAGAATAAACAATATTTGTTACAACGTTTTTCACCTACTTTGTATATCTGAAACTGCCCTTGCTTCTCACCATATCCCTCCCCCCCGAAAAAATATCCTGGCTAGCTACGGCCTTGGCTTGAGGCTACAATTTATTATTTTATTGCTAATGTAAATAATATACTATTGTTGGCGAATAATATCTGAAATAAAAAAAATCAATGTTTTCTTAATGTTTCTTTGCGAAATTTTTATTCCCCGTTATAAGTTATTTGATAAACGAAATAAATACACCTCGGTTAATTTCACTACATTTGTTATGAAGATGAAAAAAGCGTTGAATTTTAATACAATTTGAAAAAATTGACAGCTGATGCAAAAGAATTTGATTTGCTATCTAACTATCTCAAAACAAAACTGTGGAGAAAAAAAATCTCAAGGTAGGAGCATAATCATGCAAGATAATTTTTTTTCTACCTAGCGAAGTTTAAGTTTAAGTTAATTCATTTTTCGGAAATATACTGTGTTTGGCGTAAAAAAAATATAAACAATTCCTAATTATTCAAGTTTGCGAACAACAATGTTAAGTAATCCTAATATAAAACAGTTCTTTAGATGAATTTAACTATAGGAGCTTCCTAAACATACACTTTAAGAAAAATAGGTTTAACATTTCATTTAATCATAGTAATATCTGTATCTTAAACTACAGTACGATGATGAAAGTGTATTTAATTTCCATTAGTAATTTTATACAGACCTTAAGAATTATCTTAAACTTCAATTAAAAATATATAAAAACTAATGAAATAAAATAGCATGGAACACATTAATGCATCAAGCCAATAGAACCGTTAAAATAGAGTTTTTAACTTAAATGTTGTTCTTTTTCGGTTCCTGCAGTTCTAAAATATGACATTGTTTAAAGCTACTTAAATTCTGTTAAATCCATAACCTATGAAATATTAAATAAATCTATTAAATACAGATACCAGTTTGAAAATTTAATTTTTTAAGCTTTAGTCATAATAATTAATACTAATCACGTAAATAGTAAAATTTGAGAAATAGTAAGCAAAATACAATTTTATCTTTGCCGGTCAAAAGACTCTTTGGGTAGCATTTTTAGAAATAAAATAACCACCAATCAAAATTTTAATCCTTTCATTCAAAATTTCAATCCTTTCAGCCATTTTTTATTGCTTGAATTCTAGGTATAAAGTAAAAATCAAACTCGTAGTAGTTTTGATTTTTTAAACATAATTAGGTTATGTTAGCGGATACTATTCAAAAGGATTTTAACAGTTACGAGATAAAATCAAACGAAATTTGAACAAAACTCCTATGAAATAAATTGTTCACCTAAAGTAATGCTGTTCTAAAAGTAAACATTGGATTGTAAATTATTTCAACGGGGAAGTCTCTGTAAAAACTAAAAAGAACTTACTTGTAAAAAGGTAAACATTATCGTTCGTCAATATGTAAATCGAAAATAAACTTATCAAAAACTTTAGAAGCACAAATATAAAAACTAAATTCTTTTTGTTTGAAGATTTTTATATGCTGAAATTGTATAATTTTAATCAAATATAATGTTTGTGATAGTTTGCTGTTCCAATATTGCTTATGCTAGCTTTCTTATTTTTAAATGTTCGGAATAATAATACTGTGAAATATAATTTACAGTTGTTGAGTTTTGATGACACTGCAAATAAAAATGTCCAAGGTAGAGGCTAAACTATATCATTGAAAAGAATATCAATCGTCTTAATTATTTGGTTGTGAATGGCAGCAAACTGTTTGCAGTATTCTTATTGGGCGATAGGTATTCCTATCCCAATAGAAATGTATTCCTATTGGTTGCTATTGATTGATCTACCCTGGCTAAGGCTCCTATACTATCATATATTCAGGGGCTCTAACCCTGGCAGTGGACAGGTAAGTAAAATGACGTCAGCATAGAAATCTCCAATAATTAAAAATTTCTAGTGTGTAAAAGTTTAATAAAAATTTAAAGCGTATTGATGAAAACTTTTTTTTATCTACACTTTTAACTGCCTGTTTGAATTATCAATTACACAAAACATTAGATAAACAAAAAACTGAAAGAAGCTTAGCTCAGAGTAGATATATTTTATCTTTAGAAAAGGATTAAATATTAAATAAAAAAGAAGGCGAAAACTTTCCTAGATGCTGAACTATTGTAATTAAACTCAGTTAAGTACCTTGTCTAATTATTTAATTGATAATAACATTCATTACAAGTATTTTAGTTTAAATTTTCAAAAATGTTTTGTATACCTCATGAATTTATCACCTTTGAGAAAGAAAAAATTGATATTTCTGTAACTATATCTTCCACAACTAAGCTGAAAGTCTTTAACAATATGATTCAGAAGTCCAAACAAGAAGATTTTCAAGCTAAATGTATAAGATGTGGCACAATAATGTCCGAAAAGCGGTCGATATTAGTTAGAATCCATCCTCCTTTGAAACATCCGGAGTATATTGCAAATAACGAAACTGTTGGTAATGTAGAAGAGACATGTTGTTGTTGCACGTGCGGTACATCAAAATCATTTCATGGATTTATTCATCCTATAGATTCCAATCAGAATTGTAGTGTGAGTCCAAATAGGAATATAAATTCTTTGAAATTAAATTATGGAAAATTTAAAGAAATTCTCACCAATAATTCCACTGTAAACGAAAATGATCGAAATTGCTCATTTGCACCCAGATCTTCACCACAGATACAAAGGAATTACAACCATCCTTGCTCAGATTGTCATGTGACTTTAGTATTAGATTCTAGTAAGGATTTTAACGAATATAAATTTTTACTGATGCTACAAGCAGTTGAGAAATCAGCTGAATGTTTTTCAAAAGGAAGCCAAACCTGTAATTTTACGTCTGCGGATGTTGGTGTTGGAGTAAGTATGTCTAACGATCTTCCAGAAGTGGCTGTTGTATTAAAAGATGGTAAGTTTCATTGATATCACGGTATTTTTTGAAAAGTTTTCAATGCAAAATTAGTATACAGTACACATTTGGTGATTTAGGTTGGTAGGTACATTACATACGTAGCACTAGGGCTGCACAATAAGCTATTGGCGACGGTCTGGGAAATATCCCCGAGGATTATCCGAAGACATGCTATCGTAATTTTCATCCACTGCAGAAAAGATCCTCTGCTTTGGTAGCCCAATGACCTGCGCGCGAAGAGAGCACTTTACGGTGGCACAATTTAACGAGGACCGACACAGCACATCCACGGTACCTACACAGGCTGATCAGAGTGGTCACCCACAAGCTTACTGACAGCAGCCAGTGAGGCTTGACTTGGGTGTTCTACTGGAAACTACGTCTTTTCACTGCGTCTATCAGACTACTGCGGGACACATGTGATTTAGAAAAATACATATTTTTTGATACTCACTCCAAAAGTTTTGATTGAGTGCATTAAGACTTCTTAATTTCTTAATCAAATCTCTTTATATTTGAAAAAATAAACATAAAATAATTTTGATTTGCGGTTATTACGAAAGCAATAACATGTCAGTTTCATAGTGGCAACAATTTCCAAAATCGAGCCAAGTTCTGTAGTATGAAAAGTTTTCTCAGATTTTATTTCAATCCGGAATAAATAAAGTTATTATTTTCTTTAATTATCGGGGTTTATTAACAGATGCCGGGCACTTTCATTTAAAATGCGCCATGGACAAAACTTTTACGCTGTAAGGAGTTCAATCCATCGCGAGCTTTAATGTTTCGTATTTTTCATTACTTAAGATGTTAAATGCTAAAAAAAATTATTTTTGATAAATTCTTTATAAAATAATTAACTAAAAATTGCTGATCATTTACTCCAGTATTTTTGAATGCTAGCTCAATCAAATCATTATAAACAAAATATGCACCAATGTAACTGATAGATAATTTATTTTACTTTCAAAGAATTAACTATTGAGTGCAAAATGAATCATAATCAAAAATAGTTAAATTTAAATTTATTTTAAGAACGGCATTTTCCAAAATGCTACCGTGGAATGTAAGTTTCATTTATAGAAATTTAACGGGAAAAGTATTTGAAATCCTAATGCATTGATAACAATAAGAAAAACATTTTTTTGTAATGTTAATGTTATAGGATTTATTTATATTGAAATACTGAAATATCGTGCAAAAATCGCCAAAAAAACCATGGAAAAAATTCTTAAATTAAAAAAAATAATAAGAAATACAAAATCGGGTTTTTATATGCAATCCATTTTTCAATTGTCATAGCGTATTGGTGCAAAATAAAATTTTGCACCCAATACACTCTGGATTCACACATAGATTATATTGCAATACGTTAAGGCCATATGGTTTTGGTCTTAAGTGTATTTTCAACGAAGCAGACAAGTGTCAATAAATCTATGAGTTCCTTATAAACTTGTACATTCAGGCAAAAAGTAAACTAATCTAAAAATACCATTTCGAAAAAAATCTGCTGCTTTCTGAGCAAAATTAGTTTCAGATTTGAAATTCCTACATCAGAATTAGATACGATCAAGACTTGTAAAAATGCCACAAAAAATTTGTTCCCCAGTGTTATAGATAAAAATAGATGATTTTTAATGATATCCACATTTTTATTATTTTTAAGGAAAAAATGCGCATTGGTCACATACCCCATACATACTTGTTCAATATTCCAGAAAATGTTTATTTTTTAATGTGAAGAGCTATTATTCAGTATTCGCTACCTTGAAATTTTCTTAAGATTAAAGTGCCCGTTATTCTTTTTAATATCAATTTTCCTAATATATCTTAGCGTGAAATTTCCATATTTCCCCTGCAAAAAGAAAATTAAAAAAAAATAGCATAATTTTTTTTTCATTTTTAAGTGAAATACTTAACTGAATGAATATAATAATATAAAATAAAAATACTACATTGTGAATAACTTGAAACTCAAGAGCTTCTAAGTTATCATATCAAATTTCGGAATGTATACTTACCTTATCTTCTAGTCGTTTTACTACACATGCACGAAATTTATAACTCATTTTATTATGAAATGGTTTTAGGTACGAAACTATTATTTTGGAATATTTTTTTTTGTCATTTTTCAACTCAAAAGCATTAAGAATATGCTTCACTAATACTTTAATTAATTTAGAAATATAATTTAGGAAAATTAATTTATTAATTCTATTACGGTTAACATCAGCAAAAACGTTTTTGAATTTTATTACCATTTTTTTTAGTTTATAGTAGTAAATATTTTTAAACATACATAAATAACTTCCAAAACAAAATAAAAGTTTATTAGAATTCCATTACTGTTTTAAATTTTCAGTTATCAAGTCTAAACGGAGATCAATGTACGTTATGTTACGCTCTATCCTCTCAAAATGTTATGTTGTGTTCACTCATATTGTTAAAATTTTGTGATCAGCATTATTTTAGAAAAATAACTTCAGACAAATATAAGCATAAAAATGTCTCAGGGTCCTAAAAAGCCATGTGCAGTATGCAGCATACGTTTTAACACCATTGATTTAAATGAACATGAAAACGAATGTTTTGAAAAAATTCAGAGTAAGCATGAACTGTACATGAATAAAAGGGAAAATGTAAGCAGCTCTGAAAGCAGTAACAAGATACAAACGAAAGAGGGAAGCATCGAGATGACAAAGGATGAACCAGAATCATTCATAAAAGTTAAACAATCTAATTCAAGTACGCCAGAATCTGGTAGCACATCGGATGCTCAAATAAAAGACGGATATACGCCGATTAAAACTGTTAGCTATAATAATAAGCAATCTAAAACCTTTGGCGAAGAATCAGCTGTCCCTGTTTCAAGTGCTAAAAAAATTGATATACCAATGACTCCAGAGAAAGCTCAACGTCAAGCTTTGCTTGCAGAGATAAGAAGTAATAAGTCTAAACAATTAAAACCAGTTAAAATCATTGACAAAGAAGTGAAACGTAATCAATCAATTAAGAAGGATGATCAAAGTAGTGCTGTTCGTGAAATTGATTACGATCAGGAACAACAGAATATATCTGAGCCTAAATTAAGTGATAAAGAATTATTAGAGACTACTCCTTATACTAAAGATCAAAAGCAATCTACAGTAGATGGTAAGTATTTGCCAAATGTTTCTAAAATATTTTAAATAAAGTTCCTTCAAACAAATACTTGCATTTTAACAGTCAAAAGCATCTTACAATGATTTATAAAATGAAAGCATTTTCTTAATTTAGTTTTTATAAATGTCCTAAGTGTAGTTTTTGTTTTAACATTACTACTTATTATTGTGTAACAAGTATTGAAAAACAATTCACTTATAACTGTTTTTAAATAATTTTTCTTTAAATATTAATATTTATTATTTCATATATGTGTGGAATTGGAATACAATTCATTTATAACTATAACTAGAAGGAGATGAGAGCCAACAATATATATCTGAACCTAAACTAAGTGATAAAGAATTATTAGAGACTACTCCATATCCTAAGTATACAGAAGATGGAAAACAATCTACAGTAAACGGTAAGGATTTGGTAAAAATTCTAAAAATATTTGTAGTATTAATCTAATTTTCAACAAATACTTACATTTTAACAAACAAAAACAAGTTGCAATGACTTTATAAAATTGAATAAGAATACTTCTTTTCAATTTGATATTTTTATTAGCCTGCAAGTGGCTTTTGTGTATGCACTATTATTTTTTATTGAGTATCTAGTTGGATAACTCAATTTTCCACTGAAGATCCATGCTTGAAGAAAATGCGAGTTTCAGTCATTTCTGGATCACTAAAATCAGAATTTATCGTAATTTTTATGTCAAATAGAATTTATCGTCAATCGAAACTCTGACCATTTTCCAACTAGCTAGAGAACTCAGATCCTTACTAGAGTTCTGTGTTTGAGGACAATAACAAGATTAAATTGTGGTTTCTTGATCGTTATAAACAGAGTTTATCCCCATATTAATATTTACAGGAATTTATCACCAGGCAATGACCCCCAACATTTAAAAAAATTCCTCGCTGTAGGGAATACCAAGCAACTGTATACTAGGCAATAGCCCTTAAATTTAAAAATTACCAATGAGTAGAATATGATGAAAGTGTATGCAAAATGTATTTGTTTACCACATTTACCAGAGATGTACTAATTATTACTCATATTATTAATTATAACAGCCCAATTAGTCAATGTGACAATAAGTCAGTAATGTATGAACCATTACCCGGTATTAACTGCTCTTTTTTAAGGTGAAGAGTTCTTGTTCGGTTTACACAAGACCGGCACTTTCTACTCTTTTATTTCATAAGATGCTATGCTATTGCCCGGTTTTGCGTTGGCCAATTTTACTGGTGTTTTCTTTTTTTTTTAAAGTAAAGGGTAATTCCGCAGTTTTTTTACATAATTGCTTTAAAAAATGTTTAAAAAAACAGTTTCCAAATTCTCGAATCGAAAATAGATACTTTCTACTGTCCTAGTCTTGGAGAAAATACCAGCGTGCATTCCTTACTCTTTAGCATTTCCTAAAGAAATGCTTGGAATTAAAAGGTGCTTTAATTTCATTGCTCTTGAAGAATTAAATGGAAATTGTTTCACAGGGGCGTATTACTTTATTTTGCCTAGATTCTTTAAATGCTTGTATTTTTATTATAAACGAAGAAATATTTAGTGACTATAATTTCGTTCAAAATATACGTGTATTAAATATATTAGGTTAGCACAAGTGCAAAATAAGTTATTTTTGTTATTTCACAAAATACTAAACAATGCTTTTAAATTTTTTTCGAATTAACAAAGTAGATAATTTCATAGCTAGTAGACAAAACTTTTAAATTTTGAGCAAGATTTATTTTTCAATTTTAATCAGATTCAGGGTACTTTTTTGATCGGCACTTTAAAAGACAACATGCGTTCTTCAGATTCTCCTTATTTATTTTGCCGTATTTGTGGCACGCGGTACCGAAGTGACAAAGTAGATCAGCATGAAAAAATATGTTTGGAGAAATCACAAGGAAAGGAACAAACGTGGTTAGAAAAAGAAGCTCCAAGTAACGTTTACTTACATCAAGCTTTAAGCAGCATGTCTGAAGCTCAATTAAATGCTTCTGACGAAGAAACTGAGGAAATATCTAAGTCAGACACAGATGAAAAATCCCAATCAACGCCAGAAAGACCACCCAAACTAACATCACTAGAACAGCTTGATAAAGACAAGAAGGAAATGGTTGAAACGCCTTATCCATCTCCATCTTCAATAACAAATGACAATCAAATGAGGACCTCAAGAGTGCCACAGAGGTCAAGACCCTCTAAAAAAATAGGTGAAAATCCAAAACAAGCTTGGAATGCAAATGCCAAGAAACCATTAAGTGCTAAAATCGAAATGCCTAAGTCTACTAAGAAATATAGGCATTATCCAGTATCTTGCGAATTTTGCAACAAAAAGTTTCAACCTGCGGAATTGCGAAAGCATATTCGAAAACATCATGCTGATGCTCATTTGCCGATTCATCTAAGAGGTACAGATCAGGGTAAAATCCCTCCTCCCGACAAAGAAAAATCCAAGAAAAAAGTTAGAAAGGTTGGTGACGGCCCGCGTTTTAGAATCTGTTACATTTGTGGAAGACAATTCGGTAGCAAGTCATTGCCAATACATGAACCAAAATGTCTTGAAAAATGGAGGATTCAAAATGGTCAGTTGCCTCCAGATAAAAGAATGCCTGAACCTATAAAACCCAAAACTTTATCAGGTGTGCAAAAGATAATTTTTAAAATTTTTGACATTTTAAGTAAGATTGTACATTTGTACTTTGCCTGGTATAATGAAAAAACTAACAAACTTATCAACGATTATTAGCACAGATCGCAAAATTTTACGTATTCAAAATTTGTACTTTGTGTTTCGTCAAACTAAATGTATTTTTCAACTATTCTAATTACCTAACTTTTCACACACTAAAGTAATTTCTATCTTGGTATTATGGCGAACTAATGTATTTTTCTCGATAGGCTTTCAATTTTAATTTTTTCCTAGAAATTATTCGCATGGTTTTACTCAAATATTCTCGGTTTTACTGAGAAAAATTTTCCAATTTTTCCTAAGATCCAATTTTAATTGAGTTCCGATATCCAAACATAGTTTAAAAAGTTATAATTTAAAAGTAACAATATATGATTTGTTGAGAGATAAAATTTACCAAAAATAAACAAAACAAAGATTTCCCGCAAAATTGAAATGGAATGCATTAAGGAGGTATTAGGCCAATTCTTAAAAATAGAGATACTTATTCTTTTTCCTGTTTTCAAAATTAATTTTCCCATTCAAAGAATTAACTATAATAATAGTTTACATTCATGGCAATATAGAAATTTGCCACACTTTTTCAAGCGAAATATTTTTTCTGTCAAACTGTTCTGTTCGTTACTATTGTTTCCAGATGACTTTTCGAAATTTCCACTAGCTAGCAGCACATTGCACAGGAAAATCTTAGTGTCTACTACTACTACTATTATTAGTGTCACATAAATCATGGTGATTTTCTCCAAAGGTGCTCTCTGGGACAGTATGAAAGCTTTTCATTATACTACCCCAAGCCCTTCATTTATACAACTCTCGAATTGATGAATGTAATATTATCTTTTGAAATTGTTTCTCTTATAGAATCAGAACTGGATGAAAATCTGCATGGATCTGAAGGTTACAGTAAACAGTTACCTGAGTTAAATTCGGAGAATGAAGCGGCTTATCAGAGTCACATGATGAATCTGGTTCCGTGCTCTTATTGTAGCAGAAGATTCAATCCGGACAGGATAATGATTCACGAGAACGCATGCATTGAAAGACCAAAGAAAAGAGAATACATCACTCCAGATAATGTTGAGAAGAAATAGATGAGTTACTTAATTTGCACAGTTAATTTATTAGAGAATTTATTGGTTACAGCAATTAAAATCAACGTGTTTTGTTAATTGTTTTCTTTTTGTTAAAGTTTTTTTCAATGATGCACACAAAAATTTAATTTAGCTCAACTTGAATTTACTTAAGGCCGTTTCTCGAGCACTCTGATGAGAAAAGTTTTTTAATCGAATGATATGATATTTATATAACTGCTGTAACTTAGTTATATTCGTGGCTGTTAGGTTAAGTTTTGCTTATATTTTGTCCCTTCAACTAATCATGAAAATGACGTAAAATAGCAATTTGATGAAAAACAACAGTTTTGTGGATATGAAAAGTGTTTGTGATCTAGATTTATATTATTTGTAAAGCTAGTCCAACGCTGCTTTGTCTAGATTCGTAAAAATGGCGAATTTTCGATTGATTTTCATTTGGGTGGATAAAGTTCGTCAAACTGGGGATTATTGAAAAAAGTTTAATAATTTTTTAAAGATAATTTTTTGCTGCCAAATAGTAAAAAGAGTTTAAAATCATAGCTTTGTTTGGAGTTCAAGGAGTTTGGAGTGCCATGTTCTAAATTGTCATGATAAAATTATGATGCTTTACAATATTTATCAAGTTTATAACGTATCAATAAAACCATACTTTTTGTAAATGTTTCCAAAATCTTTACCAAAGCGCTTTGGTAATATTTATCTAGTTTTTTGTTATTTCCATAGAGCCAGGAACAGGGTAAATTTTACCTTATTCCGATAGTTTTGAACATTATCTTTTTTTCTCAGTGTAATGAATATAAGTTCAGTCGTTAGTTAAATTATTTCGGATGAAACTAGTTTAAAATAATTTCTCACTTTACTTTTATTCTGTTGATAAATACATTGAAAAAATAAATAAAGCTAATGCATACGTGGTATAGATCTACGCAAACTTGAAACGCTTTATTGGGAATTAAAAATTTGTAACTAGCTGTGAAGTTTTTCAGCTAACTTAACCCCAAATTAATAACTTTTAAAAAAATTATTTTATATAGTGTTCGGTTAGTTTATTACTGACTAGATTTTTCTTTCCTTTAAATAGTGTAGGCTTAAATTATTTGATTTTACTGAAAAGGAAATAGGTCATTTTGCTAAAATAAATTTTCTTCTGAAATACAGGTCATTTGGCTAAAAGAAAATTTATGAATAAATAGAAACTATTTTACAAAAAAAAATTTTCTTCTGAAAAATAAAAGTCATTTATACTGAAAGAAATTTTCCATTGAAATATAGGTCATTTCACAAAAAAATCGACTTAAAAAATATAGGTCATTTTACTAAAGGAAATTTTCTTAATTCTTACAGCGTATTAGGGTGACACTGATTCTGATTAGAATGCATCGTTGTTTCATAATTTATGATACTAGTAAAAGCATTAAAAGTTATTAGAAGCATTAAGTGAGTTAAACTTAAATTGAAAGAAAAATGTATAATGTCAAACTAATAATATTTTTTAATTTTGTATAAAAGACCTAACACGGCCTTCAATTCTTCAAAACTTATTAAATCAATTGCGTTTTCTGGGTTGACAGAAAATAATTACTTTAAAAAATTGTCAATTTTGATAAAGTACTCAGAAACCTTGAAAACTGCCAAACTAAGTTGTAACTAAAAATTATTATAACGATCTAGTGGAAAGACTATACTGTATGGTCTTTCCGCTATGGTCTTTCCGCATACTGTCAGAAAATAATAAGCTCAATCATTTTCTGGAAAAGTTTTGTAATAAGAGTTTAGGTACAAGAGTGCATGTAAATACTTCATGAAAAAGCCTTTTTACTCTAAGAAAATTTTATATTTTTTCTAAATGAAATATTTTTAGATAAATAAAAAAATTATTCAGTTACCCATGATGAGCGGAGTTTAAAAAAATAAACAAGCTTTCTAAAAGAACATTTGATTCCTGTCGTAATAACAGAAGCACTTTTTTCGCAGTTCAAAAAAGTTTTCACTGTGTTAATGTTCACAATTAATGTTAAGCTCAATGTTTAAAATAGATCTTTTTTAATGAAAGCTGCTCAGGCACTTTATTATTGCAGTCAGTTTATTTGCTTGAAACTTCATGGAGATTAATTTGACATCTCCAGTCATCATAGTATCAAGTTTCATCAAAATTGGCTGCTGCAATATGGACAAAGATTTTTTTTATCATGGAACTGATGATTGTGTCTTTATTTAAAGTAATTGTATATTTCCAATTGTTTATAACAAGTATCATCACGCCTACATGTAAGAAATTTCGGACTGAGCTACGGTAAGAAAAAATCGGCACTCAGTGGAGCCGGTAATTTTTATCATAAAATCCATTTTTACAGGAACATGTTACGGAACTAAAAAATCTGATATACCATAATTTTTAGAGTAATAATTACCGTAAATAAATAAATATTAATTCTAATTAAATAAATATTGCTGTAAAATTGATGGCATAATATTTTATGCTGAAAATAAATTTTATGAAAGATACACCCAAAGTGCCTGTACTTTATACCCAAATTTTTTCCAAATATTTTATAGTGTACAGCAGATATAATTGTCCTGTGTCATAGACTTAATCATAAATATTTTAATTATTTATAATAAAAATAACTAATTATATCAAATAATTAAAAATTCAATTCTCAACTGATCAACAAGCTCTAAATACAAGCATTTTACTATAAAAGTATGTACGCATTTTTAGACACGAATGTAGTACATCAATTGGCACGAGTAATAGTCTCGGACTGCAACACTATAATCTAACTGCAGCAGTCACGCAACAGTTACACAAGACATGCAATAAGGCTTAGTTAGTCCACTGAGTAATTTTCTGTATATGTTTCTGTATGCAAAAGCTTACTGTTATTATATTAAAAAAAATTCCGTTACCAATTGACATGTGAAGATCTGAGTGGACAAAGATTCGAAGTGATACTTAAACCAGTTTGAGTAAATTATCTTTTAAGTTCATAAGGTGAAAATAATAAATTAAGTTTATGTTTTGCCTATTATTTCCTATCGCCTATTATTTCCTATATGCAAACTTCTTATCTTCTTTCCTATCTGCAAACCCCTAACACTTATTATACTGCGTCATAACGTTCCTTCTCTTGGCGTTTTGATTTGCCGTCTAAGGACAGGCTTTCTAAGGATAGACGACTCCGTTTCGTGCCTAATGCTCAAGGAACTTTTTTTCCACTCCAAAAAACTCAAATGTTGCCACTGTTTACCTTCATCTTCTGATATCTGTGAAATTCAAAAACATGAGCAAAATAATAATATTGCATGGTTAAATAATAATTTTAACCGAAAAATCTCAATGTTTTTTTTATAAAAAAAACAATTTTCCTAAGACGATTGTCCATAAAGCTTTTAGAACTTGTATCGACGTTTTATCGACTATTACGTCTTATATATCGGCTTGCTCAATTATGTAGTCATTTGTGCCATCATTCTTTCGTGCTTAATATCAAATGCTCATCTCTTTAAAGTCTTTCCGAATCTAAATATCAAACACCATTGAACATAATTGGACAACCGGCAATCTAAACCACATTTTATTATATTCTTTTAAAAAATTTCAATACCAAACTAAAGCAAAAATCTTTTTTTAAAGAAATGTGTTTTCTTTCAAGCAGAAAACATATATTTAGGAAAATGGTACTGTTCTGTCTTTATCAATTATGTATTTAGGAACTGTTCTTTATTAACATAGCAATTTTGAATTCCTCTTTTGCTTGGGCCATTTTCTCTGGATTCCTCATCAAAGATAATGCTGTCATGGCCATGGCTTTAGCAGCGTTTAAAGTCGAAGGTTGAGCACGTGGAGCTCCTGCTGCATTAGTAAACTCTTCAGTGTGATTCGATGCTTCAGTATAGATGTTGTAAAAAGGATGGATTGATGGAACTACGTGAGAAACGTTTCCCATGTCTGTGGATCCAACTGGAAGAATTCCAAGTTTTGCTGGATCAGTGGGTGATTTTGATCCTGTAAAGAAGAATTTTCCTGATAAAATGAAATTCTTGATGGAAATTTCCGTGTAAACTTCACACATCTTTGCTGTATTAGGTAAATGTTTTATTTGATGGTTGGATAGATTATTAGTCGATTATCTTTAAAATGTTGAAATGTCCATATGATTCACGACCTTTTTGAATCATGCTAGGACAGCAAAAATTGAAAGCAACATTAGATAGATAAATTTTGTATGTAACTATGTTTAAAGTTGTACTTTTCCGTTTGTTGCATAAAGATGGACTAGGTATTCCGTTTTAAGATCTGATGAGCTATGCGTGTATTATTTTTAAAATGTTCATTGATCAATACTAGCAAAAAACTGTTAGAAACACTATAAAAAAAAGTTTCAAATGCATTTAACATACTGTGTTGCAATTATATATATTTTTTAAATGCTTATAGATTTTTAAAAAAATTGGTGTTCGTAATATATATATATAATAAAACTATTATAAATTTTAAGTAAAGATAAACTAGGTTTCTTGTTTTATGGCCTAATGAGCCATGTGTGTATTGTTTCTAAAATGTTCATAGATAAATATTAATAACAAACTATTAGAAACACAATAAGAAAGTTTTAAACATTTAACGTATTGTGTTGCAAATATAATTTTTTTAAATGCTTATAAATTGTTTTTTTAAAAAGCATTTAGTGCTGATAATATAAACATCACATAATATCTTTCAATAAAAAATAAAACTATACATAAAATCAAAAAAAATTTCCCTAAATTCAATTTAGAAAGATTTTTAAAAACTATTGTGCATGATGTAATTAGTGTAATACTAATACACAGTCCAGTCACATTAATGTGACCACCTGTTAAATACCAGCATAACCACCTTTGGCAGAGCGGACCGCTACGAGACGTGCAGGAACGGATTCAGTTAGGTTTACTCGTGGTAGCCCGTTGGTTCATCTGGGCGGTCAGTTGCTCAACAGTTGCGCGTCTATTCGCCCGAACGCATCTCCGTCGCCTTCGTTTGCCTCTGTCATCTATAGCCCGTGGTGCACCACATGTACCACGCCGCATATTTTGGATAGTGCCATTTTGTCATGCACGTTATACTTTTACCACGGTGGCACGTGAACAGTTCACAAAATTAGCAGTTTCCGAAATGCTCCCACCCTTGGCCCGAAAGCTAATAATCATGCCCTTTTGGACGTCGGATTAATTGATATGTTTCTGCATTACGCCAACAATTGAAATACTTTCCGGTGCCTTAGGACATTCTTTATATACACTCCATTGTAATGTGCTGCCACCTGCGATGAGGTCGAAAATAGGTAGTAGGTGGTGGTTACATTAATGTGACTGTGTAGTTTAAGGAAAACACTCCATATTTTTTTATCAAATACAAATGTTTAATATGAATAATTTTAATATAGGTGACAACCAAAGCTTCCGAAAACCATGCAACTTCTTCAATTTTCTTTTAAATAAAATTTTAAAAAAAAGAATTTTAAAGTCACACTGATATTGTTGAAGTTAGTCACTGAACTTAAAAAAAAAGAATCAAAATCTGAGCATATTGTCAGTATGAAACTAGAAAATACATGCGGATGAACGTAATATTATATATTAGTCTGTTAAATGCATTTTCTTGCTTACATTTACTGTGCTATGTAAAGTTTACAATGTAGAGAATTATAATTTAGAGCATTGTTACTTATTTTCATACTTATCATGAGGAATAATTTTGAAGTTATGAATTAGTTAGTGATGGTTATGAATGCTAACACTGTATACTTTCATACGTTGAAGTTTTGTGATTTTAAGGATTATGAGTATGATATGTTGATGGATGGGCATGAAGATAGGAAAGCTGTATTGAATTTTCTTTTGGTTTATGGAGAAAAAAGAAAATATAACACAGATATCTCAGGAAGCTATTAATCGATTTTGGTGCGATTGTTTTACTTAAAACCTGAATAAAATCAAGCATTATGTGTTTTAATTACTTCAGTTTTACAGTTTAGACAATTTTATTGAGTCTTATTGGAATCGTTGGCTTTTTAAGAAATATAAAGAAAGCATTATTTTACTAAAAAAAAAGAACTCTAACATTAAAGGATTCAAGGTAGCTTTGTTTAATGAAAAATTTGAGCTAAAATTGGTTCACAACTTTCGGTGTCCAAAAATTGACATTTGAGTAAGCATGGCCGACAAAAATCAAGATTCAAAGTATTAAGTTTCCAATTTTTTGTGTGAATAATACACTTCTTTAGCCTCAAATAATAAACTGTGGGAAACATAGTTTACGTGGACAGGGGACGTGAAGTAGTACGATCAAACAAGGATTTTTTTTTTTTAACTACCATCTACAAAATCGAATTTAATGAAAAATTCCTTTGCTTTGTTTAAAAGATGTTTCGTTCTACTTTTCGTTTAATTTATTTGTCATTGATTTTATTATTTTAAAGTGTTAAAACTAAAAGATTTTCTTTTTTATCATTATTTTACAATAGAAGCTCTGATTTTTGTTCCAAAAATGGGTAGTTACGTAATTAGCATTAAAAATGAGCTTCTACTGCACAAAACAAGCTAAAACTATATTTACATATTAGTTGTAACTTATTTACATATTAGTTGTAACTTATTTACATATTAGTTGTAACTTATCTACATAAAATTATTTACATATATCTCCAACTGCAAAAGCTACACGTTTTCCAGATTTCTTTTGGAGAGAAATAAAATAACACCCATTACAGGTAGTGTCTTCTGCAAACAGACAATATAATTTCAGTTTCATATTTTTTTCTATTTTTTCAGAGAATGGAAATAACTTCTGTTCCATTCTGTTTTACATTTTTACAAAGGGAAAAATAATGTTTTCTACAAATATAATCCGTTTAAAACAGACAATAAATTCTATTTCGCTCTCTTCTAATTTTTTTTTTCAGGAGACGAAAATAACTTCTGTTAAAATCCGAGTTTTTTTTTATAAGCAGACAATAACTTGCTATTTGTTCTATTTGAACTAGAATGATTTTGCAGGAAGGGAAATTAACTTCTGATACAGATAGACTTAGTTACAAACTGACACTAATTTTTCTGCTCCATATTTTTCATCAGGAAATGAGTAATTTCAGTTTTGTTCTACATTTAGCGAAAAGTAAAACTAACGTTTCTTGTCAACAAGTTACAAACAAACACTACCTTCAGTTCTCTTCTACATTTTTTTTTCAGAAAGTAATAACAACTTCTGATAAAGTCCCACTCTGTCATAAACAGACATTATCATATACTTCGTCTTATTCTACATTCGCTTTATTCTACATACAGGAAGCAAAATTAACTTCAGTTACACACAGAATCTATTACAACCAGACAATAACTTCTGCTATGTTTTCTTCTAGGTATTTTATAGAAATGAAAAATAATTTCTGTTACAAAAGTTAGTTAATTTGAATTTCGTTTAACAAGTTTTGTAACTGGAAAGTTATCATGCGAATCATTTGAATATAGACGTGTGTCTTAATTTGATTTGGGGAATTTTCAAAGGGGTTTTATAATTTGCATATGCCTTATAAGATGTAGGAAATTATAGTAATAACATTGAGAAAACCCATTTAATTATAGTTATACTTTTTGTGCAAAAATATTTCTTACCTAAATTTTTTTCAAACAATCTACACATAGTATTGTTTGTTACTAAGTCATAATACATATTATCTTCATCAAAATTTGCTTTGTAAGAACATCCAGCAGATATTGCAGCTCCCACAATGCATTTTTCCACTTTTTCTCTCAACACCTGTAAATCCTTGATACTTTGGGCACGGCAATAAATTTCAACTCTTGATTCAGCAGGAATGATGTTTGGCGCAGTTCCTCCTTTTGTAATTATAGCTGAAATTGAGAAAAAAAAAACAATTCTGATGTAAAACAAAAAAGAGGTAGCCATGATTCTAAATAAGCAAATTAGTAAATTAAACCAATTGTAGCCCGGGAGCAGAAATCTGCCTGTAAGGCAGCGGGCAGTTCTGATAATCAGAGCATTTATAGATAATTTTTTATCTAAGATTTTCTCTCAATAAGAGACAAAAAAGAAGAGAGATATTATCAAAGAAAAGTAAGAAAAAATAACAATAATAAATCTTATTTATTAAAGCATAAGTCTTAAGTACATAGAACTCATAATTAAAAAAACAAGGGAAAGAAAAAAATATATAAACTTGTCTAAAAAAATTTAAAATACCGGGAAACAAAATAAAGAAAAGCTATAATCTCGACGTCAGCTCACACGATTATAGCCTTGAAGAAAGTGCTTTCTAATATTGTATTAATATATCATAAGCAAAATATATCAATACAATGTGAAGTGTACCAAAAAAATATTGAAACGGAAATAAAACATATTAAGCAAAAAATAAAAAATAAAAAATACAGAATGAAACACAAAATGTAACATACAAACTGAGAAGCGAATTTAAATGTCTTTACACTTACCGGCATCTTGCAAAAATATCTACCTGACAAGTTTTTTTTTATCCGTTGTTAAACAGCTGACCCAATTATGAGTTAACGTCTACGAATGTTCATCTTTTACTTTTGAACCCAACAGAGGATCGTGGGATGTATTTTATGGCGCTCTTATGAATCTCGTCATCAGCTCGCACGATAATATCAGCAAAAAAGAGTGCTTTCTAATATTGTATTGATATGGTCAAAGCAAAATACATCAATACAATAGTTGTAAGATATTGTACCTATATATTTTGTACATTTGTTATATCTCGTTAGCAATCTGCAGGCATAAAAGTAAACGAAAAGTACCTATTGATTTTCAAAACTTCTAAATAAATTTATTGACAATAGAATGATCAAACTCCAATTACTGGTGTTGATATTCTTGCAAAAAAACTTCGACTGATACTTAGACAAGTTATCTTGATAAGTTTCATTGTAACGATCTTGACTTGGGTAACTTTAAAGTTGTTATTTTATTAGAACTTTTATAAAAAAAATTGTAAAGTTTAGTGCATGAATCTAACAATTTGCAAGAATGTAAACTATATTTTTATAAAAAAAATCCCACGTATGTACACAAACTTACGATTAAGAATTTAAGACCAAGGGCGAAAAACGATTTGTGTCCATGAAAGCTGATTCTGTGAAGAAAAAAAGAGAAAAAAGAAAAAGAAATACATTTACAGGCTTGAAATTGTTCAGGAGCTAGTGAAAATCTAGCTAGTGATCGAAATTGAGCTAGGGATTGTGAAAATCTAGCTAGGAATTGAGCTAGTGATTGAAATCGTAACAATGAAAATGTAAATGAATATCACAAGCATTAATTTACATCACCCAAAACTTTTAAAACAAATTTACAATATTTGATATTGAGAAAAAAATTACATTTGAAAATCCGGTTGGACAAGAACTGTTTCGTTCTCGAAATCCCTCTCTAATCTCTATCTTCTTCAATTTAACTCCAGACGTCTTCTTCACTATGATTTTCCTTGTTCACCTTGTCTACTGGTGAACCGGAACCGTTTTTCTCTAGAATGGCCGATCTTCAAACTGCAATAACTCTCGGGGAGAACCAGTTTTCCACATTATTGATTTGTCAAATCTCAGTACTCTTAATGAGATCGTCATTTTTGTGAATAATAGACTTAGACCTTTTTTTCCCTCTATGTCTTAATTTATTTTATTTTCTGCCGATTACTGATTATTAATTATAGATTGAACAAGTTTTTCTAATTATCCGTATTTTAACCCATTTTTGTCAAACGGGAGATTCAGATGTAAGATTTTATTGAATGGAAATAATAAGTTTACAGACTTACCGTGTAATCTGCAAGTCGGTTTCATTTGTTGTCTTAGTAAACCCAAATTTTGATACAGATTAACTGCTGCGTCGAGTGCATTGATACCTTCCCAAGGGAAAGCCGATGCGTGAGACTCTTTTCCCCGGAAGTCTACACTTACCTGAAAATAACCAAGATGATACGATTAATGATGCGGAATGATAATTTATTCATTGCTGATTAGTGATAATTTATTCATTCATTATACAGAAAAACATTTTTTTCTGTGGCGTGAGACTTTTCAACAGATATTAAATATTCTAACGTCGCTAATTTCAAACTTGCAGTCAATGTCTCAGAGTCACAGTTTTTTAATAAAATTTTTAGTCACTTTTTTGCTGCAATGTACAAGTTCAAAAACATTATATATAACAAGGAATCACATGAATATTAGGACTAACTTATGGAAGACTTAAGGCACATCATCAGGATTAAAATTGAGTCGGAACTCTCGCACAGAAATGTTGCCATACGCCGCTAGAGGTGCTTCGTGTGCTTCTGCACTAGTCTTAATAGAGAGGCGTCTTTAGCCGCATACAATGACATTTCTGGGCATGGGTTCCTATGCAGTTTTAATCCTGAGGATATATGCCCTAACTCCCCTAGATGTTTATTGTAACATTTACTCGATTCTTGTTATAGATAACATTTTTAAACTTGTATATCTCGACGAAAAGTAGAATAAATATTTCATTTAAAGAAGTCTATAGCTTTAGAAGAATAACTAGTGTCATATTTGAAATCCTCACAACCGAATTAGGCAAGATGAAGTGTTTGTATAAATGCAACAAAAAATTTGTTCCCCAGTGTTATTGATTTAAAATCACAAACAACCCCCTTGTGTCGTACGCAGGGACTACATTCCAATTAGTATTAACAAAATAATCTCAAAGGGTTAATTCTTTATTGATTTGAAAAAAATAATTATTGCTTTCTGTTATGAGTCACAATTAATTCATTATTGTTTTGAAATTATAATAATTTATTTAAATTGTTTGGAAATTTAATAATTTATTCATTATTGGTTTAAAACAATAAATTATTTATTATTGATCTGAAATCATAGCTTGTTTATTATTAATCTAAAACTATAATTAGTTTATTATTAATTTAGCATAATAAATGTACCTTTTTGCATCTTAAGTAATGTTTAATTTATTATTGATAAGAAATCACAATTTATTCATTATTGATTTAAATTCGTAATTCATTCATTTTTGATTTGAAGCAATTAATTGTTTAATTTTGAAATAAAACTAGAATTTCATTAACGATTTGAAATCAATTAGTTGTAGTTTTTGGCTTAGTTTAATGTACAACATAAATGTTTCGATTATTCCTTTTTTTAATGGTCGGAGGTTAAACAAATTTAAAACACTATTATTAAGGTCGCATCATGCATATATTTCTTAATTCTCATTAAATTCATTTATATGAAAATTCATGGGTGTGTGTCAGTGTGTGTCGTCTTATACTAAACTGCTCAAATTAAAACAAGTCATAATACATAGTTTATTATCCAAAAAAAAATCGCAAAATTCGTTCGAAAAAATACTTTAAATTTTTAAACTGACAAATTAGCTGCGTTAACGAAAGTTTAAAAAATTACACTTTTTTTATTGTCTAATCACAAGGCAGCTAGCATGCAGTTTTATATATATATGAAAATCTCCGAAGATCCCCTGACGGGGTAGGGACGGGGTTTAGTTTAGTTTATATATGAAAATGATTATAAAATGATAGTTCTTTTTATATATTTCCTTTTATTCGTGCATAATAAGAATTAAAATTTGCTGAGGTAAATAAATAAATAGCTGGTGTATTGCTGACGCTTTGTCGATGTCTTGGCGTGGTGATGTCGAAACTGGGCAACAAACTTCGGATAAGTAAGTACCAGCTTCAGAAATGATTTTAACAAAAATACTAAAAGCAATTAGAAGTTACTTCTCATTTTTAATAAAATATTCCTTCCATTCCAATTTTTACTTTAATGATTGTGCAATTAGTTAAATACCATGCGAGCAATTTCAGATAATTTTGTATTGAAAAATTGATTGATGTAACTCATGCAAGTCATTTATTAAGTTAGTTGTTGATAAAAAAAAAGTTTCGCATGCAATTATATCATTAAATTTTTAATGCAATTAACCGTTTTCAAAGGAAAGTAAAATAATAGAACTCAGTGAATAACGAGTAATTATTACAAAGCAATTAAGGTAAAAATTTCGATGTCGTATCACAAGCCTAACAGGCACGCATTTTTTGTGACCATAATGGCTGTTTCAAATAGCGACCAAATTATATTGACGAATTATATATAACTGGTTATTTTTATTTAGATAATCTCAAAAGCGATCAGCAGAAAGTTTTTATTCTTCTCCGATTTTTGTGTTTTTGAATAAGATTTTCAATTCAATAAACTCTTGCTTATTTGTTTGCTTATTTGTTTGTTTTTTTAATTCGTTTTTTTAACGAAATACAATAGGTAGGTTGAATTTTACGAAGAAAAATCGCGTTTACTATTTCATTTTCATTATACATTTTACAGTTTCTGTATATTACGATAACATGCTTACCGGCATTTCATAAAGATATTTTTTTTCTACACTCATTTGTTATGAATTCAATACCTCTGAGACCAGTGGAATTTGTGCTTTGCGATACTGATGAAGATGCTGAACATATTCTTCTTCATTGTAGTCTGTATGCGAGTGCCCGAATGAATTTAAAGACTGACTTGAGACGTCTTTCTATTTGTTGGCCACCTGTTTTATCAGAACTGGTCAAAAGTATTGAAAGTCTTGCGGAATTTTGTTTTTAATGTAAATTTTTCTTCTTTTTGTTTTATACTTACAACTGTAAGCCTCATGCCATACTTTGTGGTGCATGAGGAGTTTTAAGTCGTTTAAATTTAAAAAAAAAATACCTCTGAGAATGCAAAACGATTTATACTATATTTATTAATTTATTTCCAGAACTAGATTTTAATAAGAATAACAAATTTTAATAAGAATAAGAACAACTAAAAGGTTCAAAGGGGACGAATATAGCAAGTATATAAAACAAATTTTACAAACAGTGAATTAGACAATTTTGCTAATATTCAAATATAATAACTGCACTGCACCTCAGAATGATAGGAAAAGCATAAATATTGCACAAAACAGGGATTTTGTGCATAATTTGATTTTAATTTTCATCATAACTACACTTTTCAACTAAAGAAAAGTTTTTTATCTTGGTACAAATTTAACTTTTTATTTTTTAAGACCTAGATTAAATAGTAACCTTTTGGGAGAAATGCATTTTATGTTTTTTTATAAAAACAAATTTTTTTGATAATGAAATAAATTTTTCTACACTCTTCATTTTTTGATTGTAACAAGATTTAGTTTACCATAAATCCTTGGCGATTGGATGTTACTTCGTCAATAACAAATATTTTAAATTCTTAGGTTTGAAATTTATAAGTCAGTTCAGATTAATTCGATTGATGAAATTTTTTTCCCGTCACGGGATTTATGTTTCTTTATTTTCAAGTAAATAACATTAAGAAAGTGGCGAAAGATTACATTAACCAATATAAATCTCGAAATTTATATTAAAATTTAAATTAAAAAATTTAATAAAGTGCGATAGAAGTTTAATCTATTAATAAATATCATCAACGAAGAAAATTGGTTCTTTTTTATTTCTTCTCATTGCGTCAGACAATTTGTATTGCTTTAACTGTGGTTTTTCTCTGTATTGCTCCATTTTCAAAATAAGCTTAGACAGAGCTGACTTTAGATAGACCAAGCATGATCTAACAGTCGCGTGAAAACTCACAGCAGTTATAAAATAAGCATATTATTCGTAAAATAAACGTCCTTTCACATGACAACGGAGCCTTCGAAAAAGAGCCTTAAAGAAGCCTATCGACCGAAATTAACCGTCGAGGGGTAGAGACAAGTAAGCTAAAGGAAGTATATTAACACTCTATAACAAAAAACTCGACGCACCAAGAAGGAGTTGTCCGATTGAAACGAAAATTGGTGGATAGGAAGACAATGTACAGAATAGTTAAGGATCAAAATTTCAGAACAATTGAATAATTTATTGTAGAGTTACAGTAACAAGTTCAATAAGGTGTTGACCCGCCTCTAGCCTGGATACAAGCTGCCACACGGCGTGGCATAGACCGATAAAGCTCCCGGATGGTCTTTTGCGGTATTTCCTACCAAATTTGATCCAATTGTCGAACGAGGTCATCAACATTCCGTGCCAGATGCAATCGCCTTCCCATCATATCCCAGACATGCTCGATGGGAGAGAGATCTGGTGATCTGGCGGGTCAAGGAAGAGTTTGACAAGCTTTCAGACAGTTCATAGCAACACGTGCCGTATGTGGTCTGGCATTGTGCTGCTGAAAAACCAGCCCAGGGCGCTGCAAAAGGAACGGTAGCAAAACCGATCTTAGGATGTCGTTGACGTACCACTGTGCAGTAAGCGTACCTCTAATGACGACCAAAGGGGTTCGACTGTCAAAGGAAATGGCGCCCCAGACCATAATGCCATGTTGAGGGCCGGTTTGGCGTGCAATAGTGAAGGCAGGATCCCCCTCTGCCCTATGCGTCTCCAAACACGTCTTCGATGATCGTCAGGACACAGTTGGAAGCGGGATTCGTCGCTAAAGACTATACGTCCCCAGTCGGCATCATTCCAGCCTGATCGAGCCATGCACCACTGTAATCTGGCACCAAGGAGCAATCGGATGATTGCTTCTTGTTGCGTCGATTTTTTTGTTATAGAGTGTATGTTGTGCTCAACTTCCCATGTTAAAGTCGGTCAAATTGATTTTATTTTCTATGCGGGGAACTAAACATTGTAGAATAATAAATAAAATATCATATGAAGATGCCGACTACACCTTTAAACGAAAAAATTTTTTCTTTAGGATTGAAATCAACTGAGATCTGAGATCCTAAATTTCATAATTGAAATTTAGGAAAATTATTTTGGTTAACAGGCTAAACAAGTTTGCCATTATTTAATTTTTCATAGACATGTTAGGCTTAGCAGAGGTTGGGGCATTAATAAAAGAACAAAATAAATAATTCCTTTTAGCTTGGAATTAGTTAACTTATAACCTCTTTCAAATTGCGGTAGTTAAATTTTTGGATGGACAGAAGTATACCGGAATACTTTTCAAGATAACCAGATTATGTTATTTATACATTTCATTCAATTACAACCAATTAAATTCTTCTTCTTAAATGACTTAGGCTTTGAGATATAAAGTAAGGTATATGCAATCACGAATAATAATTATTTCTTTATTAAGAAGCTAGATGCTGGAATTAATAAAAAAATAAAGCAGGTAAAGCAAAAATAAAGCAAGTAAAAACAAAGCAAGTTAGAAAGCAAGTTTTCCCGCAATTTTATATTTGTTCTAAGCAACAAAGATAGTCCTCCAATCCTAAAATTACTTAAATACGAAAAAAAACTACAATTAAACTATTTCTAAATGATCTATTACTAAAATAACTTTTTTAGGCATTTCTCGTTTAAATTTGATTATCTATTTGGTCGCTTAAATTTCTAAGCAATAAAAATCTAGATTAAGATTCGTAACATTTTGATGCGAATAAAAATGTTAAAGCTAAGCAAAAATAATAATCTAACGAAGTAATAAAATTGAAAACAAAAGAAATAGTTAAATTTGGATGTTTAGTTGATTCGCTTTTCTAATAATTATATTTAAAGTTTCTTCTATGGTGATTCAGACTCACATTCTTTAGATGAATCTTTACTCATAATAAAATACAAAGTGGATGTGTGGAAGGGTGTGTATAAAGTGATAAAGTCACAATAAAAAATACTTGCTGCTAATCTGCTCAAATTTATTGGATTGAACCAATCTGCTTTAAGAGGATGAACCATCATGGCAGCATCTACGTCCTCGAACGCTCCCAGTTTTATCAATTTAACTTTACCACCACCTGATTCTTCAGCTGGAGTTCCCAAAACTACTACCTATGAAGAAATATGTTTACATTTCGAATAAGTCTTATCATTGTATTTTACAAAACATTTCAAAACATGATTGTATTTTGCAAAGCAATTACAAAACATCATTGTATTTTACAAAACATAGTTCACTTTAGTTCATAAATGTAAAGGCAAAAATACAATATTTAGAATGATACGCTTGGCGCATATGAGGTATCTGTATGAAAATTTTAAAAATTAAATTCAGAGTAGCTGATTCAGTATTAAATGAATTTTTTTTCCATCTTGGTTTTAATTGAAAAGGAATCTATCAAAGAAGTGGTACTGTCTGCACATTTGATTTCTTCCGACTGGCAGAAAAACAAATTTAAATTATTCAATTTGATGATCAGAAAACGTATGTTATTGGTTCTTAAAAACGATCTCAATCTAGTTAGAAGAAGTTTAACTAATTAAAGAACGTCAAATAGTTAGAAAAAAACCATGGCTAACTACAATTTCAACTTAGTGATTTCCTTCGACTGGCAGAAAAGCAAATAAAAGTTGTATAATTGAAAATTTGTTTTAATTCTAATCTCAAACTTTTGTTAGAAAAATCCACCATGGTTAATTATTATACAATTTCATCTTAGCTCCACAAAATAAATAGCATCAATGACGATGATGTTCAGTGAGCAAAATAAAAAACAGACCACCCTGAATAACGTTCGAGCTAATGATCGGGTCTTTACGTTCTAGGAATCAAAATGATTCAAGGAGATGACCTTAAATGTGCTAATTAATTATTGCGGTCAATATTTTAAGTTACAAAATCGTATTTTCCCTGAATAAACTTGCCTTTTTTAGATGGATTTGGATTTCTGACTCCCAAAATATAGGGGAAAGCCACAATCTGGGATATATGGTGTTAATCATCTGGTTAGGAAAGTGGTCAAAAATTTGGATCCTTTTAATGTTAATTTATTACTTTCTGCGTATTACGCCAAATCTTGGGAACTTTTTAAGGGAATCCAAAAAATTTTGCCTTTCAATATATCCATTCAAAAAATATTTAATACTTATTTACTATTTTTTATTATTTTATTTAATAATAGCTAAAAAAAATTTAAATTGTAAGGTATAAAAATTTTTACGTCATTTTTAAGAAAATAGTTTTATAGGAGGTAATTAATAATTACTTATAGGAGGTAATGTACAAAATTTGAACAAAATCGATCGTATAATTCAATAAAAATTGAATTTTAAATATACAACTTATTTAAAATTCTAATGTACATATTCCAGTAAATCTTTCAGATACGTATTTTTAAAGTTTGATTTCTCGGGAACTATTCGACATATTTCGCTCAAATTTTGTAATTCGCAACATAAATTTATATTCCTTAAAATTATTTCTACCTTACAATTCAAACTTTTTCTACTATTATTAAATAAAATAATAAATAATTACTAAAATTTGTTTTGCATGAAATTCTGTTTGAATAAACAAATTTTACAATTGTGGTTCGAAACTTTTTCACTTTGCTTAAAAATTTCAAGAGTAATTTAAAAAATACGCAAAAAGTAAAATTAACATAAAGGGGTCAAAACTTTGCACCGCTGTCCAGGAAAAACAATTTGGACCATATTTCCTAGATTGCGCCTATTTCCTATATTTTGGGAATCGGGAATCAAAATTCGCCGGGAAAAAAATTCATGTTTATTTAGGGAAACATTCTTGCGTCTAATTTCGTAACTTATAATATCATCAGTACTAATTAATTAGCAAATTTAAGGTCCCCCTTCTAACTATTGAGATAGAGTTCCAGTATGTGAAAATCCTATTGTTACAAAAAGCTATTCAGGGTGGGTTTTTTTCTAAATTTACAAATATATGTTTCATATGGTATAAATATATATAATGGTACTTTAATACGACCAATTTTTTTTATCCTATTCCGATTTAATAGTAATAACAGTCGATGACAAGTATTTAAGCTGTATATTTTATTTATCTCTATTTTCCTTCAAGAAATGTACCTCCAAAACATACCTCAAAGGTTTCAAGCATAATGGTTTTTAGGGATGGAGTTTGTTTATTGATTCTTTTTTAATGAGGTCATACCAGTCATTTTCCATGTATTTTTTTGAAACTATAAATCGATGTGTTCACAAAATTGGAGCAGGTATTTTACTACATGATATACTTTTTGCTAAGCAGAGTTTTAAACTGTTTCAATAAATTAAAATATAGTTTTTCTTTTTCTCTGCTTCCAATAATAGCTCTATATCCTTTAATTCATGCCTATTTCATTCATATCAATCTTCTGGCAATCTCTAACTTATAACTGGTATGGTAAACTATTTTTTATTGTATTTTGAGGATTTTCTTAAACTTTATTAATGTATTGATTTATTTGACAGGGAAATGCATGGAACTTTAGAGACAGGGAATTTTAGTGACATTTTAAATTTTGCACTACATGTTCACATAAATAAATAAATGAGAAGACAATTTACTCGAAATATAACTAAAAAAAGCAGAGTTGGGTAAAATATGATTACAAGAAATTATTTACTTCTTATTATGACTACAATTAATTGTAACCATCGATTATCATTTTTTGATCACACGTTTTAGGATATTTTATTCATGGTAGTTATTATATACTATTGCAAGTAATTAAAATTACATGTTATCTTAATTAAAATTGATCATAATGCATGATTGCAGAATAATTTATTCCTGTAATATTCTACATTGTATCCAACTCTGCTGTTTAGTACACTGAATGATGATATCAGTACCTTTCCCTTAATTTTAGAATCATTTTCCATTGCTTCTTTAATACTGATGGCGGCTGCCAGACCCGCTTCAGCAATCAAATTATGTCCACATGCATGACCAATACCAGGTAAGGCATCGTATTCCAAAATAACAGCAATGCTTGGGCCGTCTCCTTAATATTTTGTTATTAAAAGTTACATTGTAATAATTTTCAATCATAAAATGTATTGATTAAGAAAAATATGAACTATGCAACATAATGCTAATAAAAAAGCAATATTTAATTATTAATTAATGAAAATGACAATAAGATAAGTATTTTTACTACATTTTTATTGACTCGTGTTCTTTATATTTGAACCATTTTCCGACTTGATCAAAACTGAATTGGAACTCTGTTTTAATCTCACATTATAACTGTGATTCTGAGCTGAATATCAATAAGACTCTTAATTGTTTCTTGGAAAATGCAAGTAAATTTTATCGCCAAGAAAATTTTTGTTTCGTCAATTTATATTTCAACTACAAACTATATCGCATCTATATTCGGCAAATTAATGGCGACATTATCACAACTTTATTTATCGAAATTTAAAAAGGAACTGAAAGAAAGTTACAGACATGAAACTTAAATAAAATTTTTAAAAACTACTTTTTTAAAATGTTTTAAATTGGAAAAATGTCTTGATTTTTTTATTAGACTTAAAATGGACATCAAGTCTTAAACAACATAGAGAGAATCATTAAAGTGAAAAAATTTCTGTCACAGCCAAAAAACTCTCCTTGGCCCTGATGTTTATCGAAATTGCTGAGCTCTACGTTTTTCGCTTTAGGCTTCAGAAAAACAAAATTATTTCCGATTTAACCTACTAGAAAAACGTAGTTTTAATACATTTTAATTTTTTGTTTTGAAATGTATATTAAACATTTATAAACCCGCTATTATTTTTACCAGTGCATTTTTGATAAATTAAGGTCAGAGTAATTTTATCTTAGATTCTTTATCAATTAATGTTAATAAACGCTGTAAATTTGAAACAGAAATTGATTATCAATAAGAAATTTAATTAATGACCTTTCTCCCTTCCACTATTTTAATTCAATTTTTTAACTGTGACGTCAAATCAGACAATTAAAAAATAGCCATTCATTTTATTTACAAACGGAAAATTTAAACCGCTCTTATAACATATAACTATCCCGTGTTCTTTGTTGGCCAAGAACTATCCAATCCATCTCGTCGTCAGTCATTATAGCGCTTTTCTTTCAGTGGCTTTAAATTTGTTCAACTGCCACTTTGGGCTTTTGCCGAAAAAGGGCTCTAAATCAGTGGTTACCAACTGGCTGCCCGCGAACTAAAATATATTAGTTGTCTTTTTTGCGGGCTATATTCGGAAGAACTCTATATGGATTTAAAATACTTTTATTTCGCTTAAAAAAAATTTTTTTTTTAAAAATAAACTTATTTTCTTTGTTTTTGCGAAATCTAACATACCAACAGTGCAAAAAAATGTATTTCTCAGGTTTTGCATCCAAGAAAATATTTATTCAAATACGAAAATAATCGTGTATGTTGCTCCTTTTTTTTGTATTTTTGAATATAATTTAGCATGTGCGTATCAGAAATTTTCTGGAAGAATTTCTCCGATTTAACTTTTTGTAACCACTCATTTTGGACGAAATTAATTACATTTGTAAATTTTGTGGCCAGAATTTTTTAATATGCAATTAAATATTTTTGAAAATCGATTTCTTATTTAAATTTTTAATTCAATACTTTTGTTTTGCGCAACTTGATAAAAATCTGACAGTAATATTTAATGTTCCTTCAAACATAAAAGAGTCCTACATAAAATTTTGATAAAGTTGTGGTCCGCCCTTTGACTGGTGTTTTCAATTGCTATGCCCGGCCTGATGTAAGTTGGAAACCCCTGCTCTAAATGATGTCTGATTTCGAAAGGTGCTCCCGGGGCGCGACAACATCTTATGCTGGCTCTGTTTATTTTGCCTTATTAACTCCACAATGAATGGCACAATATCTTACAAATATAATTAAATGTTAACTAATTAACTCAAATAAGTAAGCAATATACATTTTTGTATCATACAAATGATAAACTATTTTAGAGAATTATTTTTAATAACAAAAAGTATCTCACCTGAAGAAAATTCTGCTCGAAAAGCTGTTTGTAATAAATAGTTCTTATGGACTTCAAAACCGTATTTAAAAAGAGCATCCGTTAGAAGGTTATGAGCATATACTTCCTCAAATTTCAACTCTGGATTTTTCCAAATGTTTTGACTAATAGAATTTAAAAACAACTTTTCTCTGTCAATAACAGATCTTACAATTTTGGAATCGTTCTCGCTCATTGTTGCTAGGAAAGATCTTCGCGAATAAATGAGTCTTGAATTCGAGCAAGCGTTTATCTTCAAGATAAAGGATAATTATCTTTAAACAATGTGTGTTTTTTTTATAAATGCTTAATACTATTGATTAAGGGAAACAATAAACATTTAATCTATGCTGAACTTGCTTTTCTATCATAACTAATTATTTTCATTTTTTTTATCTTCTTTAACTATACTTAAATATGATTGAGTAATGCTATGAAAAAGTTACAACAGCCATAAGAAAAATTTATAGCTATACTCATGATTTCACATACAGTATTTTAAATTTGTTGCAATTTTTCAAGAGATTTTTCATTCCCATCTTGGCATCATTCCCCTTGTATACAAATTTAGCACAAAATGTTAAGATAGTTTGGTATTGGACATATATATTTTCAAAAATATAAATTCCAGTATAATTACATAAAATACATCATATAATTCTAGCAAACTGAGCTGTAAATTAATTTACGAATAGTAAAATAAAAGTATCATGAGTACACATGATGTTCTATAGTCATCGGCCATTATATATAGTTTAAGAATCCTTAACAAACATGAAGTCAAAAGGGTACACATATTATGGATTTGAAAATTAATATTAAGTATTGGAAATGAAATTAATATTTTTAATTTCTAAACTTTTCTTTACCAAAGGTAAAAAATAAGAAATACAATTTTGTATCAGTTATAGGTGGAAACGTATATTCTAATTTAGACATAAGGAAAAAACTTCCTTTTAGAAATTCTTAAAAGAAATTTACGTGATTGACATTCTGGCATGACGCATGACCTGTTAACTTAATTAGTGACATCTTGAAGCAATTAAACTATATTAAATACAGCTATTAAATTATATTGCATATTTTCTGAATATTGCATATTCGCTGAAACTAAAAATATTCACTGGCACATCTATCCAAAAACAAAAAGAACCAAGAATAAAAAGAACACAACAATTACTATATTTTACATTAGCACAATTTTATTGTAGCACATTAAATAACATTAACTCCACAATTTAACAATGAACAGAATGTCCATCACGTTTATGAAAGATCAGTCATGTGATCTTTAAACTCTGCTTTTGCCTGATCAAGTTTTTGCCGGTCTCTCATCAGAGACAAAACAGTCATGGCCATTGCTTTGGCAGCACTCAGAGTTGGCAACTGAGCATCAGGTGATCCTGTCGCTGTTGTGAATTCTTTAGTGTGGCAGATTGAATTTGTGTTAATGCCTATGTGGGGATGAATTGACGGAACAACGTATGATACGTTTCCCATGTCCGTGGATCCGACAGGAACAATTTCGGGCATACCATTATCAGCTAATCCTGCGAATATTAATATAAATGTTAAAATCTAAATGCGGAAATTATTCTACAGATCAGGGATGGCGAACCAATGGCACGCGTGCCATTTATGGCACTCGACACAATATTTACACAATATTTTGGGCACGCCACCGATCACATTTGTTATTACACTATGAATTGTTCTTACTCAAATGCTATTACACTATGTAACAATTAAATTAAAATTCACAAAAAACACGCAAAATAAACAATTATTAATGTAAAAATTAACAATTAATGCTAAAAAAGCAATTAATAACCATAAAAAATAAGCTAACAATAAATAACTGACAAAAAAATAAGCAATCCTGCTTAAACTAACATCTTACAACCTAATATAAGTTATTTGTCATCTAATCTGCAACAACAGAAGTCCCACTAATGTTACTTTAAGTTGAATTGCGCGTATAACTGAGACATTGCAAAATATTTTTTTTTTCAATGTAATTAAAGAGCTTTGAGTTGATAGTATTTAGTCTTATTATTTTCCCAATAATCAAGAAGGCAAAATTATTTGACGGCACGTCTATGACCTCATTAAACAATATTTTGGAAAAAATGGCACGTTGGTGTATAAAGGTTCGCCTCCCCTGCTACAGATTATCTAGGCAATTTGCTGATTATCTATGGTGATCGATTATAGTGTCGAATATTGTTTTATTTCTCAAACCACCTAGATAATTTGAAAATTACCTAGATAATCTACATGTTACTCTTTAAAGTGAATTAAGTGATTAAATTAACATAATGATACTGATTTATTTTTATTTTTTTTATGTTAAGAATCTAGTTAATACAATCAAGCAATCAACAAATAAGTTGAAAGATTCAGTCATCAATAAATTAAAAAACATAAAGAAATTAACACATTATTTCTCTAAAACTCCATATCTGAAATTCGATATCTAAAAATTCAAATCAAGGGAATACAATCAACAAATTAAATGATAAAACCATTCATCAATAAAATAACAACTGTAATACTGAGAATCAAATCTTGTAAATATTATTACAATTGAAGAAATTAAAATAATGTTTTTGTTCTTTTTTTTCGTATTTTAAAAAAATCGACTCAAGTTAATACAATCAACAAATTAAGTAATAAAATCAATCATCAAATTAAAAAAAAATTTATAAACAATCAAACTTTCAAGGAAATTAAAATGTTTTTATTTATTTATTTTTGCTTGCTAGTGAATTGAATCAAGTTATTACGTCAAACAATCAACAAATTAGTTAATAGAAAGAGAAAAAAATTGTTGAAGAAGCTGTTTAATGTGCACATTACCCATGTAAAATTCAGAAAACGCTAGGTTCTGCACTTTACCAGATCATCCTAGTTAATCTACACATTAGGTAGGTAAATTACAATTTAACGACTTTTAAGCTTCAGCAGTAACATAAACAATGAAATGGCAGGTTATACTAAATTACAACTCCTTGGCCTTGGAATTTTAAACCCAATCCAGAAGACAAGGGAACTTTTAAATCAAGAGTAAGAAAAAATTTGCCATCGTGGAGGACTTTTTGATGGAGCTAACTCGCATTTGCGTTACACGGAGAGGAAAATCAAAACCTCCCACTGTTAGCCTGAACGAGAGGGGACTTTAACCCTTGATCCATCTACCACCGGAATATTTTATGTCATCACTGTGTTCGGTGAGAGCCGGGTGCGAAATTCGTACCGACTAGCTATCGCTGAGATTCGAACTCGGTTCACCTCATTGAGAGGCAAACGTTCTATCCCCAGAGCAATTACGGCTCTATTACGTAAGATTTTCAACAAAAAAAAGAATACTTACCAAATCGTTCTGCAAATTTGGTAAAAAGTTCACACATTGTTTTATTTGTTACAAGATCATCGCAGCTGTCTTCTTTGTCATAATTTATTGTATATGCACATCCTGTTGACATAGCTGCTCCTTCGATGCATTTTTCAAGTTTGGATTTGATTTCAAGCAATTCTTTCTTAACGGGTGCTCGAATATATATTGCAAGTCTAGATTCCGCTGGTATTATGTTTGGGACTGTCCCACCTTTCGTGATAATTGCTATTAAAATTTTTAAAAAAGTACTTGTTATTATATTTAAAATAAAAACTGCCCAAAAACATTTGTATAGATATTATTTTACTTAATGGAGATAGTTTATACTTCATGAAATTAAAATAAATAATGATAGTTGCAGTATTTGCAGAAGATTTTACAAGTAAATGTTATACTATTGTACACTATAGTAGCATTAAGTTTGGTTACATAAAAAAATAGGTGACGTGAAAAATCGGTTCTCCTTTGTAAGTCATAACTCAGTGAAGATGGGCCGTGTTGTGAAAAAAAGCGTGTTTCCTATTCGTACGCAAATTCTCAGAATCAGCTTTCATGGACATTAATCATTCTTCCCCCTTGATCTTTTAACAAATTTTTTTCTTCTTAAAAGTCAATAAAAAAGATAATTTTGCTTATAAAATATATAATTATTTTAATTTTATGCAAGCGCAATTTATTAATACGTTAATCCTAACGAAATTAAAGGATAGCTGGATAATAAAAATAATCAATTGTTTTTTTAAAAAAATCGTAATACGGAACATGTGATAAAATGAGAAGAAATAATTAATGCGAAGTATAATTAATGAGAAGAAAAATTAATGAGAAGAAGAATTAATGAGAAGAAGAATTAATGAGAAGAAGAATTAATGAGAAGAATTAATGAGAAGAAGAATTAATGAGATTTTATTTGTTAACCATATGTAACGATAATCTTATATCATATATCAGTTAGCTTTGGAAACAGATCTCACTTCAATCTTCATAATTTTTAAAAATTTCAATTTAGATGTTCAGATTTTTGTCTGGTAACATTTAATCTCTCTCGCACATTTTTTATTTATTTATTTTTTACTTTTGACATCACGCCAAACGTCAGCTTATAAAATGAGAAAGGCGAGAGGGATACATTTTTGTACAACAAAAAGATAAATAATTATTATTTAAGAGAAAAAATTGAAAAAAATGAAAAAATTGTAATAACTTTCGAACAAATATAAATCATGAATAAAAACTATCATAAAATAACTTCTTATTGTTATATTTATTTAGTTGAAAAAGATGCGTGTATGCATTTTTTTTTTCTCTGTAGTAGATTCGTATTGGATTAATCTAGATCTAGACCCTTTAATCAAATAAATGTATTTTTCAGAGAAAGAAGCATCTTCCTCACATTTTAATTAGAATCATTTATATAGAAGAATTCATACTAATCTTAGCGTACTTCAATCTTGGAGTTCATTTATAATTCACATTATAAAACATCCGAATTTTTGCAAAAATACATATTTTAGTAACTTAGATATATAAACACTTAATGAACACTGTTACTTAACAGAATAAGTCTCAACTACGAAACTAAGTAAATGTAATCATAAAAACAATGAGTTTTCTTCTAAATTTCGGCATTTATATTTTCTTTTTATTTTATTTTACGACCGGTATCGAACAGCTAAGTTTGTGACTATCTATGTTCAACTCTAGAGCTTTGTAATTTTGAATCCAACACGGAAGACAAGGGAATTGCTGGATCAAACATTGGGTCAAACTAGTCTTTTTGAAGGACAACTTTTTGCTGGAACTAACCCGCATTTGTGTAACAGGAAGTAAAAACCACGAAAACCTCACATGATAAGGGATTCTAACCAATTATCCATCTACCACTAGCGATATTTTACGTGAGCACTGTGGTCGGTGTTCGCCGGGTGAAGAACTTGTATCAGCCAGCCACCGCTGGGATACTAACCTGCGTCACCTCATCGGGAGACGAATGCTCTATTCCCTGAGCCACCATGTTTTTATATTTTCATGTGATTTAAAATAGTTATGTCAAAATAATTATTGACTAAATTACCGCGTATTTGAGAAGAGGGTTTCATTTGTTGCCTAAGTAAGCCTATGTTTTGATATAGTGTCACAGCAGCATCCAGGGCATTTACACCTTCCCATGGAAAAGCACTTGCATGAGATTCTCTTCCCTTATAATCAACAGTCAACTGAAATGATGCAACATATTGAAAGACAGAAATAAATCATAGAGACTATATTATCTCATTTCAATGAATATTACAAAATTTTCATGTATGAAGATCAAAGGGAAAGAACAGTTTAAGTCTATGATTCACAAAAAGAACGATCAGATTACCATTGGTTTCAGTTTAAGAAAGTCTTAAGTTTTGACAAATCAATAACATGGAAAATCTATTCTTCCCGAGAGTTATTACGAAGTGAAGATTGTTGTTCTGAGGGAAAACAATTCCTCTAAGCAGTTCTTTCCCCTTGATCCTGATAGAAATTTATATAATCCCTGCCTAATTTAAAAATTAATTTCAAGCGAGAACAACTCACATCTGATAAAATGCATAATTGTAAGCATTTAGTTTCATAATCAGTCCAAAAATTAATAATACATAAATTTCTATTATTACGCGTTTAAATTATTATTTTGTTTAAAGCATTTAAAGTTGTTTCCTAAAGAGTGTAAAAAAATATTGCTATTATCTATAAAAAAAAAACATGTTAAATTAGGCTTCTAAATTTATCCCAATTTTCAAACTATTCAAACTATATCGAACAATATGTAATCTTAAGAGTGTTTTTATATTATTTCTTTTAATCAGCAATAAAAATTAAAAACAAAAATTATAAATCGATAATGAAATAAATGCCTACAACCATGTAGAATTGTTTCCAATTTTAAAATGTTAGTTTTTTATGCTGTTACGGAAACAAATAAAATGTTTGGGATGATTTTTTTTAAACAGAAATAATTTGTTTGTTATGAAAAGTTTGAAAGCTAATCTCAAAAAGTTATAGAACGATCATTAATTTCTCATTGAAAGTATAACAGCAAAGTTTTCATATAATTTATTTCAGATACTTTAGTAGACAACTTTAGCAGTTTAATTTAGTAGGCAAATTGATTTTCTTTCTGTTTTGTGAATGACAAATTTTCAACAATTTCAAGGAATCTCAGTATAACCAACTCCCAGTCTCATTACTTTTGGTCTTTTATTACGTTTCATGAGTTTACTTTTTTTTTTTCCTTTTCTTGTAAAAAATGATTTTTCGAAACTTATACAAATCAATAACAGTAATAGAAAAAAAATTAGTACCTTACCAATTGGCCGATAAGACGTCAATACAAAATCACCAAGCAGCAAGTAAATACAACAGTTTTCTTTTTTTTTTTTTAAGATGACAATTTTAAAAAAATCTTTCAATTGATGACATGATTTTTAAAAAAAATAAAGCTATTAAGTATATAATTAAATAAAATAACTGATTTTGTATTGGCAAAGTTATCTCCTGGACCGGCCAAATCGTTAAGTAATTTTTTTTTTCTATTTCTGTTTTTGATTTTTAATAAGCTTCAAAAAATTTTTGGACAGAAGATTTTTCTAACTCTATAAGACTAAAATTTTTTACACCGCATTATAACATTATTATAAAGAAATCTCAAAATACTTGCACTGAGAAGGCAAATAAGGATTGGTTGAAACCAGTTTATATTGTCTGGATGAACCATCATAGCGGCGTCTATTCCCTCAAATGCCCCAGATTCGATTAATTTCACCTTACCTCCCCCTGACTCTTCAGCTGGAGTTCCTAAAGCAACAATCTGAAACAAAAAACAATTGGAGAAAAAAATTAACTCATAAAAATATGGATGTAATAAAAAATGGAAAAACATAGTCAGGGTATACCTGAATAATACGAGTTGCAGAAAAATTTTCTTAATAGAGGAGAGAGCGCTAGTGCGGATACGGGACTAAAGTAGACAATTGGAATGTTTCTATCGTTAATAACTTTTTTTCATTCTCGATTTTTGTGTTTGATTTGGAAATTTTTCGATTTACAAAATCTGATTGTAATGTTTGTCCATATTCTATTTCGATAATTACTCGTATTAATAATATAGTAAATATAAATCGATAAAATTCGCGTCATGTGATTTTTACTTAACGATTATTTTCTTATTGTTTATTACCCATTGGCAAAAAGGGTGTTGTTTTGGGCTTGATGGCGTGGGCCTGCTCACCTTATTTGGACTTCATCACACTTTTCGTCTGTGTTCAAGAGTAATAGTAAGCAGTGCGCATGCGTTGCTATGGTGACCGCTGTCGCTTGATAATTTTTTTATAATTCTTTTTTTTTTTCACTTTTAATATTGTTATGCATTAAGTTGGTGAGTTTATTTTTGAGATATGGGACCAGAGAGATCCCATAAATACTTCTTGAGTAGTTTATGAAAGAGAATTTCATCATTTGAACGATATTTTGGTCTTTATTGTCTTAATTAAGAATCAGAAATTCTAATCTTCAGTTCAAACTGGATCGCTTTCAATACTAATTCAGGTGAAGATCACAAATAAAGAGGGTCCCAAACTGTTTGACACGGTCCCAAAGGATAGAGTTGAAACAAGAAAGAAAGAAAAAAGATGCCCAGGCCTTAACTTACCGAGGCTGAACAAAAAATTAGACTACAACCATTTTGCCAATGGGTAACCTGTGATCGCCTTTCGGAGATCAGAATTTTTTTTCATTTTTTTTTCNAAATCTTTAAATTTTCTTCAAATTTGACACTCACTTTTAAATCTAGAACAAGTTTTAAGCAATTTTCTGATCTGAAATAATTATAAAAAATTCGCAAACTGTCCGCTTCTATGTTAGCGATTTACATTTTCTCTCAGAGTAGCTTGCTTCGGATTAAACAAACCTTTTTTAAGAGTTGTCAATTGATATTTCTTGGCAAATATTTAAATTTTCTTCAAATTTGACACTTACTTTTAAATCTAGAACAAGTTTTAAGTGATTTTCTGATCTCGAATAATTATAAAAAAATTCACAAACTGTCCTTTTTTATGATATGCTCTCAGAGGAGCTTGCTTCGTACTAAACAAACCTTTTTCAAAAAATTTCCATTAATATTTCTTAGCATATCTTTATATTTTCCTTTATATTGACGCCCACTTTTTAATATAAAACAAGTTTCAATCGATTTCCTCACTGCAAATAATTATAAAAAATTAGCAATTTGTCCACTTCTATGTCAGGGTCATACATGCTTACAGAGTAGCTTGTTTCGTACTAAACAAACCATTTTCAAAAAAATTTCCAAAAATATTACTCAATCAAAAACAAGCTTTTACCGATTTTCTAATTGTATATAATTATAAAAAACTCGTAAATTGCCCTCCTCTATGTTAGCGATACATATGCTATCAATGTAATTTGTTTCGGACTATTAACAAACCTTTTTTAACCAAACAGGACTAAACAAAATTTGATGGTAAAGGTAAAAGTTTAATAAGTAACAGACCTTTTCTTGTGAGCAAAAGTAATAAGGTTTTATTTCCATTGAGGAAATTCAAACACTGACATTATTGATCAAAACACTGTTGAATTGATTTAATTTAGATTATATTTGAAAAAAAAAAATCATTACATATGCGTTTTAGATGAAAAAAATCATTTGATAGTCATAATAAAATTAAAGTTTAGTTGATAGTGTTAGACAGCCAGTTAGATTTCTTATTGTTAATTGATAAAAAATGGATAATTTTCTAATCCGTATACTTCGACTATACGAAATAGGTTTCATTGCAGGTTAATTCGAATGAAATATAAGGATATTAATTCCATATAATTAATTCTGTGTTATTTAAAATCTTGGGCAAACATAATTCTTCGTATTATACAAAAGAGTATCATGATCTTAAGGCATTGCATTTATAGAGAATTTCTTATTGTTGAATCAGAGTTAATGTTTATGACTGAATGAAATTTGTTTTATACTTTGATGTTACTTCTTGCAACACGAGATAATTAGCACAACAAACAAAACAAAAAAAAGTTAGGCATTAAAAGGTTAAAGCCTTTGTTACAAAAATTGTGATGAAGGCCTGATAGGAATTAAAATTACCCTAAGGCAAAATACGGTTTTCAATGCCCAGTAATTGTCTTTTTTTTTAAGCGAGTTTTTTCTTTAAAAAAATAATTATTCCAATCAGCTTTTTTGATGCAACGAAAATTCTGTTAGAGCCTTTGGCACCAACACACTCATATGAAAGTAAACATGTTCATATTTTAAACATGTTAAAATGACCAATGAATGTTAGTGACGAAATTCTTGGTTCAAGTCCGACTACGATCTATTATGCCAGTGATTCTCAACCACTGTGCCGCGGCACTTTTGTGTGCCGTCAAATTCTTAAAGTGTGCCGTCAAATTATGGAAATGTATATAGTAAAAATTATAATGTTTCTTTTTATTACGAGTAAAGTTTAAATTAAAGAAAAGTACTTAAATATATGAATATTGTAACGAAGATTTTTAGTTAATTATATAAAGTGGTTAATCATATAAAATAAAGACCATTAAAAAGTCGCTTATTTAGTAATTTATGCCAAGCTATGGAAGCTAAGTACGAATTCTTGTTACTGCTTATTTTAGTAAGGTGGTTGTCCAGAGGAAAAGTTTTATCTCGTGTATTGGAATTTAAAGAAGAAATGAAAATGTTTTTTGAAAAAAATAAAAATTATGATTTTGTTCATTTGTTGGAAGAAAAAATATAGTAAACTAGCTTACTTATCAGACATGTTTTGTTATTTTTAATAACATAAATTCAAGTATGCAAGAGCCAAAAGAAAATATATTAAACTCAACAAATAAACTGGTATGATTCCAAAAACAAATAACTTTATGGAAGAATAAAGCTCAGGAAGGATATGTGGAAAAGTTTCAGTCAGTCCCAAAAGATTTTAATAAAACTATACATAAAATTGTTATTGACCATTTGACAACATTAGAGGAGAGTATTATTCATTATTTCCCAAATTTAGATATAGAAAAATTTGATGGGGTATGTAATCCATTTGTGATGACGAATACTTCGGTATTTGAATTAACTTAGAATGAAGAGGAAGAACTAATTTCGCTCTCTAGCAATCTCTAGAGATTTAATTTTAAAATATTCAGAAGAATCAATTCATTCATTTTGGATTAACATTAGATGCTATTATCCAATGATAACCAAAAAAACTTGAAAATATTGTTACAATTTTCTACATCTTATTTGTGTGAATTCGGATTTTCAGTATTAACCAACATAAAAACGAAAAAAAGGTCGAGACTGTTAAATGTAGAAGCCGATATGAGAGTAGCATTTTTGCGACCAAATATAAATGAAATAATCAAAAAATATCAAGCTCAAATTTCTTATTAAAAGTATTATTCATTTGTAATTAATCCCTTAATAAACGCTGCTTTTGTAGTACATATTATATTATTTCATTTTACATTTTAAATTATTATCATAAACTATTTTACACAGTGTATTGTAAGTAAGTACATAACTTTTAGACTTATCTTTTTCGTTGTGTGCCGCCAAATTTTGAAATCGTTAAATGTGTGCCGCGACAAAAAAAAGGTTGAGAATCACTGATCTAAATGAATCATTTATAATAATAATTTATCATTTATCATAATTTATCATTCAAATGAATATTACAAAATTTTCATGGAGAAGATGTCCATGTGTTTGACAATGGTTCCGTGAATGCCCAGAGGTACAAGCAGGAGGTCCTAGAGCCCTATGTGCGTCTTTTCAGGGGCGCTGTTGGCCCTGAGTTCATTTTTATGGACGACAATGCGCGACCGCATAGGCCTCTCATGGTTGATGAGTATTTGGAAAGCGAGGATATTCAACGAATGGATTGCCAGCCAAATCCCCTGACCTGAATCCTATTGAACATGATTGGGATGCTCTTGGGAGAGCTATTGCGATGCGCCAACCTCCCCCCTGAGCCATTCTGGAGTTAAAAATTGCTCTGGAAGTATGGGAGGGAGGGTCTTCCACAAGTCCTCCTTAACTCCCTTATTAACAGCATGCATACTCGTTGTGCATGCTATCTGTCTGTCAGGGGTGACCATACACCATACTAGAGGCAACACACACTGTGCAAGCCTCACTTTTATTGTCATCTTTCATCCTGAAGTTCAGACTATATTGGATTTAGTGGCAATAGGTCTTGCCAGTGAATGGCACTTTCCTTTTTGTTTTGCATACTTTATTATCATGGAATAAGCTATATCCATACCAAATTTCATTTATTTATATTCAGTATTTTTTGAGATATTTGGGAAAATGTCTTCCATCTCTTAATTTTGTCCACTAAAGTATAACAGCTAAGTTTTCATATCGTTTATTTCATATACTTTAGTTGACAACTTTAGTAGGCAAATAAACTTTCTGTTTTGTGAATTATAGAATGTCAAATTTTTAACAATATCAAGGAATCTCAGTATAACTAACTCCCAGTATCATTACTTTTGGACTCTTATTACGTTTCATGAGTTGACTTTCTTTCCTTTTCTTGTAAAAAATGATGTTTTGAAACTTATACAAATCAATAACAGTAATAGAAAAAAAAATTAGTACCTTACCAATTGGCCGATAAGACGTCAATACAAAATCACCGGGCAGCAAGTAAATACAACAGTTTTTTTTTCTCCTTTTTTAGTCTTTTTTTTTTTAGATGACAATTTTAAAAAATATTTGAATTGATGAGATGATTTTTTAAATAATAAAGCAGATAAATATATAATTAAATAAAATAACTGAATTTACTTGTAATCCGTGATTTTACATTGGCAAAGTTATCTCCTGAACCGGCCAAATGGTTAAGTAAAATTTTTTTTCCTTCTATTTCTGTTTATGATTTTTGAATAAGCTTCAAAAATTGTTTGGACAAAAACTATTTTTAACTCCATAAGACTAAAAATTTGTACACCACATAATAACATTATTATAAAGAAATCTCAAAATACTTGCACTGAGAAGGCAAGTAAGGATTGGTTGAAACCAGTTTATATTGTCTGGATGAACCATCATGGCTGCGTCTATTCCCTCAAATGCTCCATATTCGATTAATTTCACCTTACCTCCCCCTGACTCTTCAGCTGGACTTCCTAAAGCAACAATCTAAAATAAAAAGAAACGATTGGGGAAAAATTTATGCATGAAAATATGGATGTAATAAAAAATGAAAAAACATAGTCAGTAACATAGTATCTGAATAATACGATTTGTTTAAATAGGTGTAGAAAAGTTTTCTTAATTGAGGAGAGAGGGCTAGTGCAGATACAGGACTAAAAGTAGACAAATGGAATGTTTCTGTTTATAACTTTTTTTCATTCTCGATTTTTGTGTTCGATTTGATAATTTTCCGATTTACAAAATCTGATTGTAACGTTTGTCTATACTCTATTTCGGTAATTATTAATAATATAATATAAATCAGTAAAATTCGCGTATTGTGATTTTTACTTATTGATTATTTTCTTACTGTTTATTGTCCATCGGCAAAATGGGTGTTGTTTTGTGTTTGATGACGAGCGCACCTTATTTGGACATCATCACACTTTTCAATTGTGTTCAACAGTGCGCATGCGTCGTCATTGCATGCGTTGCAATGGTGACAGCTGCTGTTTGATAATTTTTTTTAGAATTCTTTTTTTTTTTTAACTTTTAATTTTGTTATACATTAAGTAGGTAAGTTTATTTCTGAGATATGGAACCAGAGAGATCCCATAAATACTTCTTAAGTTGTGAATAAAAGAGAATTACATCATTTGAACTATATTTTTGTTTTCATTGCTTTAATTAAGAATCAGAAATTCTAACCTACAGTTCAAACTGGATCGTTTTCAGTACTAATCCAGGTGAATATCACAAATAAAGAGAGTCCCAAACTGATTGACACGGTCCCAAAGATTAGAGTTGAAGCAAGAAAAAAAAACGATGCCAAGACCTTCACTTACCGAGGCTGAACAAAAATTAGACAACTATTTTGCCAATGGGTAACCTGTGATCGCCTTTTGGCGATCACAATTTTTTTTCATTTTTTTTTTTTTCTNTTTTTTTTTTTTTTCAGTTTTGAAACGTTGCCTCTAGCAGCATATAGCGTGAATAGAAAAGGAATAAAAACATCTTTCGTATTCTAAGCATTTATTAAACGATTTTTCGTGAACTTTTATAATTATATTTTAATGAGGTTATTTTAATTTTATTGTTGACTTTTTGATTATTTTCGATTTTTGTTCAATTTTTGACCTTTGCTTATTTTTAATTTTTAATTATTTTCCTTTAGATTTTTTTTTCTTTCTTTCTTTTTTCTTTTTTTTTTTTTTTTTTTTTTTTTTTTTTTTTTTTTTTTTTTTTTTTTNTTTTTTTTTTTTTTTTTTTTGAATTTATGAAATGCTTAGTCTAAAATTATCTTGATAAAAAAAGGAATAATTTTTATGTTGTTTGATAAAAATGTTATCTTGATAAAAAAAAGCAAGAGTTTCTGTGTTGTATTTAGTTTTTTCTCTCACTTAAATATTAATTAGTGACCTACAATGTGCATACATTTTACTTCCTTTTTGGCAATCATTCTAAAAATATATGTTAAGTGCGGTCATTACAGAGCACCCTGCATATATAGCATGCAAAAATGGAAAAAAATCTTTTACCGTTCCTTTTATACTTGAATCAGCTTCCATAGCTGCTTTGATTCCTACTGCTGCAGCTAGTCCAGCTTCCGCGATTAAGTTATGGCCACACGCATGGCCTATTTCAGGTAAGGCGTCATACTCCAACAAAACAGCGATCCTTGGTCCTTCTCCTTTTAAAAAGAATAGAATAAAACTGATGAAACTAGACAGTTCTTAAAAATAAATGTTATGATAGATTTTGAAGAATTATACGGGGTGTCCGGTATTGACTGCTCTTACTGCCTATTTTTAGAATCCTTGTCAAAAAATAAAGTTAAAATGACGCAAATTAACATTTAAACGATAAAAAAGCAAATACAATGTCAAAGTATATCTTTACGGATCTTACGGCGGAAGGTAAAACTGGAGACATCAAAATCAGTTAGATTGCCGGAAAGAGAATGGTGTTGAAAAGCGATTGTGAGGAACAAGTTTAAACAGGCTTTCCAACTTGTTTGAATGTTTTCCTTCTTACCCTCCTCACTAGTAATTTGACAGACTTCAATGTTGTTTAGGTTTCTTTTTTGTTTGAATACGTGAATTCATATGTGTATACTTTTTTCATTTGACAAGGACTGAAACACATTTGAGGGGGGGGTGATTACTGCACATCCTGTATTTTGTATACATTTCTCATTTCTGAAATTAACTGTTATTTGAAAAGTGGGAGAGCTTAATTGGTTCTTGGGCCATCGTGTATTAAATATCAAGATTGATTTTGAAAGCAGAAACTGTTTTCTTAAGGCTGAGGCGGCGAATCTATCCCTTAAAAATTGAATTAATGAAAAAAATTTGTAATCCCCCAAAAAATTTGTAATTAATGAAAAAAAAATTAGAATAGTAAATTTTTACAATGTTGTCAGCAGGTGTTTTAACAATACATTCTATGTAAGTATGACAGTAATAAACAGCTTCGTTTCAAATTTAATTGAATCTAGTGAGTATAACTTAAGACAAGTTATGACCTAAACACATATGGAATGGTTGATTAAGTTCAGCAACGTGAGTCTCAAAAAATGAATTTAAATTTTTGATTGTAGTAATGTTGTATATGTTTACAAAATAAAATGAATGTATATTAAAAAAAAAGCCGAACAGATTGTGTAGGGGTAAGGGAACTGACTTTGTATCAGAAAGGTTTGGGTTCGAATCCCGGGTAAGGCATGGATGTTCCTTCATTCTCTGTACTATCTGTCCTTACTGTGGGAGCAACGTTGACCCACCTAATATGGTGCCCCTGGAAGAGTGGCCTACAAATCTGCCCTCCTAATGCCTGTATTGACGAAAGCCCCAGGTGGGCATTAGAGAAAGAAATCATGGAAAAAAAATTGTATTTAGTTAAAGTGTATTAAAAAGAACATTTTTTGTGAAAAAAGAAGAAAATATTTTTTAATTTTTTCGATGTATATAATTTTTCATTCAATAAAAAAATTTTAAAAAAATCTTAAACTAATGGGTTCCACCCCTTGTTCACTGACTCTCCTCATAAAATTCTATTTTTTAATTTTTGTTTCTCAGGAATTATTTAATCAAATTTATTCAAGTTTTAAATAATATATTTTAAGAGATCGTATTACTTGATTCTAAAAATTATTACTCATAGATAATAAAAATAGTTAAACATAATAAATATATATTAATAATAATCTTTATTCATTTTCAATTTCCTTTGGTTAACGAATATTATTAATCAGTGTGCAGATTTTTTGTGAAATAAACAAGGATAAAAGAATAACATTATGTTTAAACTATTGAATATTCTCCTGTCCGAACTATTATTTTACTATTTCTGACTGATTGTGGCTACCCATAACTTCAGGATCAAAAATCCTAATCGTAGAAAGAGAAGACGTATGATTATTCAGAAAAATTATGTTTTTACATCTCAGTTTAGAAAATAACTGAGTTTATTCCAAGTGGGACAATATCAGGCGGCCTCGTAATCGGTGAAAGAAAAAAAAGGACATTTTTTTCTGAAACAGTATACTTACACTAAACTACTTTTAAAAAGGGCAAACGATCAGCTGAAAAATATAATTTGCATTACTTAGTGCAATCAAAGAAACGAAAATGTCTCCAGGAATAAAAAAATATTATTTTTCATTTCAAAATTATTTTAGTTAGAACATAAAGTCTTAAAAGTTTTTAGCACAATTTAATTAATAGAACACTGAACAATTCCTAATAGTTTAATATCAATATAATAGAACATTTTTATAGTAACGTTGCATAAAAAGAATAAACAGCATCAGATAGTTAATATTCTTTCATAATAGTAATTATATTTGATTAAGATATTTAATCTAGTTCAAGACTTTCTTAGTCAAGTAATATTAAAGTAGGGTTTCAATAATCTTAAAGAAAAAATAGAAAAGAAAAAGAAAGATTTTTAATTTGCTAAATGATCCCAGAATTCACCATTTAAAAATTCAATTATATGATTGCTGTGTTAGTAACCAATCATTTTTAAAATCAAATTGAAATAAACGATAACAGTGAAACCTTCATAATTTGTTGCTGGATTGGCTCAAAATAATAAATAAGTACATGAATCATCACCATAAGAATTAGATTTTGCAAAATTGTTAATTGAGCTATCAAATTTTCATTATTAATTAAAATAAAAAGATGTTGAATTGAAAATCTACATTTCCCTATTAAAATCCTTGTTTACTTAGGTAAAAAAAAGTGGCTTTCTGAACGTGCACAAAATTCGGGAATATCAGTGCAAAAAGCTGAAAGTTTAATTTAGCAATATTTAATTGTAATATTTTTTTCATTAAAACGTTATTTGGAAAAAATAAACTTGAAATGCATTTAAATTTAAAAATAATTTTTATATTTAACAAAGAGTTATTGACGAACTTGCAATGTCATTACTTTGATGGTGGTTCATACATGGTGTAAATTCTTGCTCTACTAGCGTTTTCTTTACGGATACAAATCCAAGCTGTCTTATTGTTTTTTAAGTTTGAACGGAAGTAATAGAGATATTCATTAGGTTCTAGAATATTTTGCCAAACTTCGATCTATGGAAAGTTTTCTCCTCCATTTTATTGCGATATTGTCTGAGCGTTGCTAAAGAGAACTATATTGACAACACGTTATGGTATAATCTTTAAGGGTTGATACAGAGATTTATACTTTGAAACCTGTTTCATTCGCCAAATGTTTGGCGATGGACATTAGTTAAAATTCAGGAGTCTGCACTTCAAAAATCTATTCATAAAATTACGTTGATGAATCATATCTATTGTTATAACCTCCACTCCTCCTTCAGAATGGAATTTCTATGAGAGGAGAGGCCTGACCCCCTTTTAAGAGTCTACCAAAGAATAAATAAAAATGGAGCTGGCCTACAATTAGATACCTGAAAGTGACGTCATTGTAGTTAAATCATTGCATTTGTCGATTCAGAAGCCAATCAGCTTTAACACACGTGACGTTGCTTACAGGTATCCAATCAAACCAGATTTAAATCACATGGTTAAGTATAATCATTTCAGCTCTTCTCGAGTTACAAGTGAATAATTTTAAATGAGACCTTTAGTTAGGCTAAAGCATAAATGTCTCTGGAGGCTGGAGATGTTTTAATTACCTGTAGTGAACTCTGCTCGAAAAGCAGTTTGTAGTAGGTAGTTTCTCTGAACAGAAAATCCATATTTTATAAGAGCGTCTGTTAGAATATTGTGAGCAAATGTCTCCTGAAAACTCAGTTCCGGTGAATTCCAGATATTTTGACTAACGGAATTGAAAAATTCTTTTTCTTCATCGATTACTGATGAGATGGTTTTAATATCTTCTTCGGTCATAATTATGCTGAAATATAAAATAACACGTGAAATCAGAAAACAAATTTTTAAAATAATAACTTAAGAAAACTTATTTCAGTTAGTTCAGATAGATAATTTTTGTTTATACTATTTATAAATTATTAGTTATATTTACCCGTTTCGTAAAATTAGTTTTTTCTTGTTGAAAATCTAATTAAGTAAGAATTTATCTAACTGATGATAAAGCACAAAAATATTTAACTAATGTTAATATTTGACTGTTGATAAAGTCGAGATGTTTAGCTATTATAAAAGATCAAAAGAAAATAATAATACGCTAAGAAACAAGTATGGTTAAAACTACTAGCATATAGTACGATTTATCGTGCACATACACCTACACTCTATAGAAACGCCAAGAATCTCGGTAGTTTTTACAGACGCATTTTGGTAATGATTTCGGTAAAATTATCAATACAAAATGGTTTTATAATCTATGATAAAATTTAGTGATTTCATCATGATACCAGGGAGCATGGCATAAAAATCATTTATTCGGTTAAATTCACTTTTCAGTTTTGTATTTTCTTACGAAATGCGTGGTAGTAAGAATTATAATTTTGAATCTATAATTTCTGGTAATCCGTTACCATACGAACAAAAAACTTACCAAACGCATGGTTTAAATACCACATATTTTGGTTTTATTAACCAAAATAATGGAGTATGTAATAGAATAATAGATATAAAAACAATAGTTATAAAAATAATATCACAAAAATAGCACTAATGTTAATATTTGATGATTGATGATGTCAAGAAGTTTAGATAGCCATTATAAGAGATCAAAAGAAAATAGTAAATTGAGAAAAAAGCATGGTAAAAAATGTCAAAATATAGTAAAATTTACCGTATTTTTCCCTCTATGGAAACACAAAAAATGCAATGCATTTTTGACCGAAACGTAAAATTTGGTAAATTTTATAATTCTTAAAATTTTATAAATTTTATAATAAATAAATTTTAAATATTACCAAAATTGTCATTACCATACATTGAGGTAATCTTACAAGAATTTGTTTCTCCGTGTAAGAAGCACACGAGAGCAGAACATTTGAATTTTGTCATACATATAAATGGAAAAGAAATAGTAATTATGAACAAATTTTTATTTGGTATTGCTGGCTGAAATCTTATCATGAGCTGTACTGTTTTAAGTGAAAAAATATTTTTAATAATTTTGGCATAACCTTAGGATACGAGACATTCAAATTGGGTTATCGAAATAANTATATATCGCAGAAGGGGACCAACTTGAAGGGTATAACTCGTAGCCACCCCAGGCAAACCTCTTCAAGGTTTTTTTTTTCCTTCTAATTTTTACCTTTTAATAACAATTTGGTGCCTTGGTGATTGTAGATGGCGTTGCAGATCACTTTCCTCAACTTCAACACGGAAGTATCTCCAAATAATTAAACCGAGTAATTTGAATTAATCATGCGATTGGATCCCTTTGACGATTCCTTGAAGATAGGCGATAAAAAACATTTTGTGCATACGTAGTATTGCTTATTATAGAAAGATAAACGCCGAAACAAATCACGCACTGTAAATTATATTCCATTTTTCCTAGCTGAATATAATATGAAGAAAAACTACACTTGAACAGTTGGTGTTGAGTGTGAATCAAAATATAGAAGGCTATTCTGAAAATTTCAAAAATAATTTTCAGAAGTTTCTCTAACTTAATGGATTGTATACAATCAAAAGCCAAACTCTCAAAGGTAACAACTATCTACTACGTTTATTTTATCATAATTGATTTTTATGTTTCACAAATGAAATGTTCTGTCTACAAATTTATCAGAAAAAATACTTTATTAATATGCCTGAAATTTTCAACTCATTTGTTTCATTATCAGAAAATTGTACAAGCATAAATTAACATCTCGAACTTCCAAAACTTAAATATTTTTTTTTCATTTTATCTGTCAGAATTAGTTATTGAATTTTTGCTTACTGTTTTATTTTGAGCAGATTGCAATCGATGCAATGAAATCAAATTTAAATTGTTTTTAAATGTCTACGGTTATTAAATAGAATTAAGTAGATAAGAAAAAATTCATGCAATTATTATGTTACATATTGTAGTGTTTTCTAAATATTTATCTAATTCAATTTAGAAATTTTGTAAGAATACATTGTTTTACCAATGTATTCTTACAAAATTTGAAGCGTAATCTAAATTTAAAAAAAGGCCAATAAAAAAAGCTCACTGTTCTTCATTAAAAGTGTAGGGGAAAAAATCTTTTTAGATGTGGTCAGACAACTATTTATTCAAGTTATAAACTTTCTACCCCTTTTTTATTGCTCCCCTCAATAAACACGAAATATAGTCTAAATCAGGGGTTTCCAACTTGCATGTGGCCGGGGGCCGCAATTAAAAACACCAGTCAAATGGCGGCCCGCAACTTCATCAAAATTTTATATAGGACTCTTATGTTTGAAGAAACATTAAATATTACTGTCAGATTTTTATAGAAGTGTTTTTAATTTTAAAAAGCAAAATAACAAGCGTTACAAATAATGCTTGTTACGTATCAGTTCGAATCTTCTCTTAATCATAAACTTAGTGACAAGATTTTTTTTTTCTTTTAAATTTTATTCTGATTAATAAATTAACATTTTTTAGACTTTTTAGGAATTATAGCAACAACAAAGAATTCTCGAGCATCTGAAATTGAGTTTGTTTCGTTTCCGCTCATGCGATATTCAATTCAAGGAGTTAAATTAAAACATAATATTCAATAACTCTTTTGTGCGTTTTAAGATTTACAAATGCAAATAATTTCGTCCAAAATGAGTGGTATCAAAAAAGTAATGAGAGAATTTCTTCGAGAAAATTTCTGATACACACATGCTAAATTATATTCACAAAATACAAAAAAAAACGATATAAAAAAGAGCAACATACACGATTGATTTTGTATTTGAATAAATATTTTCCTGGATGCAAAACCCGGGAAATAATTTTTTTTCGCACCGTTGGTATGTTAAATTTCTCAAAAAGGAAGAAATTAGGTTTTTTAAAACGAAAGAAAAGTATTTTAAACCCATATAGATTTTTAACGAAAATTATCCTAAAAAAACGACAATTAATATATTTCAGTTCGCGGGCCGCCAGTTGATAACCACTGGTCTAAATTCATGTTAGACTTCAATCTAAATCTTTAACTTGATTTCCAGCTTTTTCCTTATTATATCCGTAATATTCTTTTTTTTATAGAGAAACGGGCCTGTTTAGCGTTAAAGATCAAGATTTTTTTTCTTCTTTATAGTTATTTCTTACAAGAGTATCATTAGAACAAAGATTGTAAATAATTACCTATGTAACATTAAATATTGTTGTCTGTAAATTTTCTTTACGCGTGTATACACTTATTTTCACAAAGCAAATTAAATCATTAATTTTTTTCAACCAGCCGAACGGACTGTGTAAGGGGCAGGGAACTAGGGAACTGGCCTTGCATCAGAAAGGTTCTGGGTTCGAATCCCAGGCAAGGCATGGATGTTCTTTCACTATCTGTACTATCTGTCCTCACTGTGGTAGCAACGCTGACCTACCTAATATGGTGCTCCTGGAAAAGTGGCCTACAAATCTGCATTACAAATGCCTGAATTGACGAAATGTTAACGCAAATGGGCACTGGAAATAAGAAAAAAAAATTTCTTTTTAGCCATTATTTTTTTATTCACTAACTTCATTTTATTATGGTTTATTTAAATAGCAGTTTTAAAGTTTAGGAGTTTGTTATGCATGCCATTGTTCGTTTGTTTATTACAAGGTTTTACACAACAATCGCCCTAAATACATTTATGTACTACTTATCGAAAATGAAGTAAATTATAATTAATGGGTTAAAAAATCATATTTAATCAGCTAAAAAATGCGTTATCAAAATTGTCGAATCGTTAATAAGGAAGTAGGATCGAAAAACATTCAAAATTAGTTGAAAACCATTGTCTAATGAAATTTGAAAGTGACTACAATAATATATAATAATTGTCTTTCGAAAGTTTTACTTCTTCTTCAAAAACCAAATAAGTTTTTAAGTTTTGAGTCGTGAGTTCCTCAATATTGATTGATTAGATTTCGATAGCTTTTTATGATACAAATTTTAATTTGCAACTCCCATAATATGCATATTATTTTCAATTCATTTTTAACAAGGCTTCTTAAATATTTATTAAAGGAGATAACCACGACTCTGTACTTCACTTCATCTTTAACTCTGTACTTCAGATACATGTTTTCTAAATTCAGGATTTCTCATCCTTCACAACGACATAAAGCATTAAATCAAAAAGAAATGCTAACTACAAAACAAAAATGAGTATTATTATCAAGAAAATCACGAAAACAGCTGGATGTACAGATAAATTTTTAAAAGTCCCATTGTCAGGGTAAATTAAAATATCAATTATCCATTGACATCATACATCAACGGCAGAGTCTTTAAAAACGCTAAGAATTAATGATGAGGTAATATTTTTTTAATGCTTATAAACTGCTTTAATTTCTGTGTACCAACATATACGCTTACATAAAAATTTTTGCAGGCGCATGAAACGTTTTTTCTGTACTTTTCTGATGGTATGTCACCAATTCGCTTCCATGAAAACAAGTTTTTATTGGAAGATAATTTTACAGCTTTAGCTAACTCCTCCATTAATCCAATTCAAAATCAAATATATTATTTATATAAAATTTGGAACGGACTTGGAAAATTCAGTTTAATCCTTACAAAAAGCAAGCTATAAGAAAAAATTTCACTTTATGAATTTAATGGTGTGCTTTATTTCTAATATTCTTTAGTATAATTTCTTTTAATATTGTGTCCATATTGCGTAATTTTATTGATAAACACTTAAAATGAAAGAAAATATTTTTATTTGAAACATGTATCCCAAAATAAAATTTAAATGCTTGAATCAACTTTCAACATATTTCTATATTAATAAAATCTTTTTATTAAAGTCTTTAAATAAATCATTTTTCTTAATTTTTGTGTAGTTTTAGATGGACATTCTAACTTGCTTATAATCATTATTAAAATAGAAAGGTACATAAATCGTTATCTCCTCTGAAACTGATAGATATCAATTAACGTTTTAAATTTTGTCCAGTTTATATTATTAAAGTTCCTACAAAAATTAGAATGTTGAATGAGCTTACTCATAGTATAAAAACTGATAATATAATAACTATACAATGCAAAACTATCGTTAAATTTTAGCTCTTTTAATAAAGTATAAAATGACTTAGGCAGATCTTTTAAATTCTCATATTTATCCATAACTTGTTATCTTAAATGTTTACTAAGTATTCAAAAGCAGCTATTTAAAAAAAAAACTATTAATCTTTATAAGGGACTGGTATTTTTTTATTTTCAACTGAATCATACTTAGGGCTGCAAGTTTGTCGCGGGGAAAATTTGAAAATTGCACAAATTCTAAACATAAAAAAATTTATTATATAAATTATGCAAAAGACAGAAATTGCGCAAATAATAAAAAAAGCTTAAAAATACACAACGTGGTATTTCTTTGAACTTCTAGCAATATTAATATTCTTACTTAAATGAACAGAATTTTGGTACAAAGTATTGTACATTGTCAGATCTCACTTATCCTTCGTCTTTTATCACTTAATACATTTTTATACTTAGAAAACGATCTTTCTGCGTCAACGCTGTTTTTAGGCACCGACAAACTTCGAATTGTCGCTTTTGCCAATTTTGGAGCGTTTGGTCTTTGATTTCCAAAACTCGATCAATTTTCCTTCACCAACGCGCAATTCCTTGACCGTTGCTTTGTAAGAAGTAATTGCTGTGAAAACTCAAACATTCTACATTCAAACTACTAGTTTTACTAGTCCCTACTAACTAATAGTCCCCCCCTCCTTCATCTAAGAAACTGATCCATATTTAAGAAATCACAAGAAGTCGCCTAGGAAAAATCAATTGGATATGTAGAAAGGCAGTAGAAATTTCATTGCCCAGAGCAATCGCATGTATAACAATTTTTCTGTTAAACATTTGATTTATAACATTTTCCTTCTTTTGTGATTCCAATTTCTTTTGTACTCTTACTGACTTCAGGAAGGTAATTACCATCGCTAAGTGTAGAAAGACCACCTTAGCTGACGAGATTGTCAAGATCTCTTATCTCTGAACTATTTTGCTATTGATTCACTCCCCTAAATATCTAATCAATTTTACATGTTCAATTTAAGGTTCAGGAAAATAAAAAATTCTGTTTAATAAAAATAATAAATAAAAAATGAAAAAAAAAATCAAATTTTAAGCAATTTTCGCGCAAGTCAAGACATATTGAGAAATTCGCGGATTTTAGGAAAAAAGATGACAATTTCGCGGAAATCATCGCGGAAATTCGTGCCGCGACAAACCTGCAGATACTTAATTCCCCTCTTTTGCAATATAACAAAACAATAGATTTTTTTAAGTATTTTTAAAATTATTTTTTGGCAATATTATAACTTATTTGATATATTATTTAAAAACATTAGTTTTATTCGAATTTTTGTATGCAGGCACAAGGAGATGTATGGTCAATTTTGCTTGTTACACTTGTGACAAAGTGTCATCATCTCCATCAAAGGAAATGACATTTCTAGGTTCAACGGCAAGCTTCCTTCTTCAACTGTATGTAACCATTGCATCAAGCTATATTACTCCCAATTTAATTTTAAAAGTTTCTAAATATACCACCGTGTAAAATAAATACTCAACATCAGTGAACTTGCCAAAATATATATAAACTTGATAAAAATCATATTTAAAATTATCTCATCGTTCCCATATACGGTTTAATTTAGTTGTGAGAGGTGAGGCCTTTAAAAAAAAGAATTAATTGGACAGGCATGTTTTTCAAATGCTAGCAATAACTAAAGACAAGTCTACTTTACGCAAAAGTTGTCATTAAGAAGAAAAAAAAATTCACTTTGTATGTATGTTTTTTTTAATGCTTAATTTTGACTCTAAAAGATGCTTAAATGAAAGAAAAAAAAGGATTAAATTTAAGTATTTTATACGGAACTATGCATTGTACATTTATATATCTTGTATTACAATATTAGCTATCTGTATAATATAATTGTACATTAGTTGTTTTTATTACAACTTTAGTTATTTTTCAACCTTAATTATTAGTTCTAAATTTTTATATTTGTAAATAAATGTTACTTATTTAATGATAACAACTTGCATTTTACATTAATTTTAATATAATCCATTAAACGTGACACTGTTGCAATTTTTAAGAACTTTTTAAGAAGCAAAATTATTTTTAAGCAAAAGTTTAATATCCATATTATAAACGATACAGTATTGTACGTTTTCTGTAAAACAATTTCTCATTTTAACGTCAAAAATTTTTGCTCAAGGTTACTGTTTTCGAAATATCGTAACTCATTGAGTTTTCTTTCTATGTGATGTCATTGCGCCATGTCGCCAAATAGGTAAGATCGCATGATGATTTCATTTTACGCCACGCGAGCGGAATTGGAGGTCGCTATGACCTCCTAAAGATTTTCCCTGTTCCGCAAATTTTAATAACATTAATTAATATTATTAAGAACTTTTCGTCGATAGAAATTACGTGCCCATTAAATTGGTGGGAGGCTTACGAAATCCCTGCGCTGATACGAGAAAAAAACGTAAAGATTAATTCAAATTGCGAACCTTCAATCGTAATTTTATGATAATAATGTTTCTTTCATTTGTTTACACATGATGAATTTATTTTATTTATTGACTAAAAAATTAAGCATAAAGCGCAGGGAAAGAATCATAGTAAAATTACCACACTGAATGGAAATGACATTTTTGGTTTAAAAAAAAAATTCTGTTGAATAAAACAAAAATATACTGTGTTTAAACCAAGCATTTGGTAATTTTTTCGTTCATATGGTAACGGTTTACCGGAAATTATGGTTTTCAAAATTATAGTTCTTGTTACCACACATTTAGAAAAAAATATAAAACTGAAAAGTAAATTTAACCGAATAAATGGTTTTTATGCCACGCTCTTCTAAGGTATCATTATAAAATTACCAAATTTTACTAAAATTACCAAATTTACTATTACTATATACTATTTACTATATACTTTACTACATACTCTTATGTAATTTTATTGAAATTAACAAATTTTATCACATATTAAAAAATACAATTTATTGCTAATTTTATCTAACTTGTTACAAAAGCGCTTCGGTAAGGAATAATGACTTTTCTGATGTTATCATAGAACCAGAAAACCGATTAACTTCATGATTGTCAGGTAGTTTTGGTCATATATCTCGTTTCCTATATTTGGATCTACTTTAATATTTTTCACTCTTTCAAATTTAACAAATAAATTAATTTTAAATAAGTTCAGCAATTTTTTTATTTGCAAGAAATTTTCGATTATTTTTTTTTTCAAATTTTTTACCACCTGAAACTAAATTTTCTTTTAAAAGCACGATTCTCTGAATATCTATTTCATTCCTATCCGGTATTAGACAAGATATGCCAAATACTTGCCTAATACCGGAATCGCAGCGACACGGAGACATTATCGCAGAGCGTTACGGAGTTTTCGCAGAAAGATTTTTCGTTTGAAAATTTTGGTTTTCCTTTTTGTATAATTTCTCAAAAAATATTTTGTTCTTTTCTGCAGAATTTTTTTTCAAAGATGTCTTTCTTGCGCATCAGAAAGGAAAGAAATAATCATGATTTTTCTACTCTCGTTTGAGATTTTTAAAAAAAAATTTGTAATGACTGGCTTTAGCTAGAATTTCAAAATAATACTCTAAAATAAAAAAATTTAGAAATTGCAAGAGTTTGAAAGATAGTTTGCTCTCTAGAAATGATGTTCTTTCTTTCATTTTTTTTTTCTTTAAAGAACCCCATATTTTACATACACTTATTTGAGCATCTCTTTTTTAAAAAGTCCTATTCGCGTGATTCGTGATCTTTATTTTGGAAGTTACTGCACGGATTTTAAGGTTTTTAATTTATCAACGAATCATAATTTACTATAATTTAGCTTATTTGCGAATTTTAATTTGTGTAATGATTTACAAAATTCGAGAGAGGAAATAATTAGTGCATTTTTCAGGCTACAACATGCGAGAATATCGTATATAGTATTAGAATTTTAAAAAAATATTTCTTTTACAACTAAAAATTTTTATACGTTTTTATACTATACTTTCTCCTGTAGACACAGTGTTTCTATTACTTTAAATTAGTAATTGTTATAATTAAAAGTACTTTAAAGCAATATATTAGTGCCAGGCAAGTTTGTAGCAGAAAGCCCGACAAAATTCTGCCACAGGAGGCAAATACTAAATTATTGGTTATTCGATTCATAGTACAGTGAGAATTTATGACTCCAGCTGCGAATTAATTTCCTTGTTTGTTTTTATACCAATTATGAAATTGTTTATTATTTATTGACTAGAATAAAAGTAAAAGCATTCCCACAAAAACCTATTGTTTAATAAAAGATTCGTGGATGTAAAGGGTCCGCAATGTGGCAATTGTTTTTTGTGACGTGGCAATGTGATCAGCATTGCTCACAAGCAATCTTTACTTCTCAGGCAAATTGAACTCGATCTGAAGCAAGGTGGACTTCAAGCCAACTCTGGGGATCAAACCCTAGTTCTTCGCAAATGTTCAGTGCCTTACCCATTGGCCAGTCATTGGTTTTTTTACAAGCATTTGATTCTACGGCATGATATTTTTCAAAAAAGAATAAAAAGGAAGGCTTAGCTTTATGAGATTGACAGATGCTATTCTGGCACTTGCTATTTTTTAGAATTTCTGCGAACTTTAATTATTCTATATAATTAAAACTCTATATTAATAGACTAATGCGCTTAGTAATTTCTGACTGGTTATGCTACTTAGCTGCAGTTTCTAGAGATTTTAAAATATTGGATTTTAGCATTTAATATTACACAAAAATGATAGAAAAATTTGTATAGCTTATAATTCAAAAAACTTTTTAAGCTTCATCAAAATAAAAAAAATAATTATAAAATTTTTAAATAAATAATCTTCGATTAAAATTTTTTTTGGATAAATGAGTTTAAGAATTATCTGAAATAATCAATTGATTACCTTTGACAGTTCCAGAAAAATGGTGAAAAAGTCAAAATTTGACATTTCTATTACGGCGTCCAAAAGTTAGACCACTCTCCTGCATATGTTATTTGGACCATATTTTCCAGATTGAGGAAACGCCCATATTTTGAGATCCTCAATCCAAATCCATCAAGGAAAAGAAAAGGTATGTTTGTTTGGAGAAAGTATATTTCTATGTATAATTTTGTGACTTAACTGTACAAATTTGTATTCTAGCATATTTAAGGTTATTTCTTCGAATCATTAAGATTACATTTTGGTTGGTTGGTGTCGTATCCTCTATAGAATCATATTTCATGGTGTGCTTGAATAGTTTTTGTTATTTCTATGGCATTAAAAGAATACAAATCCTCTTCTGTGGGGTAGTTCAAGAGGTGAAGGCCTGCAGCGACTGCAGGGCAGTTAAAAACATGATATGGTGTCAGTTCCACATTAAGACAGTTGCCACAGTTTTGATATTTTCTAGTCTTATCTGTAGAAATTTTCATGTTTTTATGATGTTTTGTTCTTAGTCTGATGAGAGTAGTGGCTGTCTTCCTATCGATGTCAAGATTAGTTATTTGATCGTGGGCTTTGATTTTTAAAGGGGTGAATAGTCTTGACTTTGCATAAGCATTTGCATCTGCCTCAGCTAATACCTTTGGGTGGCTAATACCTTTGGGTGGTAGGAGGGAAATAAAATACCTCCCGCGGACCAACAGGCAGAAGTCCAACCTCTTCGTAGGCTCTGGCAACCCCCCTCCTCATGATGTTTTCAAAGATTACATTTTAAAACGTAAGAATCCCATCATATCATTAGATAATAGGTTAATAAAGTGCTATCTTTTTTTTGTGCACTGTACAAGTACTTGCGCAACTTTAACATCTCACTCCTGGGCCTGATTATCGCCCCCTAGGCCCAATAGGCACGTGCCTAGGGCCCACACTTTCTAGGGGGCCTCAAAAATTTGTCAAAAGTCCACAATATTACTTTTTTTAAAAAAACATTACTGAAAGAAACAGTTTTTCTTAAGAGAGGCATTTTTTATTTCAAATTTTCTTAATATTGTGATAAACCAAACTCGTGTAAAGATTGCACTAATCAAATTCGAAAGTACAGCTGAATTTTAATTGGTGCAATTTTTATTCCAACGGCTTAAGCAAATGCAACGAGAATGCATATTCGCAAAGTCTCTTATAAATGATAGTGTCAACAAGAACTAAAAGCTTGTTCTTAACAAATATGTAAAGCTGTAGAGGGAAGGCTACAATCTTTAAAATAATTCAGCTAATCAGTGACTTTTAGCAAAAATCACTGATTTTAATTATTTGTGGTCACCAAACTATTTTTATTTTCATACAACATATTTTGCTTTAATATTTAGATGTGTAAACTTTATCTTAGAAAAATTATCTTCAATTGTCTGCTTTCAAACTTTTTTAGAAATTTTCTCTTGAATCATGCAGTTCAATAGATTCTTTTTATTGTTAGGACTACTATTCAGAAATTTAATTTAAAAATATTTTTTTAGGGGCCCGGAAAATTTTGTGGGCCTTGGGCCTGAATTAGTTTTGATCGGTCCCTGTCTCACTCTCTTTTACAAGTCCTGCATACTTACACAAAACCTTTCCCGTTTTCTTTTTTCAATTTTTATTTTTAATAAAATTTAACAAGCAGTGTTTTGTTAATATTATAAATTTTTAGGCAAATAGAATGATCCAAATATTTGCTTCTTACCTGATAAATTCTATTTCGTTGAAGTGTTGATTCGAAACGGTATCGTTGAAGTGTAGATGATTACATTCCACCCACTTATACTTTTCTATAAGGAATACTCTAATGACATAATACTATATAATTTTTGTTATATCATTCTTTTAAAAGCATCAATTTAAATAATAATAAAATACTAATTAGTTTGCTTTTAACTAATGATTTGTTTTATTTCATCAATTGTTTATTACGGCGCATATCACAATAAATTTAAATTACTAATGTTTTAAAATAGATGGAGATTTCTGTAGAATTATGAAGTAATGTGATAAATGCAATAGTCAGAAAAAATATTTATCTTACTTCATCTAGATTCTGTGTCTTACTTCGTTAATTGTTCCATGCAGAGAAAATACATTATCTACTTATCAAAAACTAGATAATACGACTTATTAAGTATTATTATTTATTATTCTACTTATCAAGACAAGATAAATTATCTAATATATTTTTGTTTTATTATCTTAACAAGACACAGTTCTTGTTCATGTTACTAAATACTAAAACGTGTCATTCATGTTTTTTTATTTTTTTATTTATTACTAATTGTGGTGAATCGGAACAGCGAAACATTAACCAATGAATCCGTTATAGATTTATCGATTTTTGTTTCGACCATCCACTTTTGAGAAAGACGAAAAGCATTCTTATTTTGTTTATTTATTCATTTTCAGGTGACTGTATTGCTTAAATTGGTAGAAGAAAAAAGTCTTGTTAAAATTTTTGAAGTCGCAAATTACTTCATTTTGCACTATTTTAAAAAATTTAAATTTCTCTTACATATTTTTGTGCAAAATTTAATTCTTTGACAACTTTATAAAATGTTAAAAAAATATTTATTTTAATACTGTATTTTAATGAATTAAATTGTGATTAAAATTAACATCTAAAATAAAATTAAGGAAAATTGTGAAAATAAATTTTAAACCACATTTTGCTAACATTTCCTATTCCTTCACATTCACGAACGTACCTATGTTAAGCAACAGGGCATGTCAGCGATCAGAACGTGAACAACTTTAACGTATCATCCCCTAATCTTATATCATCCCTATGTTCTGAAGCTAATAAAACAGAGGTTCCCAAAGGGTGTTCCGCGGAACCCTTGGGTTCCACGGAAGGGTCACAATGATTCCAAGAATTAAGGACTATTTTTTAAAACATTAATGATTTTTGATACCTGTAATTATATTTATAACCAATCGTTATTCATTAAATAGTTTGGTTCTTTTTATGAAATTATTCAATCAAAATGACAATAAAAAAGATAGTATTATTTTTAAAATTAATAATAAAAATTACACTCAAGCTTTCCAATTCAAAGAAAATAACCTAATTCAACAATAAAGAATTATGTTTCCCTGATCCCAATGCTTATAATAATTTTTTTTAATTTTCATTTCGACTGAAACCATAATTCAGTTTATTTAATTAATTGTTAGAAACCTAATTCACAATTTGACTAGATACCGCGCCAGACCTATGAATTCTACTGTCTGGCATAACATCGAATTTTAAGATTTTTTTTAATGAATATAATTCTTCTCATTAAAAATTAATTAAATTATAATTAATAAAATTTATTTTCATAAAAATTAGAATCATTAAAATTAAAATTTCTCATGAAAATTTTTTTAAATGATTAATAGTGTTTCTCTGTTTAATATGTTTATTTTTCTTTTTATTTTGTTTACTATTTTTTTATTTATATTTTGTTTATAAAATCGGGGTTCCACAAAATGAAGGTAGATTGTTTAGGGCTCCATAGCCGTAAATAATTGGGAACCGCTTCAAAATTGAAAATTTTGCGGTATCTTGAATCTGCAAAATTTTGCGGTAATAATGGATTTTAAGGTTAAAAGTACCGGGACTCTGAGTGCCGGTACTTTTTAAAGTAATTTGATTCGGAATTTTTTACAGCATAGACATTGTTTTACAGTGAAGAAAAATATTTGGTTTAGAAAGAAAAATATTCGGTTGTTTCAAAAAACCGAAGAAAAGTAAACTAAAATTAGCATTTTTTCAAATTTCTAAAGCAATGCGTGAAAGAAAAAGAAAATTATTTTTAAAAAAATTTTGTTTCATTCTATTCTTTCTTTACCTCATGTAACTTTTCGGAGTTATATATATTTAGGGAAAAATAAATGTAAAGTTTGATACACAGTAATTTAAAGAATGGCTGACTGTAGGGTCCAAACTTCTCAGTGACTAATAATCAGTGACTCTTCTCATAATGCTACGTAAAAGGGTAAATTAGCAAAATAAATAGCTAATGCCTTAACCTGTTCTTGACAATTTTCAGCAAAAATAAAGTCAGTAATTTATTTTTTACCTAACCCGACGATAGAGCATATTCCCTTGCCCTCGTATGGTGAATATACTAATTTATATATACAGCAATTAATAAAAAAACATACAAATTAAGATATTTTAAGGATAGCTGGAAAAAAACCGAAGACTCTCTATCAACTGTATAGCAAATAAGTTCGAATTAGATCTTATGTTTGCCAAAACTTTTCAAGAAGAGCATTTAAGATTTAAACTTTCCTCGAACTAACTTTCTGAAGCACATTTTCTCACGATTTTAATGCAGAAAAAAACTTTTTTGAGAAAAAAGGAATAAAATTCTATAAATAAAATCTATAAAATTCGAAATCGTATTCAATTTCTTATGGAGTAAAAAAAAGATGTAGAGACATTACTTTACACAATTATTCTACACAATTTGGTTGCAAAATTCGAAAAAAAAATACAAATGAACATTAGAACAGAACGCTTTTCCAAATAACACCAATAAACAACACCTTCGTAATTAATATTGATTTCAAGTTTTTTTTTTAAAATCAATTTTGTGAAAGGTACTAACGTCCATAAAGGTTCATTGGACTGAAAAAAATGGCAAATTATAACGCAATGGTAAATTATTGTTATTATCTTTATTTTTTTATTTTAATTATAACAATTTTAGTTTTTAGAAATACGACCGAATCTTTACTAAAACTTATAAGTTTTTTTTCTTTAAAATTATGTTCTAACATAGTTAATCGACCTTTATTTACCATTTCCTATAGCATTAGTTTTCATTATATAAAAACCTAAACAGAATAAACAAAGGCGCTTACCTTTCATCCCCTATATATACAGATTTTTTTATTGTTTATATTTATAAATATACTTATATATACAAAACGTTTTACTGACATTTCATTGTTCAACTTATCTACCAGAACAAAGACTGTTCCGATGATAAAAAGTTTTGCAATTAGATAGCATGATTTGGCAAGGTCAAATTTTATTGTAATCACCTTTACAGGCTTTGAAAAAGAATAATAAAGATAAAATTCTCACTATTTGAGGATTAATATGTATTCAACACTATCAAGTTAGATGAACAGTTTACCTGAATTTTCATAAACTTGACACTTTTTTTTTTCTCCAGAATTTTGCTTGTCATTTTTGCCTGTGTTTTAGGGTATTAGAAATGACAGATGCGGATTACGAAGTAGTGTGCTCAAAAATTGACGAAGAAAAAGGATATCTGAACTCAGTTAGTCAGGATATTTGGAAATTACCAGAGCTAGCGTATAAAGAAGTACATGCACACGCTCTTTTAACTTGTGCTTTGAAACGCCATGGATTTAAAGTTCAAAAACATTATTATATGCAGACCGCCTTTAGGGCAGAGTTCTCCACAAACTCTGGTAAGGCATCCTACTTTCCATTAACCTTTTGTAAGCAATTGAATTTTCATAAGAAAATTAATTCTAGTTTTCTCATATGCAACCGTAAAATATTTTTTATACTTCTCTCATTACAGCTGGTGAGGCATTTCATGTCCATTTTATTTTCCAATGTTGCCTTCGTTGAAAACAGACCTTTTATAAGTGGTATATAGTCAAAGAGATTTCCCTGGGATCCCTGCAACATTGCACGCCAATGCCGCGACTTAAAATATTAAGTTCATAAGTAGCTGTGTGTGAACCGAAGAAAGATTACTATACCCCTGATTCAAAATATTCGAATAATTTAAAATTTTGTCATTAGAAAGTCCTTTTTTTAATTTATTAAATTTAAATTATTAATTTAGCTAGTCAAATCAACACATTTCACAGTATTTTTAAACATTGAAAAAAAAAAAGGCATTAATTAACTACACAGTTTATTTTTGAAACAAAATCTTAATATTAGATTAAAATTTTATGTGGTTTAAAATATTAGGTATTATAATATTATATTTCATTATAAACACTAAAATTAAATTATAAATCCTGAAAACGTTACTTAGTATTTTGTAGCATTGCCTTTAACTTTGATATTGTTTTTGTTTTATACTACTTGTAAATATGGAAAGCCTATTTTAAAGTAGAGGGGTGCGCTTCTTTTTATTTTCAAGTGGCGCCATCTACGGCCAAGAATTCGACTTCTGCCACACACATATGTCACACCCCGTTTTACAGGGAGGACTCATTCACACACCATCCATCTATCCGCAGATCGTAATTTTGGCCTGAACTAGAGCACGATCAATCTCCGTTCCAGAACCGATTGACTTGTTATAGGAGCTTGGAGGACTTTGTGACCCCGAAATATTTAGAGTGGACCAGTCACTATTTTTTAAACAGGGAGTCAACGGTAGGCGGGGATCGAATTCGCGACCCCTTGGACATTTGCCCGACGCCCTTACAACCAAGCTATTCAGGCCTTTAATTTTGATAACTACTGCTTATGAGCAAAATTCCATAGAATAAACAAGTTTTTAGCATTTTTATAGGGAATTGTAAATAAAAAACGACAAAAAGTTGCTACAACAAGCAAAGCTGCACTAGTGAAAAGCATTATTCCACTTATGCGGAAAGCATTATATGCTTATTATATGCTTATGTGAACAAAAAAAGAATGCAGAAAACTTGTTTATTCCATGCAAGATCGGTGATGTGTGATATGTCGTACTCATGGCTAAAAGTGATATTGCGAAATACTAAGCTTTTTTTCTCCACTTATAATTAAATTCAAGCATTCATAATGAAATATTCTAATATTAAATTCTATTATTAAAAATATCTTCACTGGTAGATGGATCATGGATTAGAATCTCCTTGCCGTCAGGCAAGTCGTGGAAGGTTTCCGTGGTTTTCCTCTCCATGATACGCAAATCGGGTTAATTTTATAAAAACTCCTCCTCGAAGTCTAATTTCTCCCAATACTTGTTCTAGGGGTTTCCATGTCTTCTGGATTGGGTTCAAAATTGCAAGGCTACGGAGTGGAACATTGGTAAAGTTCGTTCACCTGGAGTTGGCACTTGGCTCCGCCTTCATCACGCAGTATCCGACGATACTATTTCGCTACTTTTGGTAGATGGATGTGATCAATCCTGAAAAAGGTTGCTAATTGGCGACCGTATGACAAAGATATTTATTTCGCTATCTTTATGCGAATTTTTTTAACATTAAATATTTCATAAATTTGACGAAATTTCTCTCTTTTGAGTGAATAGTTTGTCCTTTGAGACGTTTTGCTGCAATATATTTAATTATCCAGAGTAACGAAAGGTATAATAGCAGATGATAAAGCGAAGTAAGTGACTGGAAAAGAATTCACTGTTAGCGTTTGGCACGCGTTAAGTGTTGTCTCAATTTCAAGCGCGGAGACGCTTCTCCTCTTACTCTTTGCAGCAAGGCGATCATAGGTTACCCATTGGCAAAATGGTTGCTGTCTAATTTTTTTTGGAAAATAAACTTTATTGTGTTTTCATCTTGGACATCTCTAACTGTTAATCCTGAACTGCTCGGTACACAATTTCGCAGACATATTTAAATGCAGTTCAGGCACATTCTGTGTAAATTCTTTTAAGGACTGAATAGACATTGAACAGCCAATCGAGATCAATATTAACATTTTTGGATTGGCACAATGGTGTTTGATTGAGAACTCTTCCTCTGAGGAGGTGAAGCCAAGTGCCAACTCCTGGTGAACGAACTATAGTGTTCAACTCAAAATTGGGTTGGCTGTTCCACTACTGATATAAAATAAAACAAACACTTATTATTTGAGAAATATTTTTAAAAAAAAGGAAAATGAAATATTTAATATTGAGAATTTTTCTTGGTGTATGCATATGCTAAAAATGAATAAAATAAGCTGAATTACAGATTTAAAATATTTATCACAGAAACATAATTCATTATTCTCGAATTTAATTATTTCATTTTCAAAGAAAAACTCTAGGAAAAATACATAATAAATAATAGATTATTCAGTGGATATAAATATTATTATTACAAGTTTAAATAAATCCTAACCCTCGGAACCCTCGTAATGCTTTCACGGAGCCCTAAACTTCCTCAGATCACTTTTAGGGAACCGCTGGTTTATAAAACGGAATTCAAGCAATTACTTATCAGTTCTAAATGATCCAAGAAATTTCTTGTCTTCTGGGTTGGGTTTAAAATTACAAGGCAACAGAATTAAATATTGGCAGTCGTAAACTCAAAATTAGGTCGGCTGTACAACAACGATTATAAAATAGAAACAAATATCTAGTATACATGTATATACGAAAGCATATCTAATCATGTTCATATTCTAACTCTTTCAGGCACTGGAGTAACTGTAGCCTTTTTATTGGAATATGACGCCTTACCAGAAATAGGTCATGCATGTGGACATAATCTTATCGCCGAAGCAGGCTTAGCAGCTGCCATTGCTTCCAAAGCTGCCATGGAAAAGGACAAGACAATCATTGGGAAGGTAAATCCAGGGTGTCCTGCAATGACTGCCCTTAATATTAAGCTTCTGAGCTTTTGTTAAAAACTGACAAAATTATTCTCGCAAATTATTATTTATGGGGAGAAATAACAAATTCGGACGAATAATTATCGAGGTCAATTAGCTCTGTAATTACTCGTTATAAGATAATGGATTTAGGAGGCGGTTCCTAACAATAGACGAACGCGTTCTTAAAAAAGAAGCAAGGTTTTGATTTTTTCAAATCCGATCTCCTTTGCTGTGAAAGATTTTTAATATAAATCATTATAATTTGATAAAAAGAAAATTTCCTTACTTAAAAATTCTAGTATGAGTGTGACTAAGTGAACAGTATTAATTTTATACTTTTTTTTTACAAAGTATCTAAAAATGTATATTGAAGGCGATCATGACAAAACATGTATAATTTTAAAAAATATCTCATAAACTAAACCATAAACTCTGATAAACTAAAAGGCCCTCACACCAACTTTTTACAATGATACTTTTTGTGACGTTTTAGACTTTTAGCCTCTTACACTAAGTTCAAAAATATTCTAATGCGGTCTTTAAAGCTCGAAATCCAAAACAGTGATTAGTTGAAGTTTTTATAGTCTTAACCCTAATTAAATGCATAGAGAGAAGATTGTTTTTTTATTTCCTGCTAAACATTCACTATTAGGTAGGTTTTTTTTAAATTATCGGGAAAGTATTATAATCAAATCACCTATTTCTGATTTTCATAATTGAGCGATATCTGCTGTAAAAAAGTATGACATAATCAGACGATAGGGTAGTTTCACGGCCAGCCTCAATCTCAAAAACCAATTGCTAGATTAGAATTTTAAAATTCTGGTTTCAACTTTCTATGTTGAAGCCATCGCCACCCGAAGACTCCCAGTGTATTAAATGGTGACTAATGCACGTTAAATCTGTCGAATCACAAAGTCCTCCATGTTTTCATAACAAATTATACTTCTGGGGGAACTGATCGAGAAGTTTCCTTGTCTTCTGAATTGGCTCAAAATTACAAGGCTGCTGAGTTGAACATTAGTAGTCGTAAATCCAAAATTGGGCCAGCAGTTCAACGAAAGTTATAAAATATTTTCTGCCGAGCCGTGATGGCTCAGGGGATAGAGCATTCGCCTTCCAATGAGGTGAACCGGGTTCGAATCCCCAGCAATGGCTGGTAGAAACGAATTCTGCACCGACCACAGTGCTGACTTAAAATATCCTGAGTGGCAGACGGGTCGTATGTTAGAGTCCCCTTGCCGTCAGGTTAACCGTGGGAGGATTTCGTAGTTTTCTTCTCCATGTAACGCAAATGCGAGTTAGTTTCATCAAAAAGTCCTCTACGAAGGCAAATTTCTCCCAATACTTGATACAGGAGTTTCCTTGTCTTCTGGATTGGATTCAAAATTACAAGGCTATGGAGTTGAATATTAGTAGTCGTAAACCCAAAAATTGGGTCGGCTGTTCAACGACGGTTACAAAATAAAATACATTTTCTGTTAAGTGAAATAAACGTTCAATATTAAAAAGAAATATTATGGGAAAAATATCGGCTACACCTTGAAGCAAAAAAAACTTTTAATTATTTAAAGCCATTTTAATATCATTGGATAGTTTGACAATAAAAAGAAGCGATTACCTTGCCACTTAGGTTCAGAAACAACCGCCAAATAGTTAGCCATCATTTTTTAATTCTAATTCAGTCGCTTTTCATCGGCTTAGGGGAGGGGATGTTCATAAATGATGACATCCCTTTTTTTTAGTATTTTGACACCTCTTTCCCTCTGTCACATGTCGAGCTATATTACATAAAACCGCAGTGTTCAGAAACAAAATACATGTTATAGATTTTATTTCAATTAAAAAAAATTTATAATTATGTAGTTTAATGACATTTGTGAGCTTAACCCTAACAATGATTGCAAGTGCAAGGCCTGATGTAGAAAAAAAGGGGGCTGTCGGAACAATTGTCAAAAGGCTCCACTGGTCATAAACCCTAAACTAAATTTACATTCTGTTTATTTACAAAAGGCTTTTAAATTATTTATAAACATAAATAAAATAAGATTTATGAAAATATTTGAGCATATATTTATTTCAATTATTGTTAACTCGAAATTTTAACCGGCAATTTTTAATGAAAAAGACATACACAAAATTATTTATCGTATTTATGAGACCCCAAAAATGCAGGGGCCCTAGTCCTAGGACTCTCGGTATTTATGATAATTCAGGCAATGTGCATGTGTACTTATTTATGTAAAAACAATATAAAAATAATTTTTCCGCTGATTTTAAATCTTCCGACCGATTTGAAAAAAAAAAAAAAACAAAACACGTGTTTTATCACACTGCTTGTTATCCTCTCCCTTCCCCTTGTCACAAACTCTCTCAAATTTATCATGCCCCCCGCCCTGCCTTAGAAGCACGACATAATCTATGGACGGCCCATTAGAAAGGTCATTGACTTCGTAATTGAATAGAATGAACGATTCTCCATGGTTAAAATCCGCTTCTTACCATTTCCTTAAAAATTAAAATAATTAAATTTTTCCTAGACAGAATTTAAAAGAAATCTTTCTCAGAACACACAGAATTAAGAGAAATATGTTATTTAAACATTTTACCAATTCAACAGAGCCTGTGACTTGCTTCTGGAAACACGTGAACGCTTTGCATTAAATAGAACAATCACGTATAACTCGTAGCTCCTCGAAACTCCAGCCTGAGCAAATGCGCATGCGTTAAAACAAATTTTAGATGCCGCTGCCAGGTGCAACCGGTGGTAGAGAACTAAAAACAAAACAAATATTGTAAATCTTAAGCCGATTGTTATATTTTCGGCTTAAAATGCAGTCTTTTGTTGATATTACTCTCATATAAATGTTCTTTTTTTTGACGTGTTCATTATTATTGGTCATGGCAGCGACATTAAGCGAGTTTTAATAAAAAAGGTTAAACTTAATGACGACGTCGCATGTATACTTAACAGAAATTGATAAAATATGATAAATTTTGATTTTATAATTCACTAATCTAATAATTCGAGAGATAATTCACTTAATCTAGAATTGCAGTTTCGTCCAATAAGCCGTAACAAATATCAGTCAAGCATTTAATTTCCAATTTTTAAATCCTCAACTCCCAAAGATTCGAAAAATCTTCGTTTCCCCCATCCCTCAAAGATACCTTATTTCCGAAAATCGTGGGGTAATTATGTGAATACAGGGTAATTTTAATTGATTTTTAAGTCTTTGTTCGCGCATGTGCGACTGCCGCGCCACCCCTTTGAGAGAGACTTTTTTATACCTTGAGAACTTCATGAATGGCGGACGTAGTCCGTGAGTCTTTAAAAATAAAGTGTTCTACAGTCCAGTGCAAACCAGTGTTGTTATTTACGAAAAATACATTTTGAGCTATCGATTAGAGTGATCACAAACATGTGGTCCAGTCTCACCGGAGGCGAATTAGTGATTTGTGGAAATCATTTACAGTGAATAGCGAAACGAAACTGTGTGTACGATGCTCGTGTTATTTAACAATGGAATTTATATTATCTTTGAGTGAAATATTTAGTGAGTGACAATAAAAAAGAAGCCGAAATTCTGAGGTAAGAGCAATTTCCCTTGTTCCATTCACTGTGCAAAATTTACTTTGAGTTATTCAGTTTGTCTATTTACATTGAGTTATTTTAGTGTGTTTAAAAAATGTCCCTTAATAAACTAAAGAAAGACAAATTAAAAGTCGCTCGCAGGCGAGTTAAGTTTAAAAGTTGAAGAAGGGGCAAGAGTTATTGATATGAAGAAGCTAATTGAAAATAGTGAGATTTATAAAAACGATAGTGAATTCGTTCAGAGTTTGATTGATAATATTCTTGAGGAAAAGAAAAATAATTATGAGTTAGAAAAAACTAAATTAGCTCAGTTAGAGAAGGATAACCAAACGAAACTAGAGTTAGAAAAAATTAAACTCGCTCAGTTAGAGAAAGAAATTGAATTATCTAATGCGCGGTAAAAGAATCGCACAATTTTTCGAAATCGGAAACTATTAGCGAGCTAGAGCAGCCGCACCGTCTCGAAGATTTAATAAAAAGTATAAAAACCCTTACCATATCCGTTCTCTCTAAACCTGAAGCATTTAATTTGTTTTTCCAATCTCTCGAGAAAGCGTTTAAAACGAAAAATGTGCCCGAAGAATTAAAATCCGAAATACTGCTAAATTTGTTAGGTGAAAAAGCGAAAAATTTAATGATTAATATAAGTGAACAAGAATTAGCAGATTACGATAAACTTAAAGAAATCGTGTTGAAGGAATTTCAACCAACAGCTCGAGAATGTATTAACAATTTTAATAAAATGCAAAAAATGCCTCATGAAAGTTATCTTCAGTTTGCTTCACGATTGAGTGCAGCATTCGAATACTATTGCCAATTACGCAAGGTTAGCGATTTTAAAACATTATGCGAGTTAATTATTTCGGATAAGATGTTTGGTCTACTTGACCGAGAATTAATGACTCATATTGCAGTAAGGCAGGGAGAATCATTTTTCANTCTTCACTGGTAGATGTACTCGTATCATGGATTAGAATAGGCAAGTCATGGGAAGTGTCCGTGGTTTTCCGCTCCATGAAACGCAAATCGGGTTAATTTTATCAAATACTCCTCCTCGAAGTCTAATTTCTCCCAATACTTGTTCTAGGGGTTTCCTTGTCTTCTGGATTGGGTTCAAAATTACAAGGCTATGGAATTGAACATTGGTAAAGTTCGTTCACCTGGAGTTAGCACTTGGCTCCGCCTTCATCACGTAGTATCCGACGATACTATTTCGCTATTTTTGGTAGATGGATGTGATCAATCCTGAAAAAGATTGCTAATTGGCGACCGTATGACAAAGATATTTATTTCGCTATCTTTATGCAAATTTTTTTAACATTAAATATTTCATAAATTTGACGATATTTCTCTCTTTTGAGTGAATAGTTTGTCCTTTGAGACATTTTGCTGCAATATATTTAATTAGCCAGAGTAACGAAAGGTATATTAGCAGATGATAAAGCGAAGTAAGTGACTGAAAAACAATTCACTGTTAGCGTTTGGCACGCGTTAAGTGTTGTCTCAGTTTCAAGAGCGGAGACGTTTCTCCTCTTACTCCCGCGCTAAAATGAACTCTTCCTCTGAGGAGGTGAAGCCAAGTGCCAACTCCTGGTGAACGAACTATAGTCTTCAACTGAAAATTGGGTTGGCTCTTCCACTACAGTTATAAAATAAAGCAATTATTATTATTTGAAAAATATTTAAAAAGAAGAAAATGAAATATTCAATATTGAGAATTTTTCTTGGTGTTTGCATATGCTGAAAATGAATCAAATAAACTGAATTACAGATTTCAATAAGTAAACATTGAAAATATTTATGACAGAAACATAATTTATTATTCTCGAATTTAGTTATTTCATTTTGAAAGAAAAAGCTCAATGAAAAATGCATAATAAATAATAGATTATTCAGTGGATATAAATATTATTATTACAAGTTCAAAAAAATCCTAACACTCGGAACCCTTGTAATCCTTTCACGAAGCCCTAAAATTCAGTGTATCTCTGTTTGGGAACAGCTGGTTTAAAAAACGGAATTCAATTGAGGGTACCATAGAATATCTTTTAATTACTTATCAATTCTAAATGATCCAGGAATTTTCTTGTCTTCATGGTTGGGTTTAAAATTACAAGGCTACAGAATTAAATATTGGCAGTCGTAAACTCAAAATTGGGTGTCTATTCAACGACGATTTTAAAATTTAAAAAAAAATATCTAATATTCATGCATATACGAAAACATATCTAATCATGTTCCCATTCTAACTCTTTCAGACACTGGAGTAACTGTAGCCTTTTTGTTGGAATATGACGCCTTACCAGAAATAGGTCATGCATGTGGACATAATCTTATTGCCGAAGCAGGCTTAGCAGCTGCCATTGCCACCAAAGCTGCCATGGAAAAGGACAAGACAATAATTGGAAAGGTAAGTCCAGCGTATCTTGTAATGACTGCCCTTAATATTTAGCTTTTGAACTTTTGTTAAAAACAAGACAAAAGTATTCTAGCAAGTCATTATTTATGAGAGAAAATTACAAATTCTGACGAATAGTTATCGAGGTCGATCAGCTCCGTAATTACTCGTTATATGATAATGGATTTACGAGGCGGTTCCTAACAATAAATGAGCGTGTTCTTAAAAAAGAAGCAATGTTTTGATTTTTCAAATCCGATCTCCTTTGCTGTGAATTATTTTTAATATAAATTGTTGTAGTTTGATTTTAAAAAAAAAATTTTTTCCTTACTTAAAAATTCTAGTTTGAGTGTAACTAAGTGAACAGTATTAATTTTATACTTGTTTTTTACAAAGTATCTAAAAATGTGTATTAAAGGCGATCATAACAAAACATGCGTAATTTAAAAAAAATATCCCATAAACTAAACCATAAACTTTCATAAACTAAAAGGCCCTCACACCAACTTTTTACAAATAATACTTTTTGTGACGTTTTAGACTTTCAGTCTCTTATACTAAGTTCAAAAATACTCTAATGTGGTCTTTAAAGCTTGAAATCCAAAACAGTGATCAGTTGAATTAGCCTTAACCCTAATTAAATGCATGTAGAGAAGTTTGTTATTTCCTGCTAAATTTTTACTTTTAGATAGGGTTTTTAAAATTATCGGGGAAGTATTATAAGCAAATCACCTATTTCCGATTTTGATATTTGAGCGATATCTGCTGTAAAAAATTATGACATAATCAGACGATAGAGTAGTTTCGCCGCCAGCCTCAATCTCAAAAACCAATTGCTAGATAAAAAATTTAAAATTCTGGTCTAAACTTCCTATGTTGAAGCCATCGCCGGCCGAAGTCTCGCCGTGTAGTAAATGGTGACTGATGCACGTTAAATCTGTCGAGTCACAAAGTCATCCATGTTCCCCTAACAAATCATACCTCTGGGGGAACTGATCCAGGAGTTTCCTTGTCTTCTGGATTGGTTCAAAATTACAAGGCTACAGAGTTGAACATTAGTAGTCGTAAATCCAAAATTGGGTCAGCAGTTCAACGAAGGTTATAAAATAAAATAAAGTATTTTTTGTTGAGCCGTGATGGCTCAGGGGATAGAGCGTTCGCAATCCAATGAGGTGAACTGGGTTCGAATCCCAGCAATGGCTGATCGTAACGAATTCCGCATCCGGCTCGCACCGACCACAGTGCTGAAGTAAAATATCCTGAGTGGTAGACGGGTCATGGGTTAGAGTCCCCTTACCGTCAGGCTAACCGTGGGAGGTTTTCGGGGTTTTTCTTCTCCATGTAACGCAAATGCGGGTTAGTTCCATCAAAAAAGTCCTCTACGAAGGCAAATTTCTCCCAATACTAGATCCAGGAGTTCGCTTGTCTTCTGGATTGGGTTCAAAATTACAAGGCTATGGAGTTGAACCTGAGTTGTCGTAAATCTAAAAATTGGGTTGGCTGTTCAACGATGGTTATAAAATAAAATACATTTTCTGTTGAGTGAAATAAACTTCCAGTATTAAAAAGAAATGTTATGGGAAAATATTAGCTACACCTTGAAACAAAAAAAGATTTGTAATGATTTAAAATCATTTTAATATCATTGGATAATTTGACAGTAAAAAGAAGCGATTAAGTTAACACTTTCGTTCTGAAACTACCGACAAATAATTTCCCGTCATTTTTCATTCTGAGTCTGTCGCTTTTCATAAGCATATTAGGCTTAGGGGATTTTCATAAATGATGACACCCCTTTTTTTAGTATTTTGACATCTCTTAGCCTAAATCACATGTCAAGTTATATTACGTAAAGCTACAGTGTTCAGAAACAAAACACATTTTATAGATTTTATTTCAATTTAGAAAACAACGTACAATTATGTAGTTTAATGACATTTGTGAGCATAACTCTTATAATGAGTGCATGTGCAAGTCCTGATGTAGAAAAAATAGGGGGGCTGTAGGCACAACTGTCAAGGGCCCCACCGGCCGTAACTCCAAACTAAATTTACATTCTCTTTATTCACCAAAAAGCTTTTAAATTAATTATAAACGCAAATAAAATAAGATATATGAAAAAATTTGAGTATGTATTTATTTTAATTCTTGTTAACTCGGAATTTTAATGAACAATTTAGGAAAAACACACACAAAAAATTACTTATCGTATCTAGGAGACCTCCAAAAAATTGGGAGCCCTAATACTAGTCCTCACTGGATTTATAATAATTCAGACAATGTGCATGTGTACTCATTTAGGTGAAAAACACATAAAAATAATTAATCCGTCGATTTTAAATCTTCGGATTAAAAAAGAAAAAACATGTGTTTTGTCATATTGCTTGTTATCCCCTCTCTTCCCCTTGTCACAAACTCTCTCAGTTTTATTATGCCCCCTCCCTGCCTTAGAAGCGCGACATAATCTATGGACGGCCCATTAGAAAGGTCATTGACTTCGTAATTGAATAGAATGAACGATTCTCCATGGTTAAAATCCGCTTCTTACCATTTCCTTAAAAATTAAAATAATTAAATTTTTCCTAGACAGAATTTAAAAGAAATCTTTCTCAGAACACACAGAATTAAGAGAAATATGCTATTTAAACATTTTACCAATTCAGCAGAGCCCGTGACTTTCTTCTGGAAATACGTTAGCGCTTTGCATTAAATGAAATTGAACAATCACATATAACTTACTCATGACTCCGCGAACTCCAGCCTGAGCAAACGCGCATGCGTTATGACTAATTTTAGAGGCCCCTCCCGGGTGTAACCGGTGGTATAAAACTAAAAACAGAACAAATACTGTAAATATCTTTAGCCGTTTATTATATTCTTGGCTTAAAATGCAGTCTTTTGTTGATATTACACTCATTTAAATGTTTTTTGTTGACCTGTTTATTACTATTGGCTATGGCCGCGACATTAAGTGAATTTTGATTAAAAAGGTTAAACTTAATGACGACGTCACATGTATAACAGAAATTGATAAAATATGATAAATTTTGATTTTATAATTCACTAATCTGATAATTCGATAATTTGAGCTACAATTCACTTAATCTTAAATTGGAGTTTCGTCCAAAAAGCCGTAACAAATATCATTCACAAATTTAATTTCCAATTTTTAAATCCTCAACTCTCAAAGATTCGAAAAATCTTCCAAAAATCGCGGGGTTATTCCATGAATACAGGTCAATTTTAATTGATTTTAAAGACATTAAATATTTTTAAAAAAAACTCGGTGATTTTGAAAAAAAAGGTTAAATGATTATGTTTGGTATTTATTACGTTTAAAATAGTCAAATTTTATGCATTGAGTAAAGAGTAAATAAAAGTTTCTCTTTATTATAATAGCAAAACATTAATTTTTAAAATAGTTCTTGCTTGGAAGCAAATTTGCTGAATTTTTAAGCTATTTCCGAAATACTTTTAATAAAGAAATTCGACTGAAGGTTTTGAAGATAACATTTTTGATAAGTCTAATGTTTCTTAAATAAATAATTCCAAGAAAATGAAGCTGTAAGATATTACCCATTGAAAGCTTCATTCGCTTCAAAAATGTACAAATCTGAAGAAACAGTTGGCATGTTTCGAGAGCTTTCAAAAAAAGGAACCTATTTCAAATCATTTTTGTTTCTTTACATTCATGTTTGGCTAGTTTTGCAAATGGACGCCTATTTCTGAAGCGCTTGAAACAGGTAACTGTTATTTCATATTTGCATATTGAAGTGAATGAAGTTCTTAATCAGGTAATGTCTAATGTCTCTTGTTTTATGTAATCAAGCACTTAAATTTTAAAAATTAAGTACTATGCAAACTTTTTCAAAAAATTTTGTTAGTATTTCCCGCATTTGAGACAAAATATACATTTTATATCAATTTCCAAATTTTCTACTTAGGCTAATCATTTAATTAGTAGTACTTCTAAAAATATAACCATTAACGACAGTACAATGCTTAAGGATTTACTCTAAATTCATAACGATGTTCTTCTTTAAGTTTTTTTTCCTGTAAAATTACAAAGAAATAGTTAGTTGTACTGCAGATTTGTATAGTTGTCACTCTGACAATCTGTTTGTAATTCAGTGTTTTTGTCATATTTTTCTTTATTTTTGTATGATTAAACAAAATGTAGTATGAATGAGTATTACTTCTCTAAAATTATATCATTATGTAATGTGAATAAATAATGCTTCTTTGTGAAAGTTGTATTTTTTTCGCTCAATTCCAATAAAAAAATATTAAATAAATATGGTATTGCATGAGCTTATGTTAATGTTTTGAAAACTTTTCATATTGTGCATTTATGTAGAAACAAAAAATTCCAAATCTCTTGTCGTTGATTTTAATTTTATTATTCGTAATAAGTATTTCTGTCCGTCTTATGGTACATTTTTCTGGACATATTTTGCTGAACGTATTTGAGTATTTCATCATTTTTCTGGATCTTATGATAAATTCTATTACATTTAAATTAAAGTGCTATAACTTCGTAATAAAATAGAGTATTTTCTTTAAAAATGGATAATTAAATGAGGGGAAAAAATGTTGTTTGGATTAACCTTTATTGCAGATTTAAAACCGGTAATGATTCTTTTCATCTTAAAATTTAATTTTAAAAAATAATACTTATAGTTGTAACAAATAACTGCGTTTTACAGGTGGTGGTCTTGGGAACACCAGCTGAAGAAGGTGGAGGTGGAAAAATTAAATTGTTGGAATTCGGAGCTTTCGACGGTATCGATGTCGCTTTGATGGTTCATCCTGGGTTCCTTACCCGATTAAGTCCTATCTTTTTAAGCAGTGTTAAAGTAAGAATCACATTCTTATTTTCAAGATACATTGCCCAAACTGTGATGAACAATAATTTTAATATATTTGTGAAACAAATATGCTTTTATGTCACATACATATTTCCTTCCGACTTATGTTCTATTCAGTCTATTAGTTTAGCCTGTGACACTGAATATGTTATTTCATTCAAAGGGATCTGTTCATTTCAAAGGTAAAGAGGCACACGCTGGTGCTGTACCGTGGCTAGGTGTTAACGCTTTAGACGCTGCTGTATCCTGTTACCAAAATCTTGCCTTGATGAGACAGCAAATAAAACCAACTTGCAGAATCAACGGTAACTCTTGTCATCTCTGTTTTGCTTATGTAAAATCTAAATTACTTTTTATTGATATAAGTGGCAAATGGTTTTGTCAAAAGACTTTTAACGATCAATGAAAGAAAAAGCATATTTTGCGTGGAAATACAGTGTGTTCCATAATGACTAAATTAAATAAAATGTATTTTAGAATTCCTATAAAAAAATTACAGGTATACCATCTCCTCCGTTTGATACAAAAAAATCTTATTAAGGGGTGGGGTCGCTAAAGAAGAAAAATGTTTCCAAACTTTGTCAAATATTATTAAAAATCAATAAAAACTAAAAGAGCAGTTCATCTGAGCAACTGATTGTTGGCTCTTAGCATCCCATTTGCACAAGGACTGGGGGCAAGTGTCTGAAAACAGTCTTCATACGTCATAAACCTGGAAAGAAAAGGGTCGTCAAATTTACACTATTCTTGAAGTTAACATGGTTTTACGAAGCTCTTTCGATAAGGAAAATGAAAAAGCCGCAGTTTAAGCGCGTTACATTTGAAGCAAAACTATAATTTTCAACTAGATATGTCATCCTGCAGTGAAGAATTTTCTGGGCCTTAGTACGGACAAGATGCTTAAATATTTTATAAGTTATTAATTTTTTAAAAACGCCAATTTGGTCGCATTTATCCACTTAGATGGAAATTATCAAAATCAATGCCTTTTTCTCATTTTTTGTTCATTTTTCAATTATTTCATATTTTATCTCCACCTTACAAATTGGCGAAAAATATCCACGTGAGGCATAGCCAATCATCACAAGCCTAAATTACAACCTGACTAGAAGAACCTAGACTAGACTATGGCTCAGAGAATCGTAGTCACGAGCTTGATGTCAGGCTTCATGTAAATGATGAGAAATGCGAAGAAAATTTCAACGCGTTTCAATCTTAATAAAAAGATAAACTAGTTTTTGATTATAGCTTTAAATTCATCATTTCCCTCTTAAATAATGCTCAATCAGAATTTAGAAAAGCACTATTTTCTTCCCTACTTAAATATGTATTTCCTTAAAATTATTACAGGTATATTCTTTTCTTTTTGGTTTTCTCTTCATAAAGGTGTATTTGTTTTTATTTAGTCATAATTACAAAGGGTGGATCAGCAGCTAACGTCATACCAGACGAAAGCAGCATGGAATTTTTTATCCGGGCTTCAACAATGGGTGAGTTAAAATCATTGGTAACCAAGGTGGAGAACTGTATAAAAAGTGCTGCCTGTGCAACTGGCTGCGAAATGGAATTCAGCTTCGTGGAGGAAGATTGTTACAACAATTTGATTACAAATAAAGTTTTGATCAATTTATTTGATTCCTATTTAAACCGATTAGGTAAGTGTAAAAAATTAAAGATGTCTCTGGTATAAGTTATGGTTACTTAGATTTTAAACATAACTAAATAATACTTGTAGAATATATTATATGTATATTGCCTGTTTAAGAAAATAATGAGTTAACAATTCATTTATTAATCTTCCAAAATAAAAGTTTGATTTTTTTTTAAATGTAAGTATAATTGATTTTTCACAGTTAAATTTTGCTAAAAACAAATATTACTTGCAGCTTGTTTAGGCTATGGGGTTAAATTTGCAGAACTTAAAGAATTTTCCTTGTAACCTACAGTGAACTACCGAAAGCACCGGAAGTTGGACTGTATCTAATATCTTTGCAGTATCGGAATAAACAATGATAAGGTTTAATGTCTCGATTTTAGAATTCCACCGCTTAACAGTTTGATAGAAAGACAATATTAGTAAATAATATTAGTACAATATTAGTAAATAATAAATATTCAATATTAGTAAAGTAAATACAGATCAATATCTTTTGCATCAATTTACCTTTTATATCTTTTCTGTATCAAAAATATATAAGCTAGTTTTGTTTCACTCTAATAGGTGGCATCACTAAATATTTGTATCACGAGTGTTTGAAATGTGTTGGTAATGTTTATTACTTTTATGATTCCAAAATTATGTATCAGAAACTAACTAAATATAATATTATAACTATGGTGATAGAAATACCCATTATAAAACAATCTTTGCGTTGGGATCTGGTCATTTTACTTCAGAACCAAAAAGTCACCAATTATTTTAAAGTGTACACTGTAGTTCTTATGTTTTATACCTTGTGTGTTAGAATTTATATAACGAAAACATCTCTCTGCAATTGGTACTTGATATATTTCAATGGACTTGTTGCCATGGTTTTGTATTTTGAAAGTATTTGATTTAAAAAAAACTGCACGGTTGGTGTCCCAGGCAGATCACTATGCCCAGGTGCCGGATATGAGTTCATTCTACAGAAACTACTCCGAGAGCGAGTTCAAAAACTCTCCAAATACATGCTCAGGTTTAAACAGATAAAGTGATTCTTTAAGTTTATAGATTATAGAAATACAAAAATACGTTACATCTCAGAAAATTATTAGTTAACTAAGTTTCTAGGACATTGATATGTATTATTTTCATTTCATTTATTTATTTTGTAACTTAGCAAATGTTTTAATTAAACAATTATGAAACATAATTAGAATTGTTTGTGCCGGTAAGATATGATTCAAATGAAAATTGACCGCTAATGTTTTGCCTCTCTGTATCTTTAGTTATTTTCTAGAAACTGACACAATTTGTTGACTTCATTGCAGGATATATCAACGATGACAAAAAGGCAATCAATCTACCAGTTGGTTCTACTGATATGGGAAATGTGTCACATAAAATCCCATCTATACATCCATTGTACAGAATTCCAGCAACGGCTGTTAATCATACCAAAGAATATACAAAGTTTGCGGGAGCTGAAACAGCTCAAGAACCAACGCTACAAATGGGAAAAGCCATGGCTCTTACAGCATTGCACGTATTGCGATCTCCAGAAGTTCTGGAAGAAATTAAAAAAGAGTTTATATCTGATTTAGAGGAAGATAGCCGAGGTTAAATTGAAGTAGCATTCGATTTTTTTTACTATGAGTTGTTTTAATTTGGCGAAAGATTACTACCATTTATAAAATTGTACAAAATATAACAGTGTTTTTACATAAATGGTGGGTGAGATTTAAGCAGTCTTAAATGATTTCTAAAAGTTTCAACTTCATGTTTTTATACATAAAAACTAATTTTTTTGTATAAATAAACACTAATATAATAGTTATAAGAAACTTACATTATAAAACATCAAAATGTACAATTATAAGAAATTTATACACTTATGCAATAAAACATCAATGAGTATAATTATTTATAAACTGTATAAAATTGTTTTAATGTAAAGGTTTATAAAATTTTATTGTTATAAAATGTATTCTGAGCCCTTGATTTTGTTTTAACTATTACTTTTGGAAACTAAATATGTCCTGAAAACATGGCCATCGTGATGCATATTTATTCCTTGAAATTAATTTCAAATTGTCCATGCCGAGTGCTTTTGGAATGGAAGAAGGTTTCAGGTGCACTTAACAACAAATAGTCGAAGAGTATCTTCAGAAAACTTGCCCTTTGGCAACAAATTTAACTCCAGGAATGTAAACGGTAGGGCCCGAACAATTTATATGAATCCTGGGAATTTCGCCTAATGGAAACTTGCGTAGACGAAATAAGGTAAAATGTTACCGTTGTTTCCGATTCTTTGTGTTTAAACTTTAAAGGTAAGTCACTTAAATTCACAAAAATGTAACTTAGAATCTTCATCCATTCGGCTATGCAATTGTTTTTAAGAACTCAATTCAATATACAACTGAACTTTTATTATTCTCTAATTTTCGATTTGAGATTATATTTATGCGAAGTTTTTTGTATGATAAACGGGGAAGGCGTGATGCTTGATTGGCACAAAGCCATTATTCGACCATCGCAAACAAGAATACCCTTCATGCCACCAATCGTCCAAATTATATTTCACTTGTGGTAGCGGTTTCTCGTGTAACCTTGCACATAAATCACACATCCAGGGTTGGAGATAAGATCTATAATGTTTCTTCCACGCAAAATACGACAAATATTCAGTGTCATTTTTAGAAATATTCCATAGATGAACACCTAAGTCTTCAGGACTTTCGAATTGCATAGCATTTACATAGGAATGCTTTGGAATTATTTTAGAATAATCTGCCCCACCAAAAGTAACTGGAACAATATAATATTCGAGAGGATTGAATACTTTTTCAGTTACATAATCACGACAAATTGCATTTTCAAATGACAAATAAAATTTATATTGAGACGCTATTGCGGCGTAACATCTTTTTGTTTCAGCAGGACGACAAGCGTCCGAGCCGCATCCTCCAATAACATCTACTGGATATACCATTTGAAGTCTCCTGATATATTCTTCCCTGTTGCTATCAGTTCGGCAGTTGCTAGCGAACCAAACAGCTTTATTTTGCTTGGACGCCATCGGTACCATTCTCTTCGAAACTGGACTTAGCCTTTTACCAATAAATCCATAAGATAATAAAAAGTCAGAACCTCTACGATAGCTCATTGTCCAGTTGAAAACTCCTTCGAATCTTCTCAAATCCTTAATTTCCAGCCATGGCGGCTCCATCGAATATAAAATCCAAATTTGGTTTGGTTTACGAAGATTCGATATGCTGAAAATTTCCAAATCACGAACGTGGAAAAGTACAGCTGCTGCAGATTCAAGGTCTGACTTGTTTTTAGTAACGTAGCAATTATAAACGGGGCACTTGTATCGTTGGAATGTTTTATTGCCAAAATGAAGAAAATAATAATGCCACGGATTCCACTCGTTGAAATAAGTTGTCGCCAAGAAAATTACTTTTCTCTCCGAATTCTTCAAAGTAATGTTAGGATAGAATTTCAATTCAAAACCAACTTTTCTAGCATTTTCATTGACAAACTTTTTAGACTTTTTTACACTGAATTCTTTAACAAGAGGGAAATAGGGTTCTCTGAATACATTTTTGTTGTATTTTTCACAAAAATCACTTACTCCAAAATTACTTTTACAATTTTTAAAAACTTGAAACATTATAAGAACGGCGCAAAAGGATAAAATGAATTTCCAAATATTTCTTAGTCCACATATTGTTCTGGGTTGCATCGAACATAGATTTTCTTCATACATTTGTGAGCAACTAGAAAAGAAAATTATAAAGATTATACTTTTGATTTTTAAAAAAAAGCATTGTTGAATATAAACCAAGTAATTTTTGACAAAAATTTAAATCTTAATATTTAGGACAAAAATACAATGAAATACTTCTTTCATTTAATGAAAATTCGGAACTATATTAAAATGTAAATCTAATTACTCAAAACTAAATCATTACTAGTAGTGTATAACAGTACATGTCCAAAAAGCATAAATAAATGCAAAATAATTTATATTAAACTATATGTAATAAGGTTATCAAGCATTTTTTCTTATTTATTTTAAAAATGTAAAAGATTTTTAATTGCAAGGTATACAAATTTTTACATCATTTTAAACTATGTATCGAAAATTCGTATTCATCAAAAAAAAGGGTATGTTTATTTTTCAAAGAAAGTACGTTTTTGAATCTGATTTTGTAATTTGAAATATTATCTGCACAAATTAATTAGCGAATATTTAAAATTCAAACTATTAAAATTATATCTTAGTACGCGGAAATCCAATTATTAGATCAAACGTTATTAAAGTTATCAGATTTTCGGGCACTGTACGCATTAGCAGAATCTTAATATTTATTACTTTATACTTAGATATTGCTAAAAAAACTGCTTAAATTGGTCCTAAAAGTAGGGAAATTCCCATTAAAAATATTTTTTTGAAAAAAGAAATAATATATTTCTGGTATTTAGTTTTTAAAACCTACGCTACATACACCCCAAGATGTTAAAATTTTTAGCATTACTTAACCATATAATAAAGAATTCTCATAGATATTTACATGTTAAACGCACTTATAAGATCTTATATATCATGATTAAAGCCTTAAAAAATGTTGTCACGAAGTTTTCAGTATTTTTTGTCATATGCGTTAAATATCGTAATCAATGGTTTCATAAATTTTAAAATTTATGTCCTCGTAATATTTGTATTAAATATAATTGAAAATAAATAAATTTATAAGTTTTTTTTCTCCATTTTCTATTCCCTGAGTTATTAGTTTTATTAAAAAAATTAATTAAAGAAGTTGCCCTCTATTACAGAATACTGTCATAGGCATCAGTTTTAGTTTTTGTAAAATACGCATTAAAATTAGTTTTTGTACAAGAGAAAAAAAGTTTAAATTTTGAATTTCTCAAGGAATATGCATATCAAAGCAAATCAGTGCAAATTCTCTATGGGTATCAAAAAACGTTTTAAATATAATAGTAAAATTTGTTTATCCAAACATTGTTCTATATAAAAAATAAATTTTTAATAATCATTTATTACGTTCTATTATTTAATTTAATAGCGGTGGAAAACTTTTTGAACTGTAAGTTGCACAAATTGAGAAATTTTGACATTTTATGTAGTTTATAAAACTACGTAATTATAAAATGGCAAAATAAAAAATTTAAACGACATCGGTCTATAATTCCCGAATTATTGAAATTCTCAAACTAAGTCGAAAGATTAAAATTTAATTTTTCTGAGCTATTTGATATATCTAGTGTTTATCCTGCATTCTCCTAAAAACAAACAAATAAAACATGAATCTATAAATTTTAGGACAGAAATTTTAATGTTTCTGAAAGCAGCAAATTTTCGATAAAAATGCGTCAAATCTTCAGAGACTATATCAAATGTGTATTAAATACATATTGCTGTCTACTATATGGTAAATAGAAAGTTAAAAAAATAATAATTAATTTCATAAAATGGGGTCATCTACTGAGCTTCACTCTTCCCAATAAGCAGATGCTTTTAACTGAAGCATAAATCAGCCACAATTTAAGGTAGATTTGGTATATGGGTGATTCTCACGAAAAATGATAATTCACTGTCCCTTGCTCCAAGATCTAATACTATAACACTAAAATAACTTTTTTTTAAAAAAAAATAATAAATTGCATTGCTGTTAGCATTTTAAAATGACTTTGCACTAAGCATTGACTGTTTTGTATAGTTAAAAAATTTAATTGAACTTCAAAATATCATTTCCCTAGCATGTCACAAACAATGTTTCCAATATTAACTAGCTTCAAAACTTCCCATAAATTTTTCAATATCTAATTTCTTATCTCAACCGGTGTAAGCATTTCTTGAATATACGCAGAGGGTATTATTTACAAAAACTTCGTTTTAAAAAAAATTCTGTCAATAATTTGTTTGTCCAAGTCTTTTTTTTTTTAGTGGTTTATAACCAAAATAGATAGAACCAGCAATCAATATCTTATGTTAATAGATTGATTAGATACTCTCCTATATGAACATGTCTTGTTGCATGAATAAAGAACCAATTTTCTGGTTCAAAATCTATTTCAAAAAATTTTTCAAGATGAGTAGGTTTTTGTGTTGTCATTTTCCTGGCTTCTTGAAATCATTAATAACATAAACTACATGGATTTATTAAGTTATTTTAAGAAATCATGTTGTTTTCTGAAGAATGTAAACGTCTTAGACCAAAATATGAAATTAAAGTAAAGTTATATGCTATAAAATGACAAATTTATCATTATCCTGGCTGTCATTTTCCTGGCTTATGAATTCCAGGACATTGAAGTGTTACCAGAAATTTTTTTTAACTGATAATACTGTAAGGAGAAAACGCAAATATTAACCCAATACCAAGTTTATGTATGATTGTAATATGGTTGGATGTAATCAAAGTTATTTATTTATTTAATGATTGATTATTATACACAATTTTATTCTGTGCATATCAGCAACAAAAAATTGATTCTTCCTACAGTGGATAAAAAAAAATTAATTTATGCAATTTATGGTCCATCTAACATAAAGGCTTAAGTTGAGTTACTTACTAATAACTTAAAATGACTGTTTTTTAAACTTCTAAGATAATATGTCATTTTCCTGGCATTCAAGATTTGGTGAATTTCTATTTTATTTCTTTTTTCTCGAGCAAATGTCAATAAACTACACTGCTGTCAGTAAGATATTAATAAATGTAACTAAAGAAGTATACGAAAAAAATTTTAGATTATTTTGAAGACTTTAAATTTGAAGAAATTTTTTGGTCCGAATTATCATGTTTGAAAAGAATCACCCATATAAATGTGAGGCAGTAAAGGAACTTTTCCTTCACCCATTGAAAAACTTTTCCTTCAAAGCATTAACAATTGAAATATTTATCAAACTGTATTAGAAATTATTCAACGAGATGATTATTGAAAAGAAATAGTTTACCTTACATTTCATCTTTGCATTTTCGAATGTTCATTAATTTCTGCACAATAAATCCAGTAGTTATGCAACACAGCTTTTAGTTCTGTAGCGAACGAAAAATTCTAAAAGTTGTTTCAAATACACACTTTAGTTTGTGTTGAAGTAATCTACATACGGCGTAATTTTTTTAAACGCAAGACAAGAATTTTATATGTTAAGAAAAATAACAATCGCGCAACTATAGACCATCGACACACTAAAAAAGCATATAAAACAACTGAGACATTCCTTTATAATCTTTTTAATAGGAAATGATAAGAATTGTAGGGTTTTAAATCATTCTATATGCAGGAGTTCCGCGTATATAAGCATTCACTTTTGGACAACACAAATTATGCGACCTCTTCTGGTATAGAAATTATGCCCATAAATCTAAATGTGAAAGATACAAGATCTAACAAAAAGCACTTCCGATGGGCATAAATAACATTTAATTTTTGCTTTATGAAATATTTTCAGTGATCAGTGGCCGATAAAAACGGATGTTATTAAAAATTTGTGCAGGGGAAGGATAATAATATAAAACTTGATTGTCGGTTTAAAAATAAATAAATAATAATAATAAACATATTATTGAAAGCATTTTAGAATAATAAAGGACAATAATATTTTTTAAAAAATAACTCTACACATAAATTTTTTCATAAAATAAGCTGAAGTTAGAAAGCGTGAGTGCAGAATTTGCTTGATGAAATACATCTTAAAATGGCCCACAAATTCGAATCCAGTTAAAGCTCAATAGAACGAAAAGTCCGCTATTACAACAAACTTCCGAGTCACATTTAAAATGCTAATATATTAACGATACAAAAATTGTTTGTTTATAACGAGTTTAAAATATCATCCTTCCGCTATTGCGACAAAAATTTATTTCGGGAAATCCATTTTGCTGCTTAGGTAAATATTATTATATAAAAAGGATTTTAAATGGAAAAAAAAGATCTTTGTATTTATTTCTGATATCAATACAGAAAAGTGAAAAACGAACATCGTTTCCTTATTAAAATTTTAACCTGTTATTTTTATAATATGTGGGCGAAAGCTGGCTAAGTTGCATGTTTACATCATTCTACTATTTCGTTCGCTATTTTTAGAACTCCTTCCGAACACTTCGAAAGAAAAGCGTGTTTTGTGGACCACACATCTATCATGCCAGCTCATTTCCCTTCTTGACAATGTGTTATTAAAATAAACATTCACCGTTATCAATGACATCAGGCTTTCATTTGATTTTCTTCTTTCAAAAACGTGTTACGGTTTGTGGTAGACATTTCGGCCTTTCATTGAGTAAAATTCATCTGTTATAAAAACAGTCTACTATAAATATGTATTTTAAATCAATTAAATTTTTTATTTGTATTTTAACATTAAAAATATGACAACTTCAATTGCTATTTCGAATTATCGTTACAACAGACTTTAACAATTTAAAAAAAAAAATTAGATATCAAAGGACAATTTTCATTTTGCTTGTCTCAAAACTGCCCTACCACTTATATCTATAAGAAAGCGCTGTTCCACGGGTCTTCAGATCTTAATACAAATTTTTATAATATTTAAATATAGTGGTATGCAAAACCATTTTTTATCTGCAAAATAAATCCTAACAATTTATTACCTGGAAGAAAAAAAAGAAGCGGTCCTTTTAAAAGACGCCGCACACAAATTGAGTTACTGAAATTGATACTTATAGGGCCAGGAAAGTCTAGTTGGTAGG